TAGATCTGCTATGTAGATAATCTTTCTTTGATTGGCACAAACAAACAATTTACTTTAAGCAAATAATCTAGCATAATAACATCATATAGATTATAAATGTTACAGTAAGTTTCACTTGGTTCTTGCTAAAGTGTCAAGAAATTTTTGCGCGCGAGTTATCTATTGAGTTTGTTAATTAAATATAAGACCCTAAATATTCATTTTATGCTGACAATATGAATTAATTTAAGCAACTTGACTTAACTATTTACCATGCAATAAATATAATTTCAAGAAACCCCTGTATTTATCACCTTTTTTGCAGTAAATATGCTTGCGAAAGGGTCTTTTATTCAACAAGTTTCCGTTCAGATACATCCCCATAATTAACATAGATAAGTTGGCTGTATAGACGGACTTAGGTTAGGAATCTGCTTCCATACAATTTTTAAAATTTTTCTTCATATCATTTTCCGAATCTTTCTTCTGAAAATATTTTAAAATAAAATTTAATATTTTAAATTTTGTGGTAAAGTGTTAATAAATATTCCTATTAAAAAACAAGAACATATCGTTCTTATACCAAAATTATTTACTTATATGTATATCGATCGAGTGGCTTGTCACAGCAGAATTTTTCACCTATAAGACAAGTATCTAACCTTTCCTAAAACCAATATTTTCTATTTTTTTTATATCATCTTCCTCATTTAATTTCCCGTTTTTGGTATACACTGATACTCGAAATTAGATAATTTTTAAATAATACCGTTTCGAGTTCCGTTACATTATTAATTACCTGAAGGTACTGAAAATTTATATAAAATCATAGTATATAATAATAACTTTCGAACAAAGAGCGACTTTTTGAGAAAATAATCATTCAAAATAAGTCAAGCGAATTATTTTTATAGTTTTCAAGTAAATAATTCTATTCCCATATGTAATATAAATTTTTTATATAATAATATTTAATAACAAAAGTATGAGCTACCAAATGAAAACTTCAAACTCTAAACTCTTACAAATCTAAAAAAAAAATTCTACAAAAACAAAGACACCGTACATACCGTACAGACACTGCAATTTTATTGCGCTATTAAAGTATTCATTTACATCGCTGACATTGCAGTTTGAAATTTCTAAATTGTTATTGATTCACTGACGTGAGAGAAACAACCTTCAAACATATACACTCGTTTGTTTGCACATACATATTTACTTTACAAATCAAAGTTGCTTTCAAAGCAGGTTATTGTTGGTGTAGCTGCATAAGAGTATGCCATAGCGTATGAGTAACCATGAGCCGATGAAACTCAACACAAGTCAGATAGGCAAATTACTACGCTGTTTACATGCCAATTTTCAATAATACCACAACTTTTAATTTGCAATTAAAGTGTTGCGCGAACTTTCCGCAACCACACACACAATCCCTCTTTTTCAATAGCATTGCATGTGCGTGTTTAAATGTTTGTGCTAGCTACAGAAGTTCGGAACTTAGGTAAACACAGCAATAGCTTCAATTTTTTTTGAGTTTATCACAACTTTTCACACATTAACCGCAAAAGTTTCAAAAATCAACACACATACACACGCAAAGAGGGCGGCTCTGGGAGCAACACTAAACTTTTCGGCCAGGTAAAATGTCTGTAGCAACCTGGCAGTCGGAAGGTACATAACCACCCACAAGCAGAACACGGTAAAGGCATGTCTGCGGCGTAGCTAGCAATCTAAGACTTATTTGAATACTACCATCAACTATTTTGCAATATAATTCTTTGCAGTAATAACTTTTCCTCGTAGTTTCAATTTCTTATCTCTGCACCTAATATATCTCAAACACTTTCTTTTAACTCTTATTTTGTAGCTATTTTTCTTGAACTGCCTATTAATTTGTTATTGTTTCCTTTCAGTAAGTTTTTGCACAGCTCTCCCAGTACTCACGCCTTTACTCGATCCATTTGCCAACACCGCGCTTTATTTCTTACACCCACGTTCGTTGATCCCACCGTCGTAAATTGTACTGAATTGCCGCGCTGACGGAAAAGCGCATTTTGGCCACTTAGTTTTCGCCGTTATTGTTCTTCTTTATATCAGCTATCCACACTTACAAATAAAGCGCTTTGTTTATCCTTCTATTGAAATCTAATTCTATTGTAGGCGTGCTCGATTCTCAAATGTTTTCCATTAGCTATCCGCTTTTATCGCTTCTAATGTATTTTCCATCCGAAATTCCGAAAAAAAGCAGTTGCTTTCATTACTTTAGTGTGTGTGTAAATGTAGCTTAGTAATTTCGCCTATTTTAAGGCGCCAAAAGTTAAATTTTTATATTTATACATTGCATACGGAGTGCTTAATATATGTCTATTTGAAATTGTTATTTACATTAAATATGACGAAGCTTAAGAAAAAGCTGACGTCTGTATAGCAGGTGGTAAACGACGTGGAACTTTAAGGTAACACCTTAGTAATAATATATTGAGTCAGAATATCAAATATTAGACTAGTGCAGAAACCTTAAAAAACAAAAAATAAATAAATTCATAGTTGGTTGAAACCCATCGGAAACGAATGAGAAAATAACAAACAATAAAGCAAAAATAATTTACGAGCGATCTGAGGTCAGAAAAAGAGGGGATTGAAGGGGGTTGAATTTTTGTGGGGTAACAACGTTAATTTCGGTTGCAGCGAAGCAATAATACCCTTCACAAATACAAAGATTCCTTACAAAAGCTTGATTCCGATCGTTCAATGTGTACGTCGTCTATATGATATAGTTATCTGATCTGAACAATTTCTTCGGAGAATACATTGTTACCTTAAATAATGACTCGTGAATAATTTTGTGAAGATATCTCGTCAAATAAAAAAGTTTCCCATAATAAGCACTTTATTCCGTTTGTTCAGTTTGTATGGCAGCTATATGCTATAGTGGTCCAATAAGAGAATAGCTGATCCGACAAATGAGCAGCTTCTTATTGAGGAAAAGACAGATTTCAGATTTCAGATCGATAGCTCAGAGACTAGTTCGTATATATACAGACAGACAGACGGACAGATCAACTCAAAATTTATGTAAAAAATTCAAATAACCAAGTTGTGGGATTTTTTAATTTTATCTTGCACACATTTTTTTCTTAAAGATATTTGGTGTAGACTTATCTCCTTATGTCCAGACCTCAAATCGCGCGTACAATATTTTTCCTTCAATGTTAGTTATTTGATCTTTCGTTTCCAATGGGTTTTATCCTTCTATGTTTTTTATTGTTTTAAATAATTATCTACCCTGGTCTATATAGCAAGATAACGTTAGAATGATCGTCAAGCTCTTTAATGATATTCCATGTTCTCAATGCAAATGTGCTGAGATAATTTTGATTCCGAATTTCCGATTAGTAAAACACTTTCTAACTGATGCCATGAAAAATTATAAAAACTGTTCTGCAGCATTTGATAAGGTCTAGCACCTTGGCATATACAAGTTGAAGAAAAAACTGACCACATCTTACTACCTGTAGTTAAAGTCATACTTGCATTGCGTTCTACGTCAGATGTCGTAATGCTGAGTCGAATTTGAGAACCATACGCACTGGTGTACCACCTCAGCGTTCTTAAAGACTCTGACTCCACAATTACAGCAACCTATGCGGATAAAACTGCACAGCTTGCGCCGTGTAGAAATTTGAATTGCCGCCTCCAGGAAACTGCAAATGCATTGGCCGCTCTAGAACCAAATGGAACCTTGATATTAACACTCAAAAGTCCATAGAAGTTGTGTATATCAGGAACGAAATATGTACATAAATAAGCTTGGTCAGTTGCTACCAACAAGCACAATCGCAAAATATCTAAATAAGGAATAATTTAATTGGCTAGTTGTTCCAATTAGACTAGAGCTCACCTCAATTCATTTAATTGATCAATTAATAACCTTATTTATGAATATAGAAATATTGATGTGTTCATATTTGTTTAATCGTTCCAAAGAATTATTTAGCTGATAAACTTAAATTTGGTGTTTAAGGGTGTAGTTTCTCTCGCGGTGGAATTTGGGGCTTATTTTTGACGATGGATTGCAAAAGAACTACGATAATTCTTAAAATTGGATACAGAAAAAATCAATTTTTTTGTTTTTCAAAACTCTGGCATTGACGCGACCTTGAATGTACCACCGCCGGTCCCGGCGTAGTCGATTTCTTGAAACCAAAAAAAACAACATTTTACTTAAAGTTAATGTTTATTACCTCAGTTATGTCTAGACACAAGCTTTTTTGAATATTTTAAAATCTGACAAAAAATTTTTTTTGTTAATATAACTTTATATATTAAAACTGCTTGTCCAAAGCCTAACAATAAGCAATAACATTCTTAAATCTAATTAAATACTAGACAAGCCCAAGTTTCTAATTAAGCCAGTTTGGTAAAAATACATGGCGGAAAATTAAATAAACACTCAGTACTGTTATCAAGCATCGGGACATAGTGATTAGGAATTCCAACACATGTTTATAAAACGTTATTTAGCTTTGGAATAAGCCAATGGGTTCGTCCTTATTATTTCTACCACCATGGTAGATATACTTACGTCTTCTGAAAAAAAATTTTTGCACTATTTTGCACTGTTTATAATTTAAGATTGGACTATTATATACATATTTTCACTACATATTGCTAAGTTAAATCGAAATCAAAATAAGCAATTATATTACAAGACTCTTTGACATGCATTTACAATTACTTGTCAAGAAAGTTTCCGCACGAACAAATTATCTGCTTTTCACACTAAACGACAGGAAAGAAAACATACATGTATGACACCACATACACACATATAAATATCTAAGTACATTAAATCCAATGTATGACTCCAATACATATAACCAGCAGAGGAAGGCACTGATAATAAAATGCTTCAGCTTTATTGAGTTCCGAAAGTTGTCATGTTTTCATATCTAATCGTATCATTGTTATTATTTTCAGAACACATAAAAAAACAGAAAAAAGCATTCAAGAAGTAGTAAAATGCTGAAAAATACGTTTTTATTAAAAAAAATAATTAAATCAGTATTATTATTTCTAAGTATTTGGCATTGCGCTTTTACGGTTTATTCTGTTAGTATTCCAGCTGATACGTTACACCCAAAGCTATTGCAAACACTAAAGAAATGGCCTGAAAAAAAATTAAAGAACTTATCGATAATATTTTGAATTCAAGAACATTAAATGTACATAATTGTTACACTATTCAAATTTGACAAAAAATCTATATAAAATAAACAACAATTTGGTAAATAAACTGCTTTGGAAATTTTAGTCAATATTTAATATAATTTCTTACCTTTAAAAGAACACCCTTTACTTTAAAAACGTATATCACAGCAAAAGCTGCTTACTAAAAAAAAAAATTATCAGTTTGGACATTTAAACTGCGCACATAAATATTCACGTTAAAATTTTCCTATGGACTAGAACTAGTTCGCATCTATAAATTCTGTACCAGAAACTAGTTAGTCCGAAAACGATCAAAAGTGTATAAAATATAATTCATACTAAATTTGAAAACAATAAAAGAGGAATCGAAATAAACCGAAATGTATGAAAGTGCTCGTCTTATCAATATTAGAAAGATAAAAGACGCTCTCAGTGGCTCAACATGTAACTCATTACCTCTTACGGGATAACTCTATGATTTATACAAAAAGACTACAAGTATATTATTAAAAAAATGATTAAATTGATCAAATAATAAATCACTCACCTCAATAGTGAATATGACCATACTGATGATATACATTCGGTTGAAGGAAGCGTTGTAACTGTCGGTGAGTTCAGCTAAACAGCCTGTTTGGTATAAATGTGCAGGGGTCATAGTGAAGTCCCTATAACAGGTCATCGGTATTATCATGCCTGCCTTGATGTAGTCATTATAATCTGTCTTGCCACAGCACTCCATCTAAGTAGGAGAATTAGAAATCATTACGTATTTAAAATACGGACATTATGTGTTTTCGAAAAAGTTTTTAAATCGTTTTTTACATACCGTACTTTGGTACAAATGCATTGTTACATCGCTACCTTCTATCATATGCTGCCACGCCAACTTGACATCATGGCGTGCGTGTTCTGAGCTATCAGCCCTTATTATATATATTATATCTATCACAATGCACACGAGAAGTACCAACAAACATATGGCGTACTAAAAATTTGTTAAATAAAACTTATGAATTTTTTTATTAAAAACCAATTTAAAAATATTTCTTATTCATACCGTCCATGTGCAACATAAATTTTCGGTAAGCGCTCCGCAGCAACCAACAAATGAAATGCAAAGTATTATGCTGCCGAAAACGATCAAACTAACACAAATTGGCTTACTGGCCACACCAAGCTCCTTCATCGCTAATGTACTCAAAACTACTATCACAACTCCAAGCAGCTGTGAAGCGAAAAGGAATTAGAAAATTCAGTATTTGACGATTAACCGTAAAACAGTATTACACACAGAGAAATGAAGTCCAGGAAATGCATGAAATGTTCAATAATTCCGTATACTTAATTCTAATTAACCGAAAAAAAAAATCGGTATTAAATATTATGTCACCGAACATAATATTAGCTGTCTTCGATTCGACAAGCTTTGGAGAATGGTGAATCGAATAAACTATGCCAATTGTTCAACCAGACTGGCAGCACTTGCTATGAGCTAGCCTAGCGCTAACAGCGGCCATGCTTTACTTCTTCAATCAAAAATATATATTTTACAGAAAGTCTTAAATGTTCAAAATTAATAAAACATGTTTTTATTTTTATTTTTGACAGTAATTTGTAATTCAAGGCATCCACTTTGGTAAAACTAGTATAAAATCGGTAAAATATTATAGAATAAAAATTGGTAGCATTAAAGAAAGCAGTTATACCACTTTACTGAGTTATTCAATTCGCTAATTTTGTTGTTGCTTTCCCAAGTATTTGTTAAAAAAAAAGTAGCAACGCTCAAAGATAACGAGCAGAGAAATGACAAATCAAACACGGCTATTATAACTTAATTGAAGCAAATTATTAAGTCGTTATATATGTGGTATAGACCGAGTTCACCCATTTTGCCCTCAAGTTGGCTTCTGTTTTGTTTTGATATATTTTTGGATAGAGTGATCCATTGTGAAGTCGAATAAGCAGATAAGATCCAAACTGCCGTTATTTGAAAAATAGGCACAGTTCTGGTTTGTTTTTAATAATTATTTTAGATAATCGAGTACTCATGAAGATACACATATTAATGTATCCAAGATCAGTTAAACGTGTAATAAGTGTTGCCATATCTATTTTATATATATATATATATATATATTTCTATTTTGCAAACGAATTAAAATGAATAATTGAAGATTATATCCCATATACATGAACTATAATTTTAATCGTTCCCTTCTCTCGATCAATCGTGGTATTGGATCGGCCAGGGTTATTTTTTTGGAACGCCGCCGAAGGCCGCCAATGCAAATAAGAAATCTTTTCAAACAAAAAGTAATGTTAAAGAGGATATATCACTCTCTTTAAACTTCATTTTCTATAACGAATTGTAACGGATATTGTTGCAACTAAACAAGGTACCGTTTCTTGTTTTTATCCGTTTTTCATTGAATTAGTAAATATTGTGCATATAAGTTAATTTTGTAGAGGGTAATTGGATATTTTATTTATTTTGATTGCTTTCATTCGTTTGGATATGGCAACACTTATTATTTGTCTTTATGGAACACATTTGTTATTGTGCATATAACGAAAATTGTGTAAAATAAAATGCTAATTTAAAACAAATAGTAAATTAATTAATACAAAATAAATATGTAGAAACATTGTAGTGAAGTGTTAGTATATAATAAGTGCATAATATAAAAGAAAAGTTAACCATAAATCGAGAAATTGTAAGATAAAATTTGTGAAAATTTCAACTTAAAATCAACCATACCTCTCTTAACCCTGAAAGCGTGGGATGGTATACTAAAGTTTCCCCAAAAATCGTTAAATAGTTGTGATTTAAATTTACAAAAATAAGTCACATTCATTAAGTCCCGTAAATTTTTTTATGAACACCCCTAGTATTTAATTTGATTGGAAAAAGATATTGTCACCCCATTGTGTCTTCTTTTTGATCACTCTAGGGTCAAACAACACAAAATCAAAACAAAACAATATAAAGAAAAAGATCGCACAAACATTTCTTCATTCCAAACTTTCATTTTTCAAAAAAACAAAATAAAAAAAAATAAACTTTTTCTTCAAAACACCGATACTAACCACACATAGAAAGTTAAAAACCACCACAATATACTTTATTGTTATTGTTAGACAATTCATTTTGGTTGATCAAGAAATAAATTCAATCAAAATTACAAATAATCACCGAAAAATTTTGAAGTTCGGTTGCTTTTTACACAATTTATATAAATGTTAGTAAAAAATAAATATATTTGTCGCAGAGTTGCAAAAATGTCATTTAACTACAGTGACTGTAAAAATGAAAACAAATATAATACTTGCGTTCGATATGTCATTTCCCTACCGAAAAATTCAATGTGAATGCAACAACAAAGTTAGATAGTTGAATTCGATAAAAGATAATATTTTATTTATTATATTCCAATAGCCTTTTTTAAGCGTACTATTCGCCACACCATCACCCATCCCAGCATATATTCGACCGAATAGACCACATCCAGCACGCAGTGAAGAGCTGAGATTTCTACCATTTCATTCAGAAAAAACCACGGCTTGGTTTGGTTTGTGTGCCGGTGGAATCATCGGTCAATATTTCTTCAAAAATGATGCCGGTGAGAATGTAACTGTCAATGGCGACTGTTATCGCGCCATGATAACCGACTATTTGATGCCTGAAATTGAAGCTCGTGATCTCGGCGACATTTGGTTTCAGCAAGAATTTATTGGAGAACACTTAGATGAGAAGATAATTACACATTTTGGGCCGGTCGATTGGCCATAAAGATCGTGTAATATCACACTGTTAGACTTTTTCAAGGGAGGAGAAAGTCTAAAGTATATGCGATCAATCCCGCTTCGATTCAGGCCTTGGAGCAAAACATCACGCATCATGCTTGAACGAGTCATCGAATATTGGAACCAACGGATGGACCATCTGAGACGTAGCCGCGACCAACATTTCAAAGAGATAATCTTCAAAAAATAAATGCCAAAGTATGTTCTTTTTAATAATAATAAATTATAATATATATTTGCATAGATATAAAATTCATGTACATAACAGATATGTACATATTTTCGATAAAAATGTCATTAGAAGTTCAGTACATCCTTCAACTTCAAATGTCCATTAAAATTTTATCGGAATTTTTTAGATATTTTTTAAAACGTTATATAAAGCTAAAGACTTTCGCCATACTATTTCAGATTTACGTGATATGGGCCGATCGGAATATAGCAAAATTCAAAAATAACAAAATCTATGTAGTAATTTTAAAATATTATCGAAATATTTTTAAGGAAATCTTAAAAAATAATAAATTTTTATATTTTCGTTACAAAAGTAGTACTGTTATATATTTTTCAATTAAACCATTGTTTTTAATACTATAAATGACTGTCCAACTTTTACTGTAAAAAATATAATGATGTCGTATGTAGAATGATTAACGCAGTGGATAAATTGAAAAGTTTTGCTTTTTGTTGAGTGAAATGTGGTGTGTGAGTACAGAAAAATTTATATACTTTATTTATACATTATTATACCATATATAATCTTGCCAAGAATGATTGAGACAAGTTTGGAACATGCTACGTTATAAACAGAACGAACTGTCAAGCATTTATATTATTGTAATTGAAACAAAGTATTGTCGTCTTTTATGACGTCACGAACCAATATATGATACAAGAATTTCTTCGGAAGAATTAGACAATAATCCATGCCAAGTTTCGTGAAGATATCTCGTAAAATGAAAAAGTCGTTCATACAAGCGCTTGATTCTGATTGTTTAGTTTGTATAGCAGCTATATGTCCGATATCGGCGGTTCCGACAAATGTGCAGCTTCTTAGTGACGAAAAAACGTGTGCAAAATTTCAGATCGATAGCTCATCAGTATTTCTGTCTTTTAAAAGATATTTTAAACTATAAATAAACTCTTTCAGTGTCAGAGAAGAGAAACTTCAAGAACAGCACGTGAATAATGCAATTTAATGTTATCATATAATGACAAATATGCTATTATCAACTATTCAAGTTTTTTAGAAAAATGCTAACTTTTCCAGCTAGTTGAAAGAAGCAACATTTGTTCACATTTCTTGTTATTGTTATTTTGAGAGTACTTTTCTAAATGTGTTTACTTTTCTGTTTAGTATATGCTTATCTCCAAAGTACTCAATAAATTATTAAAGCTCAGCTCCACTCCCTAAGAGACTAACGCGAATTCTTCACAGTGTAAAGCTTTCATTGTTGAGTTATTGTTATTGCTATTATTCACTTGTTCTCTAAAAGTGCTGGTACTTTGGGTTTATTGCAGCAGAGTGACGCAATGTCACCATTTACTCACATTGATCATGTCAATATAAAATCAATTTGTGTTTTAAGGGCAACCTTCCATAGCACACTAAAAAGTTAAAATGTGAGTAAGTTGAGCCCAGATAGGAGCAAGTTAATAATCAGCTGGTTATACAATAGTTACGTCTATGATGATCACCTGTATATTTTCTATTTCTTTTCCAATAAGTTCAAACTATCTTTTAAAATGAAGTGAATAATTTGAATTAAGAAAGCTATATTTTATTTATAATATTTTAGACGTTAAACCCTACTTTTAATCATAAGAGAGCTGATCGAATAATTTTACTAATTCTTTTGAACTGCTTTGAAAATGTTTGGAAACTTGTTAAGTCAACTGATTAGAGATTACGACAATTTTGTCCAACCGCAGTTGAATAATGCGCTTGATAAAATAGTGCATTACTACTTGACGTCATTAACTCGCTCATAGCTCTATTTGTATGCTCTATTTGTCTAGTTTGACAGCTCTTAGAGTATCGGAATCTAGTACTCTATCAATCTTGGACCCTTACTTCTCAAAAGTTAGTATAACTGTTAAGAAAAATACCCTGGGGAGATAGAGTGAAACAAATAAGTAGTAATTTCCATTAAAAATTGACAACTTCTGGCAACAACAAAATAAACATCAAATTCAGTCTATTGAAAGTAGTAATACATTATTTTAATGTAAAATAGACGAAACGCTGCAAATAAATTATTTCACAGAAAATTATTTTAAAAAAATTTTCCTTAATTTGCTGGCAGAAATTCATCGAGATCTGGTCAGTTCTGGCAAATAAGTAGCAGAGTTTTCTTTATTCTCTCCCAAGCATTCGAGTTCATTAGTTTTTCGTCTACGGTGAGGCTTTCTAGTAAAGGATAATTAATTCTACGAACAGTTCGTAGTCGAACGTTTTGATAAAATAACGAAATTTATTATATGTTTTATATAGGAGCTGAAGTAATTTGTTGACCGATTTCACACATTTTCGCATTAAACTACAGTAGATATAATATTATACATTTTGTTAAGATACCTTACATATTGACTGATATATATGGTATAAGGCCAACTGAAAGTTTGAAAATCTTATATTAAGTATATAGGGGCTAGAGAAAATTTCACCCGTCTTTATCTATTGTAGGGCCGCAAACCTAGATATCTTCGCAAAATCTCCCATAAAGTGGGTGGGCGCAGCTCAGCACAGCACAGCTAGAGTAATGGTGGTGCGAAACCGATCCATGGTTGCGCGAATTCTCAACTCTGCTGGACGATTATGTTTTACCGAATGTTGGACGCAACGTACGATGCGTCGCTCAAACCGCACCATTTTTTTTGGTAATTAATTTGCACAATTTGCAGAAGTTCTTTCGGAGTAAGTCTATTCATTATGAAATAGCAGATCGAATTGAATATTAAATCATGTAACGGCTATCAAAAAAAACCAACTCCAAAAAAAGTATTGACTCATCAAAAACAAGTCTAAAAAAACACCCGGTTTTAGCAGAATCGTGCTTTGGTATATGGTATAAATAAATACTTCTAATATTATTGTATTTTTGCTTTTTCATCAATTTTTTGCTTGCTCTCTTTGCCGCACTCACAATGCGACATTTCTCTCGTTGTAAACACATATATTTCCACACAAATGAGATATCGCTGAGCGCGTCTCTAACACTTAGCTCATTTTTCGCAGTCTTATCAGTGCGATAAATGATAACTCATATACGACTACGAATTTGAGTTAAGCCCGCCGAAAACGTATTGAAGCAACAACAAATGATAAAAATATACATGTGTATGCGCTGCATTTACACGAAATTTATGTAATAGTGGGGGTATTATTATCTTTTTTTGATTTCAATGCTGTTTAGTCGTTTAGTTACTGCAGTGCCAAACGGTTGTAAAGGCATAGAAGAAGATCGGTTTGTTGCGTGTGGAAAGGGAGCCGAGGCCATAATTGGCGTAATAAATTCTATAAATTGAAAATTTATTATATTATATTTTGCAAATATATTTCATTGAGTTCATTGATTTGAACTAATTAATTGGACATATCAATTCAACAACAATAACAATACAGCGTCATGACTTGTGCAACGTCCACAGTGAAATTTCTAGCCTTTCTAATGAATGTGCTCTGCTGTGTGAGTAATACTTATGCACATATGTATATGTATATAAATACATAAGTACTCGTATATAATAAATCATATTGTTTATCAATTAAGCTCTGTTATGTCTTTTGTGTGCCCCATTTTCGATTTATTTACTCCAAGTGTTAATATTTATTTGTATGCAATTCATTTCGTGAACCAACTAAACACACATTTTAATTGTGTTTTTTTTTGTTTTTTGGAACACTGCACCTTCCTACACACATACACACACGCATACGCACATTCAAAAAAACATTTAATATCTGGTTTAAAATGTAGATAGCGGGCGCTTTTATGCTATCGGCAAGCGCATACTCCTTGGTGCAATTCAACGCCAGCGAATCCATTAAGATACCTTGCATTATGGGCGTGGTGTTGGGCGGTTTGCTCTTCGCCACCACAATTGTGGGCTGTTGTGGCACCATACGCGAATCACCACCCACTATTTTGGTTGTGAGTATTTGTTGTAAGCTTTTTATATTTATTTTTAAACATTTAACTCAAGCACTTTTCTAGTACGCCATCTTTTTGCTGCTGCTTCTTCTCGCACAAATCGCTGTCATCTTTGTGCTGCCCATAAACTTCTCCAAATTAGCCGAGGAGACGATACAGAATGCTTGGAATCGACAGATGAGCGACGATGCCATGGATAATTATCAAATTAGAGTAAGTTGGCACTAAATTAGGTATTTTCTTTTGAAACAGCCATATTCGATTTGCACATTCGAACGCTCGCTATATTAGTGTTCTGCTCAAAAAGATTTATTATGAAAGCAACAACTAAGTTAACCAGTTCAGTTCAATATGTGAGAGCATGTAAATACCTCATTTAAGTGGTACAACCGCTATATATCACTATTTCTTCGCTCTTTATTTATACGAGTTAATTTATACCATTTGATTTGCCTTTCTCAAAATTTGCCTTTTCAAAATGAATACTGATATATATATATTTAAATATCAGAAAATCTCTGATAGACAGATGAATTAACGTTATCGTGACCGCTATCCTTTAGCTTGCGATACAGAAAATGGTGATAATTTAGTGAGTAATTAACAATGAGCAAAATTTAGTTCCGTTATATTAGCAAAGATAAAAATTTACGAAAACTGACTTTGTTGTTGGTTTCGTAAAGTCATAAAACTTTTCTCAAATAAATTTTGGAGGCTGAGTTTGTAATTCTTATCCAGGTATACTTTCGAATCTATTCTAAATACGATTTAAGAATACCAGATTGTATAATAAACTACGTCTACATTCTTCCTGAATCAATAGGGTAGAAGAAATTCGATATATTCGAGATTAAATTCAAAAAAAAATCGACAAAAAAGAAGTGAAACTATTCATCACTTTCTCATTCGAAAGCTCACATTTTGAATTTACAGTAACAAATAATATTCACAGTTTCAAGTTTTCCTTACAAAAACCTAAGTTTGATCGTTTAGTTTGTATGGCAGTTATACGCTATAATGATCCGATCTGAAAATTTGTTTCGAAGATTATACCGTGGCTTTGGATAATAGTCCATGTCCATTTCGCGAAGATACCTTGTCAAAAAAAAGGGTTTTCATACGGGGACTTGAGTTTGATTGTTCAGTTTGAATGGCAGCTATATGCTATGCTATAGTGGTAAGATATCGCCCGTTCCGTTAAATGAGCTGCTTCTTGAAAAGAAAGGGACGTGTGCGAAATTTCAGATCAATATCTCAAAAACTGACGGACTAGTTCGCAGTCAAACGGACGGACAGACAGACATGGCTAAATCGACACAGCTCGTCTCTGATCATTTATGTATATTCATATATAAATATTATATTGTCACCAACGCTTCTTTCTGGGTGCTACAAACTGCAACACGCTAGCAAATATCCTTATATAACTTCCTAGAATAGTACATCCATCTGCACCCAGAAAATCTAGAGACCCAATCTAAGCATTCACACATATACTGCGGTCTAGACTGGTTATAAAATAATATTACCACGAGAGTTAGGTTTACTTAACCATGTATCTGGATCTGGTACAGATTTGTCATGTCGGTAGCGAAACAAAAAAAAAATAAACGAAGTAAATTTTATAAAATTTAAGAAGGTTCTTAGAAAGATCCTGATACTTTTACTAACAGAATTGTTTGTAATTTTTATATCTAAATAAATAAATATTTTTTAGTACGAATGTTGTGGCAGAAATGGACCGAACGATTATATCGACAGTGGGCTATCCATACCTACGAGCTGTTATCTCAATCGCAAGCCGTCCATTCTAAATGATCTCTACACAGCGGGTTGCGTAGAGAAGTTAACCCAAGCCTTTTCTAACGGTTCACGTATCGAAGTAATAAGCGATTGGACATTGGTGGGCGTTGAGGTGAATACAAAGAGTTCCAAATATACACAAAATTTTATATTATTACAAAAAAGATTCTAATTTAAAAAAATTTATTAATTAAATATTTTATTCAAAATTATTCCGATAATTTTTGGTCTTTACAGGGTGTTACCATAATTGTCGCTTGCATTCTGGGCATCAATTTCAAAAACTTAGAAAGAAGGCGCTACTATTAACACGAAGAGGCTTTCATATGCAGAAATTTCATAGTATTTTTAATAAGAAGCTTTAATTTGAAGAATAGTCATATTTAATAAATATTTTATTGTAATTTTGTAAACAATTAAAGCCAAAGTATAAGACATTACAAAAGGAAGAATAAAATATTAACATTTCTTAAGGGAAAATTATTTGTTTTTATATTCTTCAACTTCTGTTTAAATTAAAAAATAATCAAACTTGTTTCGGAAACTTTCTGTTTTTCGATTAACCGAAAATCAAGTTTTATAATTTTAACTCTTACTTTATTTGTAAATTGACGCCTAAAAATAGGCAAATAAATTTTCGCCGTTAACAGCAACTGCCTACTGCACACGAAACACAGCGCCACGGGTCTATGACCTCGCTTACAGTGTTGTTTCGTCTAAGCGAAGTATTTCCCATAAAAATTACACAACACGGAACCAAGAATTTGCTGAAATTCCTAGACTAACCCATACAAATTGTAAAAGCTTTAAAAAAAAGCTGAAAATTTTTCTCACAAATTTTGTAATTGCCTTGTTTCAATAAAAAACTAAATGCAATTCGCGAAATTGTGTTACATCGCTAAGAATTTCCTCATTCGCACAAAGCAACCCTGCGGAACGATGGCTCATCAACAACTGTTTACGTTTACACAACAAGACGAGTTTGTCAATATTTTTTGTAGTTTATTTAGTTTGCTTCTTCGTTTGCGGCTTATAAACTAAAATATGCGGGAAAAGCATGAAGTAAGCAAACATTTTTTCGACTGCAATCTTTGTATGCAACCGTTGCAACTAAGAGAGCAGTGCCAGCTGTAAGAACCAGCAAAAACAAAAACAAAAACAGCCATCGATCCAAACAACCAACAAACCAGCCATAACAACTTCCTCTGCCACTGCCGCTAAAGAGTCACTAGATTTGTAATCAAAACAAAAACAAGCTGTCGACAACGTACCGAGCTCATTCACGTTTTGGCCAAGCACCTGTTGTAGTCGGCGCAACAACTCGCAACACAAATCGAAGAAACCGCTACGAAGACGGTTCATTACACAAAGTGATCGCACAGACAGTGGTCATCAATTCTAGTAATAACAACAAGCAAAGCATTAGCATATATATTAGTAGCGTCAGCAAAAATTGAAGGAAATCGTAATTAGCAATGGGTTTAAGATTTCAACAATTGAAGAAGCTATGGCTGCTCTACCTGTTTCTGCTGTTCTTTGCATTCTTCATGTTTGCGCTGAGTATCAATCTCTATGTGGCCAGTATACAAGCAAATGACCAGGATAAGGTGTAAGTATATTTGAATATATATAAATATGAGCAGGTGTTTATTTTATAAAAGTAGCCCACGTGCACATATATAGCACACCAAAGTTAAACAAAGCTAACAAACTGACGAATTGGCTAAAAACCGTTACAGCCGCGTTTTTGGCAAGCGTATTGCAAGGCATTTAGTGCTGTGTAATGTGCTATGGCAATATACCATCACAGTTGAGCGCCTTCATTTAATTGTGCTCCACTATTTAGCAATTCTATGTAAATTTTAATTGTTTGCTTTTTATTTTTTTTTTTCACGCGTTCGCAATCATCATTACAACAACGTAACACCTAGCCATCCGAAACCGCAGCCGCGCCGCCGTTCACTCTGGCATCCGAAGAACATAGTGGCGCATTATATTGGCAAAGGCAATATTTTCGGCAATATGACCGAAGGTAAATAAAAAAAAAACATTTTTTATAAAACTTATAACTAGCCAACCACTAAAAAATGCAGTGTTTATTTATTTGTTTTTATATTTTATTTATTTTCATTTGAATTTATTATTATGCACACGTTATGCGTGGGCCTACTAATTAAAATTTATAAAAATTCGCTTAATAGCAACAACTTTTTCAGATGACTACAATGTGAATCTTTTCAATCCCATCGCTGGCGAAGGGGCGGAGGGCAGGCCGGTCGTGGTACCAGCGCGCGATAGTTTCCGCATGCAACGTTTCTTCAGACTGAATAGTTTTAATATTTTAGCCAGTGACCGCATACCCTTGAATCGTACGTTAAAAGATTACAGAATAAAAGAGTAAGTGCACAACAGACCAATGACCATAAACAATTGAACAAATCAGCGAAGAATTCAAACAAACATTAGCAGCATTATCATCTGCGCCAGTGCCAAAAGGCAGTAAATATTGAGTCTAGCATCGTTTAGCAACAATTTTTACATTCATACATATGCATAAAATTTGTGTGCAATGACCCTGAGTTGCTGACAAAGCATAAAATCTTTTAACAAGCAAAATCACCAAATCATTTACGCTGTCACACACACATAATTACCTTTATTTTCATTTATCTTTTAAAACAGGTGTCGCGACAAGAAATATATCAACAACGAACTGCCCACTACATCGGTGATTATAGTTTTCCATAATGAGGCTTGGTCGGTGTTGTTGCGCACCATAACAAGCGTTATCAACCGATCGCCACGTAAATTACTCAAAGAAATCATATTGGTCGACGATGCAAGCGAACGCTGTAAGTGTCTTCATAAGATAAAAATAAACAAACAAACATACAAAAACAAAAAACTCCAAAAGTAAACGAAACTGCATTGTAGCCTACTACATTGTTGTATTTTGCATATCTGCAGCTAATATGTTTAATGCTGCTGCAAAGCAGTAATTAAAACATCTTGCAGTTGACCTTTTTCTTAACTAGTTTAACCTTTCGCTTTGCCTTACAGCCTATTTGAAGAAGCAGCTGGAGGCCTACATTAAAGTGCTCACCGTGCCAACGCGTTTGCTGCGCATACAGAAACGCGGCGGTTTGGTGCCTGCGCGTTTGCTCGGCGCCGAGCATGCCAAGGGTGATGTGTTGACCTTCTTGGATGCGCATTGCGAGTGTACGCGCGGTTGGCTGGAGCCGCTGCTGCAGCGTGTGAAGGAGTCGCGCAATAGTGTGGTCGCACCCGTGATTGATATCATTTCCGATGATAACTTCAGTTATACGAAAACTTTCGAGAATCACTGGGGTGCCTTCAATTGGCAGCTGAGTTTTCGTTGGTTCGGTAATAAGCGCAGCATAACGCCAGCTAATGCTGATCCGACGCAGGCAATCACATCACCAGCAATGGCTGGTGGACTCTTTGCGGTGGACAAGCGGTACTTCTTTGAAATTGGCGCATACGATAAAGAAATGCGTGTAAGTTTGGAGTGCTTGCATAGTATATTATATAACATTATATTATAACTATTTATATGCCTTGCAGATCTGGGGTGGCGAAAATGTTGAAATGTCCTTCCGCATATGGCAGTGCGGCGGGCGCATTGAAATCTGTCCCTGCTCACATGTTGGCCACGTATTCCGCAGCACAACACCGTACACCTTCCCGGGTGGCATGAGTGAAGTGCTGGGCAATAATTTGGCGCGTGCTGCTATGACTTGGATGGACGATTGGCAATATTTCATACTACTCTATACATCCGGCCTATCGTTGGAGACACGTGAACGCATAGATGTCTCTGAGCGCTTGTCGCTGCGTGAGAAACTCAAATGCAAGCCATTTTCATGGTATTTGGAGCACATCTGGCCGGAGCATTTCTTTCCCGCACCGGATCGTTTCTTTGGCAAAATAATTTGGCTTGATGGTGAAACAGAATGTGCGCAAGCGTACACGACACACATGAAGAACATACCGGGACGTCGTTTGTCACGCGAATGGCCACGCATATTCGAAGAGATCGACAATAATGCTGAAAAATTTATGTCGCTCATCGATTTGGATCGCGATAAGTGCTTGCGTCCGCTGGAGCGAGATGTGCCGCGCACATCAGTGCAATCGGTCACAGTTGGTGACTGTAATGTGCATAGCAAATCAATGGATATGTATGTCATAACGCCGAAGGGTCAGATAATGACCAATGACAACGTTTGTCTGACATATAGTGAGCCGAAACTGGGCGTCATACAGCAGCTGAAGAGTCGCAATTTAACCAGCAATGTGCAGCTAACCCAGTGCCTGGAGGATCCGAGGCAGTTTTGGAGTTACGACATGGATGTGAGTAGTGTTGTATTTTAATGGCTAATAAAATTTATTTTTAGTCGAAAAACTTTTGTTTATTTACTAAGCTTTTATGTACATTTACGATATTACATTACTCGTATATTGCTTATTTCGCAGACTCAGCACATTTCGCATCGCGAATCGAAACTTTGCCTCACGCTGAAGGCAGCCAAAATGCCACGCACCCAAAAGGTGGAGAAAATCGTTGTTGCCATTAATTGTGATTACAAAGACATCACGCAGAAGTGGGGTCTTATACCACTGCCATGGAGAGTTTAAAAAACAAATTACAAATACACAAACAAACAACGCAATTAGCAAAAACACAAAAACAATATGAAAGCTAGGATTTGCACAAGCAATTAAAAATGCCAATTAAATTAAAAAATTTTAGTATACAATTAGAATTAAACAGTTAAGTAGTAAAAGTAAAGAGCGATGAAACGTAGAAAAAGTTGTAGTGAATTATATATACCAGCACCGTGGGCTTGTGATATTTTTTATTTGAAGATTTCGGAGATAAAAATAAGTGTTTTATGTTCGTACAACACGAACTAGACCACAATATACGTTACCCAAACCACCAGTTTGTGAAAAATCGATAAAAATAACAACAACATCGACAAAAACAATAACCACCAAGCAACATCATCAATACTTTACCCACGAAATATATGTATTTATATGGAATTACATACCTGTTTGACTTACTGAAGGCGTTATTTACTACATTATTCTATACTATTTATTTTAACGCTATTTTATATGCAATTTGTAAAACAAAAAACAAAAAAAAAACGTTTATTAACTATGCATACACTTTTGCATATCTATTACAAGAACTAATTTATATTTTCTAGCTTATAAGTTTTTACTAAAGTCTAGCGAGAAATTGTATACTCTTGCTGCTTAACTCGTGAGTTAACTACAATATATGCTATTAAAATAATTTTAAGCTTTTAATTGCTATCGCCGCTAATTACTACTACTGCTGCTAGTAAAATTAAATAATTTGTTTTTTTCAAAAATTAAAAAAAAATAAAACCTGAAACCAACGGCTTCATTACTTCCATATGGTACAAGCAGATGCCTATCAGACAACAACACTTTTGCATTAAAATCATTTTAATTTGTTTAATTATAATTACATATTTATATATAATGTATGCTCTCGCTCCCATAAACATGCAAAGTGTTTGCCTAAGTGTAAACGCGCAATGAACGCATACGCCGCTTACCGTATTAATAGCCAAATGTTCTGCTGCCAAATCTTATGAGTTAGTGTTTGTTAGTGTACTGCATATTAATATTACTCATTATCAGTAATGAAGTTCATTAACATGCGCTACTTGATAGGGGAACATACAATAATATTTATGTACCTTTAACTACATACCCAATAAACCATAGAAATTTAAATGATCGATAATTCGAATGAATTTGTCATCAATTCGAGGGTACGCAGCAGTGAGGTAGTGTATGGAGATGTGTAAGTTAAGCTTTAATTATACCCTGAACAGGGGCGTGGTGATGAGCACGATGAGCTGAGTCAATTTAGCTATGACCATCTGTCTCTATATACTGTTGTGTTGTTGTTGTAGCGACAGAATTCTGCCGAGTTGACAGTCCTTGGCCGGAATAAATCCGGGTGCGTTCCGGTTACGTAGACCCGACTGTCGTGGGAACGGGTCTCTCTGTACCCGAACTAGTCGCTCAAACATCAATCTTTGCACACTCTCAAAGAAGCTGCTCATTTTTTGGAGACGCCGATATCAGACCACTATAACGTATAGCTGCCATGCATATAAACTGAACGATCAACTATATGTCCTTTTATGGAAAACTGTTTTATTTGACGAGGTAACTTCATGAAATTTGGAAAGGATTATTATTCAAGGCAACGGTGTAATCTCCTAAGAAACGATTGCTATCGGATTACTATAGCATATAGCTGCCATACGAACTGACCGATCAAAATTAAGATAAACATCTTTTTATACCGAAGTTAATTGTTTTTTCTTGTATTTTTGTTGTTATTGTAGCAAAGTAAAAAAACGCCAAATGGCTTTGCGTTTCTTTCTGCTTACACATACCGGATTGAAACGGTTTCATTGCTGCATTAGCAGCTACTTTATTCAATTAGCAATTAATTCATTTTTAACTTTTCAATTATGTTTGGTCATATTATATATAAAGCATATTTAAAATGAAGGCACACACCTTTCCACAATTTTTTTAGCTGAAACATATTCACAATTCACCAACTTGCACAAAACTGAACCGCCTACTTTCCATACATCATACTTGTATATTTCGGCGTCAACTTCTTTAAAAATGTTCGTTGGGCATAAAACAAAAAATAGAATAATAATAAAATATCGCCCGGTGTCATTGACAAGCCATGTTCAATATTTATTTCTTTGCATACAATTCTCTGACACCGATTTCAGTAACAACTTTGAGCCGCAAGGAATAAAATCGCTAGCATATTTTAAATATTTCATATTTTACGATTCATAATTTTCATAAATTACGGCGGTTCCGTTAAATTCAAGCAAAACTATAAAAAATGAGTGTGATCTTTGCGGCTGTCAAGTGTTTCGTCTTCGCTTTCAATTTCTTTAGTTTGGTAAGTGTAGCGCAAAAGAAAAAAAATATATGAAAGCATCAATGAAAAAAGTCGGTGTTTGCAGTTATACTTAAGTATTATTGTTTGGCATCCTACGAGTATTTTGCACACTTTACTTTGTTAGTAATTGTGTGACCCACTTATTATTTATTATTGTTTATTTACTTCTACACTTTTTGTGCTAATTTCTCCATTTTTTTGCAGTTACTGGGCATTTGTATTGTTTGTTTGAATATTGTCGGTTTGGAGTTTGCCATACCGAATACCGATGAGCACACATACTGCATAGTTGGTATCATATTGGGCTCATTCGTATGCATGGCCACATTATTTGGCTGTTATGGCGTCATCTGCGAGTCGTTGGGCGTCAATGTGATTGTATGTTCTGCTTTCAATTTTTATTGATATCTACAAATTAATTATTAATTTCAAACAATTTCACCTTTTAGTACTCCTTCTTTATGTTGATGTTGTTGTGCACGCAGTTGTTGCAAATGCAGACGTATAAACATCAGAAATTCTTCATAAGTGCGCTGGATCTACTGGAGGATGCCTGGGATGATGTGGATGTGGATCCGAATGAAATGCAGGCGGTGGAGATAAATGTGAGTGCGTTGGGGTATTTATTTAGAATTTGTATTAGTGTTATTATTTCATTGCATATTATTTAAATTAATTAATTTTATTAATGAATTTTTTTATATTCTCAATAATTTGCTTATTTTTTTCTATATTTTTTCTCGTTTATCAAATTATAATATATTTCCTTTTAAATTTTCTTTCTTTTCTACTTACATATGTATATCTGAGTTAAAAGAGCTTAATTAGACTTAATATAATCTAGACAAATGAAATAATATTAAATTCGAGAGTCGATTGAAAAAGCTGTTAAGTAATTAGATACAGTGTACATCTCACGATTTTTACTATGTATTAAAATATCTGCCTGGGTATCGACTTAAGCTGCATAATTAAACAGTATAAACGTGACCGCTGGATTTATATATAATTTTCCTTTTGCTAATAGAAATTAGAAAATAAAATAAATAATAAAATTATAAAAAAATATTGCCCAACACAGTAGGCTAAACTCTATGATGTTACAAAATTAAAAAAGTATAATAATAATTGAGCGCAGTTTATAAAATTAGTTCATTATTAACAAAGTTTTATTTCGATCATCTTTTTTTTAAATAACTTATTTTAAATTTTTATATATATTTTTTTGAGCTGTTTTAAAATAATAGTCAGAGTTTTAACTGAATAAAAATTTTTGACACTAATGTCACGTTTTTTAGTTCAAGCTGTCGCGATTTTTTAGTTAATTTAATTTAACTTTTTTTAATAATTTCTATAAAATAAAATAATTTTTTATGTAATATAATATTTTTTTCTTAAATATGTACATAAGTTATATCATTTTGTTGCACGTTATATAATTATTTTTTGTTTAAGTATATATTTTTCGGTTCATTCATATGCATATTATTTATATTTTTTTTTTTTATTTAACCAAAAAAGTTTTTTTTAGTAATTTATTCAGTTTAATTTATATTTTTTTATTATATGTCTTAATTGTTACAATTTTTGTTATTTTTATGCCATTATTTTCATATATACATTTCATTATCTCTATTTCAGTATCATTGCTGTGGTCTCTACAATGCCAATGACTACAAGTACAGACGCATGGAGACGCCAGCGAGTTGTTATCGCTTCCAAAATGCTACGCTTGAGTCGAATTTATTCTCGCGCGGCTGTGTGGAAGCACTGGAAACGTCGTATCACAAGACCATGGAGCGTGAAAACATTTTTAACTGGTCACTATTAATTTGTGAAGTAAGTAGGTCTTAAACATAAAGAAGAAAATTAATTAAATACCGTCATTATCTGTATAAAAACGTATGACCATATTTTCGTATTGCAGTGTGCAGTCTTCCTCTACTCGTGCATACTGAGTATTTTGCTTTTCAAGCGCTCTCAATCAACAGATCACACACCAGAAGATGGTCATGTGCCACCCCAGCCGATACAACGAATTAATCATTGCAATTCGCGAACTCACCTGTTGTCTAACTAAATAAATGGTGGTAAAACAAATATGAAATGCAAAAGTCTGGTAAAAACTAATTTTTTTCTATTTAAATTATGTGTATTATATAAAAATTCGAAAATACTGTTATACATACATATATACTAGTACCAACAAATTATAGGTTATCTTAAATTAATTGTAGATATGTTGTATAAACATATATAGTACATAATATAAGCATGAATAAACTGTTTTTGTTAAAATATGTTTGTAAAATCACAACACGCGACTATTTTCACCCATCTTCATTTGAATTTATTACAATTTAGTATCAAAATATTATATTGTAAATATGTATACTAGAATTGTACATAAACAATTTTTAATAAAAAAAAATTTGTTTGACTACTTAAAAAAGGATGTTGCATAGATGGGTATGTTTGTATATACTATAAGGTTTCATAATCTCCAGCTCGATGGTAAATTAATATCAATACGAATGCAAATATCAAAGCCAGCAGCTGGAATAAATAATGATAAATATTAAAAAAAATTGCTTTCAAGTTCATATGCATATATTAAAATTAATTAAAAAAGTAATAGTAATACGAGGGTGGTTCTATAATTAAAGCCTACAAAAGAGCAATAGAGATTTCGAAAAATTGCGATTTATTTCCGAACCCAGTCTCCTTTCATTTCAATACATTTGAATTGACGATTCTTCAACGACTGAAAAATACGTTTTCTGGAGGTCTTCTAATTTGGCCTCCGTGGCGGCTGTGGCCTCCTCATTCGACTAAAATTTCTGCGCGACGAGTGACTTTTACCATCGGAAACAAGAACAAGGAAATGATCGTACAGAGCCAAAACTGGAAATAACGGTGAAAAAGGCAGAAGTATAGCCTGATGATAGCCTAGGTCCGACAACCTGGACGCGATTGGCGGAGTTGTGATCACATACGTTGTCATACTGGAAGATCACTACTTTTTCCCCTAATGGTTTAATTATACCCTGAACACGAAGTTTGTGACACCCAAAATGAAAGGTTGGAGACCCCATAAAATGTATATATAAATGATCACCGTGACGAGCATAGTCAATTTAGCCATCACCGTCTGCCTCTTTATGTATAAGCAAACTAGTCCCTCAGTTTTTAAACTATCAATTTGAAACTTTGCTCACGTCCATTTCTCCCCAAGAAGCTATTCAACTACCGATATCAGATCATTGTAGTACATAAGTAGCTGCCATACAAACTGAAGTTATTTTAAATTATTTATTTGTGAAGGGTGTTATAGCTTCATACTGTTGCTTAGTTTCGGATATATATAAGTGGATCCATATTCAGTCGACGGTCACGAAACAACGCAGAAAGTACTTATTGCGCTTAAAGAGCTTTTAACACCTTTGAAGAGCGATCAAATTTGATTTGATTATTCTGCGCGATTACACTTCTCGAATCAAGAATCAAATCACCGACAGAAATCCCTCCTCGCTTCCACACCCGATCAAAACAAATTTACAAATCCGATTCGTCTGAAAATTGTTGTAGTTATTGGCTACGAGAATGTATTACAAGATAACATTCATCTCTTTCGCTAGTGGCGCAATCCAGGTATGAGCCTAAGTGATTATCGAACCGCCCTCATACATAGTAATAATGACTCATATTAAATAACTCGAGCTGAGCTTTGTTTTCAAAAATAAATTCCGCCTCTAAATATGAGTGTAACAGCATTATTTTCGATCAATTAAGACCCAGTTCGCTGACGTCCCTATTTTATTTACTAAATTCCTATGGACTGTACTCCGATTTTGATAATCTACAGCGGTCACATATCTTTGTAAAGCTTATGCAGTTCATCGCTCCATCTTCTGTGATAATGTGCAAATAAATCTATATATACATATATGTATATAATACCATAAATATTTCGCAAATATTTTATCTCTAAAATTCGAAGAGCCACCTCATTCCTACCTCTCTTTCTTCTACGCTATATACATGTCGGCTAGAGAGCGGATTTATTGCGTTGTTAATCTCGCCATTTATATATAAAAGCATATCTCAGCTGTAGCAAGACATTAAATTATTGAAAGCAATTGTACCCGATTTCGCTACGTAATTATTGCATGCGGATTACCAGTTCTTGATATCAGAAAGTCGAGCACTTACTATTTTTTCACGATATTATTATATTGATAGAGACAGTACGTTTTATGAAAACTCCGGTAGAAAGAAGGCCAAAACATACAAACAAAAATATAAAGTAAAACTTAGTAGTTCGTAAAACTTCCAACTTCCTCCGATCTTTTTATGGGTTTATTAATTTTTGTTTTTCCAGATCAGGAGGGATTTTTCCCACGCGATAAATATATAATTATTAGTTTCATATATACCATAAAATATATTCATTTTCGCTTAAAGCTTACCTGCGCTACAGCCAGTGTATAGCCAGCGTAAGATAACGCATTGCTCGCTCTTCCAGCGGCAAATTGCACCTTCTCTAAACAGCCTTCATTATAGTGGACCCAGGCGTCATTCTCGTCATAAAAGCAACTAGCAGGTAGTGGTAAATTTATAGAAGTGTAGTCACTAGAATTATGCAGGCCGCAGCAATGAAACTAAACAATTAAAGAAAAATTAGAGCTATTTAAAAGTTATTAATAACTCGAAACTAAATGTTTGAATATATCTTTACCAATTCCTTTATTTTATTCCCACTTACCCGACTTTCGATATCAGCCATTGGACCTTCTTTCACCAATTCTTTTTCCCACAGCAACTCTACGGCTTCGACTGTGGTCGTGATTATGCTCGTCGCTTCGAAATGCGTTACGATATACATTTGTGTGACGAATATAATTGTAACCAAGGCACAATACTTAAAAGAAATATAAAAGCTGTCAAGCATGCATGTAATTCACACTGCGGTATTTACTTTATATGAAAAAACTATAAAATAAAGAATATAAAAAAAATGTATGATATCGGCTGTTGTTCTTAATTTTGATGACTAATTCAATATACATGTGCATGTACTTTGATCAGCGGAATGCTAGGCTAAAAGCCTTAGTTATCCAAACTGTATACAGTGCGTTCAAAAAATAACGTTTTCGTTTTCCAAAGTGTAGGTAGAGTTTAATGAGAAAACTGTTGTAAATAATTATAAAAAATGTATCTTTTTGTTATAGCTAACGTTTATTCAATAATTGCTCCAAACCCCCGCGTTGTATATTATAGCCTAACATCTTTGATGACAACTTGCAACTAAATTTCCGGTATATACCACAAGAAGCAAACACCAGGTATGTTGGAGTAGCCGAATGAAATCATTTGTTGACGTTAAATGTTTTCTTGATATTTTGGCTCTCATTAAAGTCCAAACATTTTTTATTGGATTGGGATCTCGGGACTGTGATGGCCAATCTACCATAAAGTAACAATATGTTACACACAATTTCTGACGAATCGTATGGTAACAAGATGGTTTTCATTGAGTCCAGAGTCTGTTCCTACAAGTATGTTTCGAATCATTGTCTTCTTGCTGCATCCAATCAGGTTTATTTTTGCCTTAAAGCATGTCACCTAACTTCAGTAAACCCTTTTTATTTAATTTATCATTCTAACTGCGTTCAAGTTTTCTGTGAAGTATCACAAACCCCGGAATCCTTGAACAAAGAAGTTTCCATAAATATGAACTACTTGGGTGTGCTTGACACTCCTTTGTATAAATTTTTGTGCTGTTCTTAGCCAAACACGTCTCAAGCGGCTGAACAATACAAAAGTTAACTCACCTGTAAAAATCACATTGCTATAGTCAGAGTTAGTGTTGCGCCTAATGCACTTATTTTGCAGTTTGTTTTTGAAAGTAGGGTTTGAATAGAGTAATACTGCGTATGTTTGCCAGATCTGTGATGGCTGTTCCGTATTGTATTTAGAGATACATCTAATCTCTTTTTAAACAATCTTTTTAGTTTCTCTGAGCAATGGTTTCTTTTCAAAAAACAAAACAATAGCTTTGTTCTCACTTCTAGATGTCACGCGATTCGTCCCTCTTCCTGGCTTTTAATCTACGTTTCCAGTTTCTCCATAACTGTCAGTCCCCCACTTCACAAATAAACAACTTGTATTTAAATGATTTGTAGCTTTTTTAATAGTCCATTTGGGACCTTTAGGCTGCTTTAAACCGTTTCTTATACTGAGCACTCATTTTTTCTATTTTACGGCGCGACGTGACAAATTAAAAAGATCGAAGAAAATTGCTGAATTTTACGCGCCAGTGATCAAAATTGACCTTGTGTTAATTTACAAAAGAATAATTTTCGAATTGATCGCGCAAAGCAAAAACGTTATTTTTTGAATGCACTGTATGTAAGTGATCAGCGTGACGAGCTGAGTCAATTTAGCCATGTCCGTCTGTATACATGCTAACTAGTCTCTCAATTTTTGAGATATCTATCTGAAATTTTGTCCACGTCCTTTTGTCCCCAAGTAGCGGTTCATTTGTCGGAGTCGATATCGCACCATTATAGCATATACACACATAAATGTGTGCCTATCTGCCATAAAAACTGACCTATCAAACACAAGTTCTTGTATGGAAATTGTTTTTATTTGACAAAGCATTTTCACAAAATTTGCCATAGATTATTTTCCAAGGCAAAACTACAATATCCGAACAAATTGTTCAGATCGTACAACTATAGCATATAGCTGCCGTCCAAGCTGATTGATCAAAATTAAGATAAAGATATTTTTATACCCTCTGGTGGTATTAAAATACACTTGAAGGACACTATAGCTACGGTGCTGTAGAAATTAACGTATTTTATAGTTTAAATAGCACTCTTTTGATTGTGTTTAGACTCTTTTACCAACGCTTTGTTTTACTTTACATAAGTTTGGGATTTCACTGTATTTGTAGTGCTATAATCGAACCCTTATTTGGAGACATTTGTATTTCCATTCTGCTAGATATATACCTTACCATTCCACTGACAAACAAGACAACCTAACATTGCAAAAGACCATTTACACCTACTACTGTGTTTAATTAATGAAGAATCAGTCTTAATGTTACAGCTACAGACACATAAATGTCTTGAAAATTCCCCTACTGCTTTTGTTCTTAAAAGACTCAACTTGAAAATTATGGACAGCCGCTAGGTTAAAATACAAATTAGAAACTCTGGCGTTCTAGCGTACTTTATTCAGCAAAATACAATATTAACGAACATTTTTCTGATAGATGTATACGAGTATATAATTTCGACCGGCAAGACCTGTTTGGATCAAAGAATGCCAGACATTGAAATGCTGATCAATGTTTGTCGCAATTGACTGACTTTAAGATTCCACACACCTTCAGGCTCATATTAGAAGTAAAAAACAAGTATAAGGAAATCATTTCTTTGACTAATCTCTTTATTGGCGTCAAAAGAAAAGTTATCGAAAAAATTTCTTATAAATTATTTGACAGAGAATATGTCTTTCATTAATTTTGTTCTTTTAAATAATGTAATAACTGCTCCATTACTTTCTGGATACTAAAACTAAGGTTAACATTTTATGTATCATGACTCGACACATATCATGACCGGACAAAACCAGTGTATATTTTGCATGAATTGAAGTGCTTTGCTTTAAAATTGAGGGATAAAATTTTTTTGCAATTTTTCTGAATCTACCGTTAAATCACAATACTTCTTAGATAGGATTTATACTGATCACTATAGAAACAACAACAAAACCAACAAACAGTATTTTATTTCCCATACATACTACAATAAAAAGTTGGTATTGATTTGTTGAAAAACTGTTTTTTTTTGTTCAAAATAGAATTTTATTCCAGAATTCTTCGTTCTAATGTGGTATAATTCCTGATTTCTTTATCATTCTTAATTATGAACTTCCTACATTACAACAGGGTAATTAGCATCACATTCTTACCAACCACATCAATGCAGCCTTCGGTGGCTTTATGGCCCGATAGCCAACCACAGAGTTCAGAGCCGTTAGGAGTCCCGCCATTATGCCAAGTATACAATAAATCAAATGCAAATTCTGTACGGAGTCCATGAAGAGCGCACACAATAGCACCATAATCAGACCGACGATCTGTAAACACATACATACATACTTATAAATTTTTACAAAAGCTTTTAAAAGTAACGTCGATTTTAAGTTTTAGATAAAGTAAATATAGGTGAATGGGCAGTTAGATTGCTGGGAACTTGAAGATAAGAAGTGTAAATGTGTAAACAAAAGAAAATTGTTGGCAAGTACGAGAAGACGGAGAAGACTCACTAAGCAGAGCGTGTTGGCGCACAAGTACATGTGCTTTATTAAAGGTGTTGCGAAAATCATTGCGCATTTGTTTACTTATTGTTATTGTTGTACACTTTTTTTTATTAAATAATTAATTTTGGTTTTTGTTTATTTGCACTAATTTCACACTTTCCAAATTTCGATACAAATTTTATTTGCACTGTGTTTATTTTCATTTACTAAAATCGTTTTGCTAGCTTTAAATCTATTTTTGATCTCCTTTCTTCGACGTAGTAGAGGTTTTACGCGTGCCCATTTGCAATGAACTGAGACCGTCTGCCGATAGACGGCGTCAAACTCATTCGCTGTGAAGCGCGCAAATCAACTAAAATAATTTTGCGGGGAATTCGCATAATACTTAACAACTGTATACGCATACTTTTGTACATACACATACATATGTACTTATGAGCAGACGGGATTTACAACGCACTGCCTGCCGATAACTCGAATAAGAATGCCTTTGTGGTATTTGTCAAAGGCTGTGCAGAACTCTACACGCGGTATTATGGACTTCAGCATTGAATATTACTTGTATATAAAAAATATATTCAGTGATGGATTTAAACTTAAATAATTCAAAATTCCATTTTCAGAGGCAGTTTCAAGCAGCTGATAGAGATGTCAGTTAATACAGTAGTGTTCCCAGTTGATAAAACTTCGTCATCTGCTCGATATTTAGCAAATTCTCCAGATATGCCATTAACTCTCATCATCTTAACATCGGTTTAGGACACCGACACCAATAAGCTGTCATTTTTTTTATTCGGGAGCTTTATTTTATTGTAACTAAAAACGCAGACCTTAAAATTTTTTTTAATTTTTCCACATTATAGAAATTGAATTCCCTCATTAAATGTATGTTTATATTTTTTTTAAATTAAAAGCCGACACGACTAACAATATGCATGAAAGTACAGAAAGGAGGTGAAAGCACAAAAAAAGTTCAACTCTCTACAACAAAGAGCTGTCGATCTGTAAGACCTATGTTAGCAACAAAGAGTTAACAAACACTTTTTCAAATAAAAATCGTTCAATGACAAAAGTTCCACTTAATTTTGGAACCTTAATTATATATATATTTATATACTCGTATATTCATGTACCGCATTCACTAGTCCATATTGATCGAATAAAAGAACTATATTTTTCAGACGTGAATAAACAGAGACCAGATGCACTATTAACAATGAATCATTGACTAAGTCGTCAATACACATTTATTTATACATTTCACCATTGTATTTACGTGACTACACGTATTTTAAATATTATATATATACATAAATATAGTTTTTATCGCTTTTGATACCAGACATTGAAGGAAAATCCAACTTATTTCTATTCATAAGCAAAAATATGAAAGTTTTGATAAGGGTACCTACGCGCCGTCTACATAAATATGTACTTTGAGTGGTACAGTAACAGTCGATAAATCCGAACTAGATCAAGAGAACTGCCATGTGGTTTTAAAAAAATTTATAGTAATTAGAAGAACTTTCATACGTAATAAATAAATTAGCAGAATTAGTTATTAGTCTTAATCATTCTGCAAACTGTCTGGTAAAACGAACGCTCATATTTATCTACATTTATAAAACAAAAAATGGCAGCTAACTTTTTAGACTAGCATGTGTTTCATTTAAACCAAACTGCCAACTACGTTGCCGTCGACAATAATCTATGCCAAATTTCGTGAATATATCTTGTCAAATGAAAAACAGTTTGTATGCCTGCTATGTGCTATAGTGGTCCCGATATCAGCGGTTCCGACAAATGCAGCTTCTTGGGGAGCAAAAGGCGTGAGGAATAAATTAGTTCGATACCTCAAAAACTAAGATATTAGTTTGCGTATATGCACACAGACAGGCTAAATCGACTCAGCTCATTATTCTGATCATTTATATATATATTTTTTATAGTGTATCCGACTTTTCCTTCACGGTTTTACAAACTTCGTGGTAAATGTAGTCATAATCTCAAGTTCTTTTATTATTTTTTTTATCCTTTTCATAGGCTTAAAAAGTAACTGAAATGAAGAGGTCAATTGCCAAACGCCTATTTTAAAAGCTTCGACAATTCATACTGACGAACCATTATAGAAATGTAAGAAGACCATTACAACAAACGCATTACTCTAAATCTCGGCTCACATAGGCTCTCAACAACATCACGCTGGCTCCGTTTGGCTCGCCTAAACATCACTAGTAACATGGACATCATATTTTAAGAACAATACGCAAAATGATCTCAACAAGCAAGTTGTCTTGCTCTGGCGCCATCTGGCTGGCATGTGGATCACTCGAAACTAACGGACAAAAATCAATCGTCATTCATTCGCTGCTGACTGATATTAGCTCATATTCACTTAGCTCTATCAAACGAATTTGATTTGCTGTCAGTCAGTATAAACATAGTTGTGAATCGAAATATTTTTGTCATTACGACATTAATTTTTATTGACGAAGTTTTTGGTCACCCTTATTCCAGTAGGAGATTATATCTGAGAATGAAGTCGTAATTTCCTTCCAAACAATTTTTTGCCGTGTTAGTTCAAAAGTTTTTAAATGGTCCAAATTACTACAAATTTTCTATAAGTGAAACTATTTCAAGTATTTTTTACTGTAAAATTTTATAAATAATTATTTGATATGTGAATATTATAAAATAAATATTGTATATTTCCAGGTTACTTTATCTTACATAACTATTTAGATCTATAAAAAAAACAATGCTAGTAACTATATCTACGTGACTTTGTCAGCAACTTGCAGATCAGTAAGAGAGATATCAATATGCCAATACCCTGTAAAGTAGAAATAAAAAATAATAATATTTAATATAATATACTTGTATAATATTTTTTTCAATTGAAACACTCACCTCAAAGCCAATGAGTAGCGAATGACCCAAACGCTCATAGCGATAAATAGCCATATAAGCACGCTTCAGCGCCACTAAACAGCCTTCATCATAAGGATAGATGCTGCGCAAACCGCTTTGAGAACGATAGCAAGTGAGCGGTATTTTCACATTGAGATTCACATAATCCAAACTACTCGAAACGCCACAGCATTCATACTTTACAAAGGAAAAATTATCTTCATTTCTATATATGTAGATATATATAACAAAATCTTACTACTTACCGTCTCTTGTATGGGATTCATGGCGCCTTTTTTCACAAGCTCCGACATCCAGGCCGCGGTCAGCATTTTCTCTGTTGCTGCCATTTGTTTGGTCTCATTATAACGGTATAACTTCCATATATGTGAAGCTATCATGGCTATTAGCATTGTGACATACTAAAACAAAGTTTTGAAAACGTTTTTTTTTTGTTGCATTAACCATATGTACAAGTAGAATCTTCACTCACACAACAGAGTATCCTAACGGATCCATTCATCGCGCCCAAACAGCCCACAAATGAAGATAGCGCCAGCAAACTAACGGAAGCCAGCTGAACAAGCTTCTCTCTGTGCTCAGCTGAGCCCTCTGTGAATTTCTCCAATTCATATATGCAGGCGACCACTGAGAGTATGCCTATAATCTGTAGTATAAAATCAATATCGAGAATTTTATTCGAGAAAATGTATTTTTATTATGAATGGAAATAATGTATGTACAATAACATTAGTCTGCAGTGGTTTTTTCGCCCTAGATATAAGATCGATTTTGAATATAATGCCCACAGTTCATAACACTATCAATGATTTCTTTTATCATTTTCCAGTTGACAATCTTTTTTTAAGTACCAGAAGTAATCTGCCGTCACGTGACGATGCCATCAACTTTGATACCTTTCTTTATTCACTTTCAGACCTTGGTGGTACCAGTCATAACTTTGATATAAATCTGCATCTTTTATGAATTGCCGTACTTTGCCGAAGTTTTCTACCCTCCCTTTCACTTCTACTGGTAGATTGTACCGATTTCTGGGAATTTAGCGGCATCATTGTTTCGGAAGGGATGCGAATTACTTTTGAAATACAAGGAGAGATTTTCATTGAGTAAAATCGGGCGTTTTGTAGAGTGTGAGTTTAGATGTCTTCACGTTTGATTTTTATTAAAACTTTCGCAAATTTTCGGTAAGAGCCTGCAAAGGGGGATCATATGATGCTAGTATGCGCGAAAAATAGGGCGTTGAACCCCAATGATGACTAGAAGAATAAATTTTATTATTAATAAGCCGACAATTAATCAAAATACCATATAAGAAACAAGAATAAAAACAAGAATACATTGAATACTTTCATGAGAAAATTCTTAATCTGGGCACTTAAAACTTTTAAAATTGACTAAGATATTTAGGGAAACCCAATATATATATATTTTTTTAAGGCTATGTAATTATCAAGCCATTTTTTAAGCCAATCAGGTTTATTTATAAAAAAAAAACAGTCCCAATTCAATATTTTTAGAAGCGCATCCGCTGTTAGAGAAACCTGGATAAACCATTGACAATTGACTTCCGTTTTCACAAAAACTCAACATTATTTGCATCGTATTCGTTGATTTTTTCAGTGGAAAGTGAATATCAGAGGGTAAATTTGCATCGAATAAAGTTATAATGAGTTATTAAGAATCTTCAATAAATTCAGTAATCGAGGTATGAGATAAGGAACATTCCCATTTGTAGCCCATCTACGTTCAATGATATGGTTTTTACAGTCCATTTAACGGCGCTGTAATTAACATAAATTTTCTTTACCTTACCAACTACTCAAACCAGGAAAACAATAATTAAAATCAATTTGCATTTGCCATCCGGGCATTAGCCACCATCAACCACGTCTAAGTTGCAATATAAACAAGTAAGGAAGATCTAATGTAACCGAACATTTTATACTCTCGCAAAGTCAAATGGTATACTCGTTTGAGATTTCTTTGTGGATTGGCTGATATTTTCGGTAGATATTTTCGGTAGAAGGTCAATTATAGGCACTGGGGTCCACATATTTAGTACTTAGGGGCTTGAACAGTTTTGGTTCGATTTAGACAATTTTTGGTCACAAGGTGGCATACATTAAACGTATAATTCACGCAAAGTTTTACCCCGATATAATCATTTTTGCTTGATATGCATAGTGGAAAGTGAAAGAATCAGATGGAATTGAAAATGGTGTTATATGGGAAATAGGCGTGGTTGTAGTCCCATTTAGCCCGTTTTCGCAATATAACATAGAAATATAAAAAGAACGTTATGCGCCGAATTTGGTTGAAATCGGTTGAGCAGATCCCAAGATATGGGTTTTCACCTAAAAGTGGGCTGAGCCACGCCCACTGTCTAATTTTGGACGCGGTTCCTATAAAGTCATCTCATACCATCCCAGATATAAAATTTAATGTCTCTGGCGTGTTTAGTGCTTGATTTATCGCGCTTTTAGTAAGTTTTAACAGTACCGTTATATAGGGAGTGGGCGGAGTTGCCACCCGATTTCAACTATTTTCACACTGTAGGTAGAAGTTCTTAAAACATTTGTTTTCAGTGAATTTTGTTATTATAGCATTAGCGGTTTAGGAGATATGCACATTAAACCTATTAGAGGCGGGACCACGCCCACTTTTAAAACACATTTTTTAACTGCAGATGACCCTCCCTAATGTGATCATGTGTACCAAATAACAGTCTTGTATCTTATTGCGGAGCTTAGTTATGGCAATTTATTTGTTTTTGATTAATGGCGTTTTGTGGGCGTGGCAGTGGTCCGATTACGCTTGTCTGCAATACCAACCGTCTCACGGTACCAAGAAACATGTCTATTAAGTTTCATAAAGATATCTCAATTTTTACTCAAGTTACAGCTTGCACGGACGGACGGACAGACAGTCACCCGGATTTCAACTCGTCTCTTCATCCTGATCATTTATATATATATAACCCTATATCTAACTCGATTAGTGTTAGGTGATACAAACAACCGTTAGGTGAACAAAACTATTATACTCTGTAGCAACAGGTTACGAGAGTATAAAAAATAAATTATCTTTTAATTATATTGGTCATCAAAATATTTTTTTTGTACAACGTTTTTGTATCATCTAAGAAGTGCACATCACTCATACGTCGTGTTGGCTTCTTGTGCTACTTTAAAAAGAGATAAGTGGGACTTATCAGATTTTTTCTTTATGTATTTCATACGTCGTGTCAATCAAATGCAATCAGAGATGACAACTGATTAATTTTCCGTTTTTTAATAATTGAGAAGAACGGTCGATATCAGAAAAAACGTTATGTTTAATTTTACATTTTGCCCCATACAAGTTTTGAGCACTTCACCTGACCAACCAAATTATATTATATTTGCCTGCGAGGGCTACTAACAGCCTTATATTGTACATACATTCCCATGTGGGCATTCAATAGTTGATTTGGGACATTATTTATACGAAATGGCAGTCCACAATATCCAACTTATCGTTGGAGAAACATAATTTTATTATATTTTTGGGGCCATACCTTTAAATGTGTAATAAATTTAAAGGAAAATGTGAAATTTGTATTAAATGTGCTATAAATCAAAAATATTTTTAATTTTTTTTACTAGACTGCTGCCACGCTTATTAGTCCCACATCAAGAATTAACTATTTAAAATAAATAAAATTTAAAATAAAAGTTATTAGTTTAATAGGTCTAATAATTATAATTAATATAGCTAATGGGGCATTTGAACGGTTTTATCGCTTAAATAACCTTGTATTCGTCCTACTTATGGGCAAATCAAAAAAAATGGCATAAGATGTTTTTCAGTCAATAAAATTATGTGCGTCATAAAAAATGGAAACAAGCTAAATGATAAGAAATTAAAGCGAAAACAACAATAAAAAATAAAATTAATTTCGTGCAATAAATATTATAGTATGTATGCATGTGAGTAAAAATTTTAAATTAGCATAAAATATATGTAGACACATGCTTGTAAATACATATTTATGTATATGTATATATGTATCATGTACATAGATTCGTATATAAGTCTTGCAAGCATTATTTATTTGTTTGCTTGTATTTTTTATATAAGTCTGTAGTGTGACAACTTGACATTGTCTAGTTAAAAACATATTTTTCATTTTCCACGCACAATATAAGGTGTCAAAAACATGAAAGAGCATTTTGAGTCCCAACCAAACAAAATCAAAAAAAAAAATTAACAAAAAAAATCATGGAGATCAACTTAAAATGAGACAACATCCATAAAACTGTAATGCCATTTTATATGCAAAAAAGATATATATATAAACATATTGTGGATAAAAAATAGTGGATTAGTGGCAGGTTAATAAATTTTATGCATACATAGGTGCGTATTAGGGTATCCGTTATTTCCCAAATGGATTTTTATTCTGCCAACGACCCCCCGAAGTTTCAGTTTTTGCCTAAAAAGTTAAATTTATGCATCACATGTACTGAGCATTCAAACTATGTACAAGTGCTTTATGAACCCTATGTTGCTCATACGACATGTAGACCTAACTAGATAATTTTTGAAAGAAACCAAATTATACTTAAAGTAGTGTGTTTGAGACATAAGAAGGTAAGTTTACCCCAAATACCGGTAAAGAATTTGTTTTGTACAAGATAAGAATAAAAAACCTAAAAGTTAAAACCCATAAATTTTAAGATTATGTAGAAATGGCGTGAATACAAAAGGTTTTCGCATATAACTTTTACTTGTTTAATGCAAAATATAAAAAAGTGCCATGCTATATACATGGGAAAGGAAACATAATTTTGGCACAGTTTAAATTGAAAATAAAGAGCTTGTTTACTTGCATAAAAAATAAATTTGGCAAATAACGGACACCCTAATTTGTATATATCAACAATTATTTATATATACGAGCCTGAATAGAATATCCTCTCATTTTTTAATGATCAAAAAGTCACAGTATTAACGCCAGAGAATAATTATAAGAATGAAAAACAAGGCTAAGTGCAGATGTAACCAAAAATTTTTACTCTCGCAAATTTCAAAGATCAAAGTCGGGGGTATATTTTTAGGCCAAAGTTTATATACGTATTAAACAAATGTTACGTAAAAATTCAACACTCATTATTCGACGAAACCATGAAAGGTTACAATCATATTTGATATCTACTTTTAACTATAGGCTATATAATAAATTAGTTATATTAAAATGAATCTAACTAACACAGATCTCCTAATTTATAATACATATATATAAGTGCTGGAGGAAGATACATATCATCATTAAGATAACTCACATATCGAGCGACATACGGAAGTTCGAAAATATGTATATTAGACATGAGTCTCCATTGTGCCGATTTTACCGATTTGCTATCTGGGAGCTTGAAATTTTATGGTCCCCTTTTGGCTATTATTGGGTAAGAGTTGGATACCTTGAAGGCACTTATTGCGCAAAGTTTTGTTCTGATATCTTTTCTAGCGCTTCGTTCATGTACTGTAAAGTCTTCTGAATCAGTTGAAATTTAAAATTTTGATATATGGTACGTAGGCGTGAGTGAAGTCCGATTTCGCCCATTTTCTCACATTAGAATATTATCATAATGCTTTTCACAATTTTTACACCTACGAAGTCCTAACACACTGTCTTGGCGGTCGACTTTACTTAGAGTGTTGTACTTTTAGTAGTTTTCCATATAACCGTTATATGAGCGTGTGGGTGGTTATCATCAGACTTTACCCATTTTCACAGTGTAGGTTGATTCAGCTTTAGTACTTTGTGAGATATATACTTTTAGCCTATAAGGGGGCATGTCCAGCTTTTAAAAATCAACCAATCAAATACGCCCTCTATACTTCGATGCCGCGTACCTAATTTCAGTTTTTTGTCTTTTTTTTTGGTGCGACAAATATCTGTTAGGTAAACACAATTATTATTCTCTCTGCAACAGGTCCGCGGTTCAATATGAACGCAACCGTAAGGGACAATGGTTTTGCGCATATTTTCCACCCTCCCACTTTTTAATGGTGAAAACGCCAAATCGATCTACAGTAAGCGATAGAATGGAGAGGAAAACATTTTTTTTTTTGTGGTTTAAATAAATATATGAATTACTCGAAACAAACGATTCAAACTATTTGATATGTTTATTTACGATATTAAAAAAGACTAGATAAACATCAAACTGACGATTCTGCTATTTAAATGAGATCATGATTGGTAAATATTGGAAATAACCAATTTATTCTTATTAAATTTTTTTAATTTCAAAAAGAAACCACTATATGGATCACTTTTTTCACAACAAGTCATTTGTATTGTTAATATATATTTATAGAAGGAATTTCCACAAATTGTTTTTTTCATAAAATACTTCACAGCATCTTTCTGTGTTAAAGCTTTAACCCACCAAACTCAGCGTGTTGAAAACGATCACAGTCCATTGCAGACAAGATCTGCTAAAAGCCATTGTTAAAGGCATTGTTGTGGTTTATTATGTTAAATTTATTTGCATAAACTTTTTGGAATTATTCAATTAAATTTTTATTTATTTAAATTTTCAATCAAATTGAATTATAAGTACGCGATAAATCTACGGATTTGCTGCTTTCTTCACAATCACAATTAACAATCAGAACGCACAAGGTGCTTGCGGCACCTTTAAAGACGAACGACAAACTGTCACATTGAAAGCGATTTAAAATTTTCAAAACACTTGCATTTTCAAAAACTTTCGAACAACAAAGTCTCATTGATGTGTGAAACGTGTCTCTTTGTGATGGCGGATGTGTGTGTGCATAAATGGGCGTGTGATGAGTGTGTTGTTATTGACTTAGCATAATCATATTCATAAAATTGTGGTGTATATATTTTCCATACCTCGCCTTTTTTACCCAGCCTCCTCACACCAACTTGTGACTGCAGATCCGCTGACGTGACACACATTGGCCGTTTATGTGTTCATTAGCTAGCGAAAGTGGGCGACACTGATGGATATATGTGTGTTTGTTTTCATCTGCTTTGGAGGAGCGGAAAGGCGCGAAAATTTCGCGGTCACAATTGAAATTGCCAAACAAAAAGACTCACAGAGCATCAGTTTTGCTGATGTTGGTCTGGTATGTGTATTATTTTTTATTCTATATTAGATATATCAGTCACAATTATGTTTATTTTTAAACATATTTCATTAGCTTTTAAATATGTGGAATCAGTTGAGTTCATTTGGTTTTCCAAATTAAATTTTATTTATATAGCTAGACACTTGTTAAGCCGTCTGTCAGAAGCGTTATAGCGAAAAAAACTGATGGATTTCGTGAACACTTAGGTCAAATCGCTAGATTTGTTGAAGTATTCATCATGCTTAATATTTATAAGTACCATGTATGTACTCGTATATCTGAAAATGCGTGTTGTTATTAAATAAATTTTAAATGATTTAGTTATATTATTTCTTAGTTACTTTACAGAATCTCTGAACTCTACTAATAGGTGGACAAACCCGAAACGATCTCAGGAAGCATCATTGAGATGATGAAATATGATTTCATAAACCATTTTTCTAAAATCTCGATGACAGTTGCTGCAGCGAAGCTATCATACATTTCACAGGTGCATTTTTATAGTATAAAGGGGTAAAAAAAAGTCTTTATTTTGATTTTGATCGTACAGTTTATATAGCAGCTATATGCTATAGTGGTCCGATATCGGCGATTTCGAAAAATGAGCTTCTACAATGTAAGAAAAAAGGACGTGTGCGAAATTTCTGGTTGATAACTCGAAATCCGAGTGACTATTTCGCATATATACAGATGGAAAGACGGACAGGACTAAATGGACTCAGCTCGTCACGCTGTTCAATTATATATATACTTTTTAGGGTATCCGACGTTTTCTTTTATGCCTCACAAACTTTGTAGCGATCTTATTAAAGAGTTATACAAGTCCACAGTATTCATTTGTTAAGCTTCTTTAGAGTCCACATTCTATAGAAATTACATGTGCGCAGCATTATCAAAGATAACCACATTCAACTTTTATTATTTGGTGGTACATTGGTTTTGCGACCGTTTTATAGAACTAAGTTGCTAAATTAGGTTTGGCTAAGTTAAAATGCCTTTTTAAAAATGAATTTACTGTGAACATATCACTTATTATATTATAGTATTCACTTGCAAATTATGAACTAACATCTCTTTCAGCAACCATCTGTGAAGGTATCGCGGAGCCTAATCTTCGTGGTTTTTTTCTGCGATGTTACCATTGTGAGCCATGTGAACTTTTCGAGGATGGATCGAATCTCATAGAAAAGATATTCTGTCTGGAGCTCTCCATCAACTCCACATTCAGGCTACCAGACCACTATACGATTTTTCAAACAAAGAGCTACTTCGTTATCGGACTCTCTCTAGCAAGAGTAAACCGTACTTGTCCTTCACAAGATTCATCTCAATGCAATTGTAGGAATTCTGATTGGTTACTACAGGCATACATGCGGTGAGTCTAAAACTCTTATTGAAGGTGAGGTCGAATCACCTATTGTACAACTTTCGCCAGAAAAAAACTGAAGCCTCTCAGTAGATATAATACTTTCAGCTAACATAGTGAATTAAGTGGACTTGAGTAGTATGTGTTATTGGACCCTAAAGGACAAAGCTGTTCAAGAAGGATGCTTAGTGAATTTTGACAAGAGGCTTATCCCCGTTACCTAACCCAGATTTGCACTGGCACTATTATAATATTTAACTATAAACTATTTTGGAAAACGGCCAGGTACTAGGGAACGAAGTCCCCCATAATACTTAGTTTAAAGATTTTTCTGCCACTTAATCATCTTCTCTTACTCTTATCGGCCGCCTTCTGTCGAGATCAACATGTTTTGCCAATAATATATTTTCTGGGTTTTTACCCAGAGTGGTATTTTTAAATGTAGGGACAATTTATAAATGATTGATTCATAAAAGTTTTATCAGAACTCAGTTGTTTTCAAGCTCTCTTTTATTTAAGCTGTTCCTACAGTGGACATAATCGAGTGAACTTGTCTCCTTTGCATGTGCGATATTATTTAAATATATAAACACAAAATTAAAGAAATCTTTCATCATTATAATCCACAGGAGAACGAAAAATTCATTATTTCTCAAGAGATGGAGATATATTTTTTCGAATTGAAAGTAATGTTTTAGTAAAAGTCAAATTAAGAAATTGTTATTTCTTCAAAGGTAAATTAGACTATAGCCTCGTATTACAGAGTGCTGCTCCACAAACCAAGACTTATTTCTAAACATTGAAAGATTTTATGACAAGTGATCTGCAAACTTGCGAACTTTATCTAGTTTTTGAACCCACTTCACTCATCAAATACTCACACTATAAAGACTTTATTTACAACTTTCACGTGACACTTTATTGAAACCGAACATCCAACTTGTCAGCATTAATTTAATTTATTATGTCTATTTATTGTTTTTTTTTTATATTTAATTTAAACTAATGTACGTCGGCATACTACGTAAAATCGGGTGTATATTTGTATAAAAAAAATATTATAAAAAGCTTTACAACAAATACTTATGTATATAATAAATATTATTATGCAACAGGTGTACAACAACAATTAAATTTCCACATACTGAACAAATCAACTCTTCAAATTTGTGCTACAAATGGAGAGCCCCGCAATAGCATGGGGCTTTTGAAAGGTAATTTTCTTAGAAGCTCACCATTGGCAGAGCTTTACTGTAGAGCTTCCAGTTGCGAACGAAAGTGCGTCCACATGTATTTTTTTTTCTATTGTATAAATTTGTTAACAATTTATGGCCACTTAGTGAATAATTTTAGGTATAGAAGTAATTCGTCATTTTTAAATAATCATTTTATCTATTTATTCGTTAACACACACACACACTTAAAGCTTTTCATGAAGATCATTAGTTGTCCACGAATTGATCTCTTCTTCTTTTATGGCGTATAGTTATACCCATTAGACCAGAGAAAAACAAAGCAAGTACCTAGAGAAAAGAAAAATAATAATATTTCCATAACTGGTTCGAGTTAAAAGTAGATCTATATACAATAGTTAGGCAGAAAGTCCTTGAAATATTGGAACAACATTTTACTGCGTTCTGACACTTTATTATTCTTAAAATGCTCACCTCAAAACCAAACAACGTCAATTTGATTGCCAAACCAGTGCTGCCACTCTTTCGTGCCATCTCTTGTAACACTGTCAGGCAGCTCTCCGTATACAGATCACTTTCGGTGCCAGAAAAGTATCGGTAACAATTTCTCGGTATGCGTTTATCCAATTTCACATAATCCGCTTTACCCAATCTGCCACAGCATTCGTACTGGAATTGAAATTAAAATTTATTTAGTTCCAAATTACAGTATTATCTCTCGCTTTTTATATTATTGATAGACATTTGTTATAACCTGTTGCTCAACTTGTGCAATTTCGGCAGCATTTAATGTGACATTACTCCATAATTGGTCCAAATGATCGGTTGTGTTCTGAACGTAGTCGGTGACGCCAGCGACAGTAATCAAATAAATTTGGAATGTAACTAAGATCAGCATGCAAATTACATACTGGAAGAGAGAGGAAGAAAATACACTTTCTTATACTTATAATACATACATAAATGGGAAATAAATTTAACAAAAATAAGATTTAAAAATTCAATATTTTTTAAATTAATAATATACACGTATACGAGGTTTGTTCTAAAAATAACGGGAATTTGCATTCTTTGAAAAAAATTATTATTCATTCGTCTATATTAGTGTTGTCGCCTTTAAAATAGTTCCCATTCGATAATATGCACTTATTCCAACGCTTCTATTAACTTTGTCAGATAGCTTTTAGTTCTTTCAGTTATTTTCATCTATATTGTATAATGATGGTCTTTTAAGGTTCTCTTTACTTTTGGAAATAGAAGAAAGTCACACGGAGCCATGTTTGGCGAATATGAAAGCTAGGGCATCGTTACAGTATTGTTTTCTAAGCTCATAAAAACATATAATAATAAAATATTGACAATGGGACCAGCAAAGTTTTAAATTTTAAAATTTCGGTTATTTTTTGAACATATCTCCTACAGTCTTTTTTCTTAAATGGAGTCTAATACTCAGCGAATAAATTTCAATACCGAATTTTGGATTTTATTCCTTAAGCAAATCTCCTCGACAAACTTTAATAAGCAGCTCGCTAGAAGGCGCTTAGACCTAAATATGCCCTGATTTTTTCCTTATTAATGGAAATATTTTTACTGTACTTAAACTGCATAAAAGTATGCTTTCCTATGTATTTCCCATGTTTCGCTTATAATTATATTTCATATTCATTAGTATTTAATAACAAAAATAGCTTAAAATTTAGCTGAAGAAAGAATTTTCGTTAAAAGTAAATGAAAATGGTAAAATATTTGCATCCGACGATTTATCTTAAGTATTAATAAACATTTAATAGCCGTGTTCAATTCACCATTTCTCTGTTCGCTATCTTTAAGCGCTTCTCTCTCCTCAAACAAATTTTGCTTGTGAAAGCAATAACAAAGTTAGAGAGTTGAATTCATTACAAGTGAGTATGCGAATATCTCAACAAAGTGGGATAATAGTTTTAGAAAACATAAGGCATGGATTTGAATCATTAGAGTGTTATTTGGCGCGGAAAGAAACATTAATGCACCAAGGAGAGAAGCGCAATACCATTTCGAACGCCTGAGAGGACATGTTAGAGCAAAATTGCATCGTAAGTATTGCGCATCGCTTTGAACAACTGATAAAGTGTGTTCGATTCGCAACTTTCTAACGCTTGACTTATCGAAGACAGCTAATATCATTCTCAGAGAGGCAATTGAGACAAACATTTAACTTTCTCTGAGCATTTTATGTAATTGTGAACAGCAAAAAATCACCAATTGGCAATGAAATATTCGAGTTGTTTTCAGAACTATAATTCGGTGATGTTTTAAATATTGTAGCAGGTTAACCTCCAACTTATACTAATCTGACTTGTTCGGCGTGCAAAGCACACCTACTTAACTAACGGCCTTCTCTCTATCAACCACCTATCAACCACAGCTCGATGCCTGGGCCCACTTTCATATACCTATGTACAATATTTAATCAATTACGAAAGAATTACTAGCTAATACAGTGATGATTAGTTCAGCATACACAATTGATTCGCTGAACTAATCTAATATAAATTTTAAGTATAATGACCAAATCTATAGAGCTTTTTAAATATTTATACATATCTTGCTACAAAACAACGCGCTTTAACAAAAGCGTTAAACTGAAATTATCATACATTTTGCGACAACTCTTTAGCTCATATACTATGTTTAACTATATAACTATAAACAACTATAGTTTAAATATACGAGTATGTGTATAATCACCAAGATCACCAGTCACTTTAAATCGTCGAAATTAACTACCAAAAAAATGAAAATAAAGTAATAATAAAATATAATTTCAACGTTAACGAATTTACAATTTCAAAACTTAACGTTATTCAACCTCACATGCATACTTACACTCCATGTTAGCCCCAACGATTCGCGACACAGTCCAAAGCAACCCAAGAATGAAGTTAGCACGACAAACGAACCAATAAATATTTGTATTACGATCGAAATGTGTTGCATAGTGCCAGGCGTTGAGGTGTTCAACTCATAAACGGAAAGCGCAATTAAACTAATACCAAGCAGCTGTACAACAAAAGAAAGTTAAACAATCATTATTTGAAACCACACACTACTGTTAGCTAATGAAGTTACAAGACGGTTACTCATACGCACCGGCAGCACTGTGTTGACAACTGCCAAAACGGCTTTTAATATGGAAATTTTCAATGCCATTATTAATTAAAGTAAAAAATTATGAACGGATATTGAAAGTGCGTGTATTTCGCGTTGTTGTCGTGACAGCACTTTTAAGCACTCCAGCGAAGCGCCTTTCGTTTAATTTAATTGGTGCGGTTTGTGCGTTCAATTGTTTTGTTGTCAAACTAAAATCAATATATTGTGTGTGTGTTTGTATGTAGTGTTTGTTTATATGAATGCATTTTTTATTGTTTAAATTTTTTTAATGAGAATCCTTCTATCACAAAATTAATTGAAAATATTTCACAAGCAAAGTAATTTCACAAGCAAAGTAATTTTAACTTTCGCTTGTACGAAAAATCTCCTTCAAAATTTTAATTAATTAATATTATTTTCACTTTAGTCAACAACTTTCTCAACACGCGCAAGACGCTTCCTACACAAACCGTTGTTCGCTTACAACTAAACTGTCAATTTGTCAACACTTTCGCTGAACTGCTTCACATTTGTCCGTTTGGTTAGCTCACACTCCGGAAGACAGCCCGCCACAGGCCGCCCACAGCACTTTTTACTATATTCTTGCTTCAATATTTTTTTGAAGCACACATTCATACAAGTAATTGCTGACTAGCCCTTATTTTCCATGCAAAAGCAGCTTTCAATTCAATAAACTGCGTCTAAAATATTGTTGTCTTATTTGTCATAGTTGTTACTGTAATCAGCTTTTCGTTTCTTTTTGGTCAACAATTCCTTTCGCTTATTTTCGATATCCTGCCACAAATAATCGTGTATATAAACAACATATGCATAAATGTGCGTGAGTGGAAACTACATTCACGTTTCACTCTACTAATGATGTCATAGGTTAAGCTTCGAGTCAACGGACATACGTCATATTCCTCTCGTTGTGGGCGCATGTGAGCTTTTCTGCAATGCAGTTCGTATAATTTTATCGCTAAGCTGTTGATTGGCCGTTCGGTGATATGTGAATTCGAGAAATTTTAGAACAACTTTCTTAAGTTTGTGTCTCTGCCGTTACTTATAAACTGTTTTAATATTCGTTTTCTATTTTTACAATTTATATATACATTTATAGAAGTTAAATATATATTAAAGTGGTTAAATATTAACTAATTATTTATAAAGGTGTCTATTCCTTCAGCCTGCGTTATTCCAGAAATTTAGTAGATAATCTGTGAAAAAACATTATAAAATATAAACTACTCGTATTAAAACTAAATTTTAATTTCGGTTATAACTTAGTTATATCTGATAGCAAAAACTTAAAATTATATACATACGAGGTGTGTTCAAAGGAAAAGGTGAATTTTGATTTTTTTTTGTTAAGTACTTATTTATTCATCAATATCTATTTTGTCTACTTCGGCTGGAATGTATTCGAGAAATTCCCGGCGGTCACTTGGCTCGAAAAATTCTTAAAACATAATGACAAACCTTTTAATATGTATTTTATTTCTTCTTGAAAACCACACGTCTAAAAAATAAGTTTTTCACTGAAATAATTGAATTGTATCAGATCCGGCTTATAATAAGCAGATAAGGTATCACTTGTATTGCATTCCATTCGATCCGAAAATAAAATCTTCAATATTCTCAAGTCTCATGCCTCAATGTTTAGGTTAATATGCGATTCTTAATACTTTCAGAATGTTTAATATTTTTACCTCGCCTAAGTCAGCTCCAAATATATTCATATAACTTTTGTGTTTAATTTAAATTGGCTAACCAGATTATAAAAAAAACTCTGGGTTCTTGTGGAATTGAGAAACGTCTCCAAAATGAATTACAATATAACGATGGTCCATAATGTTTTTTGATATAGTGATTTAATGATTTAATAATACCAAGCGCTCTAAATGAACTTCCAACGACCGTTGGGGTCTAAATAACCGGAATGGACACAGACTTTTAAGTACCAAGTATTATTAACTTAATACACAAATTCTTTGATGACTATTTTCTGCCGCAACAATAACAACTATCAAGTCATTTTTTATCCAACAACTTTTTAGTCAAGCTATTTAATCAATGATTATACATTATTTGTGGTAAAGCTACGATCTTGGTTGATAGTCTTGGCTCGGTCTAACTTCTAAGAGATCTGTTGAATTCTATTCGGACCATAAAAAGACGATTCACGCAGTGGCAAGTCCGAGTCTACAAAATGATTTTGAAAGGCCATAAAATGATATCAAAGAATTAATTTGGACATATCATTGATGACAATTTTGGAATCTCTGTGTCAAGTAGGTGGTTTCCAAGCTCATAATCGGCTGATTCACCGTGATACAAATCACTGAAAATTACAATAAACTGCATTGGTTTCAAGTAGCCACTACGTTCACCTCGAGATTGAGGCTTATTTTGGAGCAAAACATTTTTCAAATATTTTTATCGTGAAACAAATACTTCTTTTTAACTCAAACTCTTTAATCTCAAAATAATTTAAGTATACGACATAAATGTGTATGTATGTACTCTTGCAACATGTTGCTATAGCCATTCAACCTCAAGTGCGCTTCATCGCATCATTCATAAAATGAACGTAGTGCGCAATACGTATTCCGCACTGAACCATTATTTTCGAAATAAAATTGCACTATTTGCAAGCGTTGTTCAGGCGTGAGTCTATTCCTGATGAATTGCCAAACCAAACTAAGAATAAATCACTTGACAGCTGTTAAATCGGTCGCCATCTTGAACAGTAATGCCAACTTAAAGTTCTATACCTCGAAAAAAAACACCCGTTATATACCATAAATGACCAGGATGACGTGACGAGTTGAATTTCGAGTGACTGTCTGTCTGTCCATGCAAGCTGTAACTTGCCGATATCGACCAGCCGATATCGACCAAATTTGGTATGTATGTAATATTATCTTGACATTGCCATCTTACATTGCTAAAAAGAGCGAAATCGGACTACAACCACGCCTACTTCTCATATAACACAGTGTTAAAGTAGGCAAATCAAGCAGCAATGAATGTATAGGGATAAAACTTGGCCCGAATAGTGCGCTTAAAATAGGCCAGCTCATAATCAAAAATTATCAAAATCGGTCCATAACTATGTAAACCCCAGTTCTTACCGTGATCATTTTATCGAAAATATCGATCAAACTGTGATATATGTTATTAAAACTCGGAGCAAATCCTTTGCTGATAACAATATGCCTGTATGTTAAAAGTGGGTTGAATGTGATGAAGGCTTCTCTTAACCGCCATATAACTAATACAAAGATTTTCGAATTTCCGGTTTATTTTATACCGCATACTTCGGCCAATATGTGTGTATTACTAATAACAATGTATCTTTCAGCATTAAATGGATAAAATAGGGTGAAAACTTGCCCTATCCCCCATATGACTAATATCAGAATTTTCGAAATTCGGCCTGTCTTTCAACCATATACATACATATATTGGTGAGGGTAATGTTAACTTACTGAAGTATATTATTAGTATGTGGTATTGCCAAAAATAGATTAAAGCGGTTCCATACTTCCCTTAGGCCACATACACCTAAGATGCAACTCCAAGTCTCCGGTTGACCTTATACCATATATATGAATTACTCGCACTACCATTACCATACTACATATAGTGATTTTCGTTGTTCTAACAGTCTTCTGACGAATATGTCGTTCAGTGTGTGACTTATAAATTTATAAAGACGCTTTGGTTCTTGCAAATTGCAAGAGTATAAAATGTTCGGTTATATCCGAACTTAACCTTTCCTTACTTGCCTTACCTTTTATTTCCTATCGTCTCTAACCATGCAAGCTGACTCACTCCCCATCTGCCACGGGCAACAAAGAACAGTATATTACTGCAAGCGCACTGAATGCTCAATTATGTGCAACTACAATTTATTCGATTTATTTCAATTTATAAGGTTGATGCGATGCGCCAGACAGTTGCCTGGCTTCTAATCATGACTTGATTAGCGACGATATTTCGCATGCAATTTATGTGTGTCACTTACAAAGATGAATACACGCACACATGTACATATATACAAACACAAAAACATACAAATGAATGAAGCGAAAGTTCAAGGTGAGCGTGCGTCATCGCAATCCAGAGCATTCATTGTATAATCAACAAGTGGCTCCGACATTGTCTCCAACGTTCATGCGGGCGCTCTAACAGAGCAAGACCCCATATATACAAACATACATACATACACATGACATATATTTGAAGTTGTCTTGTTAGCGGCTTATTGTGCACAAAGCATTTCGTCTCGCATAAGTGCACATAAGCTTCAGTAGACACCCACACACATTCTGTGCATAAAACCCGCCATATTGTTGTGTAATCGAATCCTTATTTCTCGTGCCATTGTTTAGGTTATGGTCTCATTCAAGTGGCTGTGGTTGTTGCTCAACATAGAATTCATTTAAAAGTCCCTTCGCAACCAGCGGTTCAGTTATGTGGGCCACAAGTGGCACTGCTAATTAATATTAGTATAGAATTATTGTTTGGGAAGATATATTATATTATATAAAAAAAATTTCCGAAAATTGTTTACCAGCTTTTTGAAGAATAAAAAAGGGGTTTAATAACAAAATAAAGTAACGTCAAAGTTTTCCAAATTTCAGCACTATTATTATTGTGTTGTATTTATAGGCTTAAACCCTCAAAACACCAAAAGATCGTAGCGTTTGTAACGATCATTGATGCTCTTATAACAGTTTACAACTCAAATCAACTTCAGTTGAAATTTAGTATTATCGATAGCAACTCAACCGCACCAAAAATATTATTGAGTTGTCATCGTCTTAAAATTTCTCTCTATTTTGCCGTTTACAATCCGGTAGAAATTGCGCCAGTCGAACATTAAGTCACATGCACAGCATTTGACAACTGCCATAAAAAAGGATATAGCGATTCCTTGCACATTGATTCATTTTTTTGAAATGTTCTGTAAACTTGTTTGGCAAAAAACCAAAATACTTCTTAGAACTTGGCAGTAACTTATGATTTTTTAACAAAATCTTTATAGAAAACCATACGATTACCACCCCAACCTTTTCTTATTTGATACTCAAAGGAACTAAAGTTCAGTTGTTTCAATTTCAGTTCAACTGAGTTCAGTTGTAATACGATAAATCATATGAGATTGGCTTCAAGGTAAATACATGTAATCTGAGCAAGAATTTAAAATTTACAAATGATCAATGTGGATCAGTTGAATTAATTTGAGGGTGGGAATATAACAACCGAAAGTGCATAGTCACAAATCACATACACATTCACGTAGAATCACAAAGATGAGAAGTATGCAGGAAAAAGAACGTTAAAGCACAAGTAGCATAAAAATATTACACAATTCTACAGAAGCATTAATAGTATTAGCTTAAGTAAGGTATCTGCTTGGCAACCGTAGCCCAAAATTTACATTATGCATGGCAACGGGCTATTGACTTTAGCTACTAAGTAGCTGGTAAACAATTTTGGAGTATTGTGCCTGTGTGTATTACATAAACTTCTACTTATGGTGTACAAAAATGTCAAATTTTCTACTATCCATACATAATAAGAGTTTAAGTATGTTTATAAATCTTCACCCAATAAAGGGAAGAAAACCAACGCAGAAAGTGATGTTAGGTGTTAAGACTAATCGGTCCTTCAAGCGGACGCGCGGTCATTTATAACGGCAGCGGTCGCTCGTAAGCTAAAAGACCTATTGAATCTATCAGAGAATCAAAGCACTAATTAATCAATATCTTTTATATTTTTATAACTAGGAACATTATTCATTGTACAGAACATTAAAATGCGGAAAAAAACCTTAACTTTAGGTAAGAACTAAGTTACAAAATGAAAAAAAAAATCTTAACCTCTCTTTGGATTAAAATCTCAATGTTAAGAACAAAAAACTTTCTTAGGTGTTAGAAACTAGCTATAAATATCTAGTAACTAGTAACGAAAAATAAATTTATACAATCGATGGCTTCATGAGATCAAATAATTAAAATAACCGTCATCTTAGATCTAGTTTTCTCCAAAATCGGTGTCTTCGCCAAGATAACATTGCAAATGAAGGCGCCGTGAATGAAACAATTGTGCTCCGTTCGGTAAGGGAGCGCGGGGAATATGCGTAAGCGGTTTATTTGGTAGATAGTGAAACTAAGTCATGTGATGAAAATTATTATTATTATCAGCGTAAATGTATTGAAGGTTAATATTGATATGTATTTATGTGTTTTGTACGCGAGGATCAAGTCTCAGCAGAGGATACACTATAAGAATACAAATTTGAGGAAAATTTACTGAAGTAATAGCTCAACATACCCCATCAATGAGCAAAAAGCAATAATGTAAATGGTGCTGTGAAGATCTCAAAATCAAACTCATAGAATTTTTGTTTATATAAAAACGAGCATGAAACAAGCCTGCTTGGATGTAAACCGTATTCCAGTGAGGACGTTCTGCAACGACCAGAACAAACGGTGGTCACAAGGGCAAGGCATGGGTTATAACACGGGTAAGGAAAAGCTTCCCAGGCGATCGGGATCAAGTGCTTGTATGGAAAGCTTTTACATTTGACGAGATATCTTCACCAAATTTAGCATGTGTTATTGTTCAAGCCAATGGTGCAAAGAAATTATTCAGATCGAGTTAATATAGCATATAGCTGCCACACAATAACCGATCAAAATTTTTGTAAGGAATCTTTTGTTCATCTTATACTTGGCAACAATCTTTATTGAGTGAATGTAATGAAGAAGAAGAATTTCACCAAAAGGGTGGTGGAAGTTTAAGGGGGAGACGCCGTAACAGATGTTGTTTTTTAAAACTAGTTAGTTAGTGTTTATCAAATAAATTCTTAAGATAAAATAATTTATATGTTTTCTTACACGATCTTTGAGCCCATACCTTAACGAGTGGTATTCACAAACTCAACAACAACCATTTATTTGCCACAACCACGAACAACCCCTGGCTACGCGCAATAACATCTGAGTTAACAGCAGAAATTTCACACTGCACAACCGCACATTACGGTATGTAAATGTATTTTCTCGGTCTTTTCTAATTTATGTTTGTTTCGCTATATGTGACACCATTGATTGATTTGTTTGTTTATTTATAAACACCGTGGCAATGCGTAAATGTTTTAAAACGATTTAAAATACCTGAAAATGGACTCTGTGAATTTGTGTATGAAAATGTTAGCAAACAAGAGAAATTCACTTTAGCAGCTTATGGCGGTTTGTTGTGCAAATATTTGCCAAAGCCATATTAAACTGTCAGTGATTTGCCACGGCGAACGCGTGGGCGTATACGTAACATTTTTATGTTCATGTGCGAGCAAATTATGGCAATTATTTTTATACTCTTGCAACATGTTGCTACAGAGTATAAAAGTTTTGTTCACCTAACGGTTGTTTGTATTACCTAAAACTAATCAAGATAGATACTTGAGTTTTTGAGATATTTTAGTGAAACTTCACACACGTGATCTTCCACTGCCACACCCACAAAACAAAATTAAACACAAATTTATAAAACTATAACTCTTTTATAGATATAGTGTATATATCGCCTAAACCACCCTACATATCTCTTAATCACCCCTACCGACACTATGAAATTGGATGAAAGCGGGTGATCACCCGCCAACTCCCCACATAACAATTTTTTAAAAACTACTAAAAGCGCGATAAATCAATAAATAACTATCAAAATTAGCCAATTCGCGTGGGACCACCCCCCTATCGGTGAAACCCCATATTTCAGGACCTAAAGTTTTGCACGAAGAGTGTCTTTGAGGTGCGCTACCTTATTACCAAAAATTTCAAATTCGGGCTAAAACTACTCAATTCCCCACATACCGAATTTGTGGACCCCAGTTCCTACAGCGAACATTTTACCGAATAATCATTTAATAACAATCTGTGAGATATACATATTATAGAAATTCGAAGAGAGTCCATTCCTAGTTTAATGCCGAAAATATGTAAAATTGGTTTACAAATTATCCAACCTAACACATACTACATACAAGTATATTGATTTTCGTTGTTCTAACAAACCTTACGCACCTTAAGGTATTGCCCTGGCTTTGATCCTGGCAAGTTGCAAGAGTATGAAATATTCGGCTATACCCGACCTTAGCACTTCCTTACTTGTTTTGAAATATCTATTTTCCATACATTTATATTATATTATATTTGCAAATATTCAAATAAAATTAAATTTTAAAAATACTTTTTCCATAAAGTCGCAAAATTAAGTTATAGAATTTTGGACATAAAAATGCCATTTTATGCTTTAAAATATAATATATATCATTTGTAAAAAGTTTTTTATCTTATTAATTGGTTGTTATCTACCATTCAATATTGACTAGTCGTGTTCCTCACGAACAAAAGTAATTAAGAGCTTATAAGCAACAAAGCGAAAAAATGTTCTTCAATTCTCTTTGTTTGGAATTCATTCATTTTGAAACACTTTATGTTTTTATTGTAGTTTCTATGAATAAATACAAGATTCTTTACCTGTAAAGATATGATTGAGATTTTTTGAAATTTTTTGTTCAGATTTTATGCTCAGGATTTCCTTCATCTTCCTTAGCTTTAAAGGCTTATTCCAATTCCTGAAGCTCTTTCTGTCATAACATTATGTTATGTGTTTATCTTCGTAGTATGTATATCGATAGTCGATCTTAATATATTCATAATTTGCTTTCGAAAATTATGCATAACTTCCAGAAAATACACCTTACTACTTTTATTTACATACTTACTTATTAAATACGACTATTTTTTTTACTTCCTCGCTGTTTTAGCTGCGTCGCCTATAGTGAGTATCTAAATTACGGTACTTTTTCGGTACAATTTTGTCTCTTAGTTTAGCTTAGCTTAGCTGCTTTCAAATTCATATAAAACGTTGCTTAAATTTTAACACTTTGTCTTCATATGGAGCTTCTCCATTTCCTTTGTAGATGATTGTAACTTTTTCACTAGAACTATTCAGTTTTTCAGTATTTAAAGTTTTGAAAACATTATTTAATTTAGTAAGTAAGTAAAAAAAAGTTCACATTCGGGCTAGTTAGTTTCGGCGCGTAAAACTATAACACGTTTTTTGTATCACTTAATTTTTCAAATCAGGAGAGAATGGTACTCGGAGACAATCTCACGTATCCACTTGAAATATTAACTTTTGCTTCATAGTAAAATTATCTAGTAAACGACAACATATTTTTTGTTATAATAGCAACTTTTTATATCCTCAACATTGTAAATTAAGTAACAAGCTGAGTCGATTTAGCCACGTCCGTCCGTCTGTATATACGCGAACTAGTCCCTCAGAGACTGAGAAGCTGCTCATTTGACGGAACCGCGAAATCGGAGAACTACCGTCCTCTTAATTATGTAATTTCGAAAATTGGTTTAGTAGCCTAAAGAAAAGAAACCCGGTCCTCGTTCGTACTCTCAAAATAAATTGTCAGAGTTAAGCGTTTTTTTAGAACTTTCGACTGGTCCAACTGCTCAATACAGATATATATAATTTGATAAGTATACTTTTTGTAAATACCAGTAATCCGTTAAATGAGCATCTATTATAGCTTTAATTATTAAATATCTTAATAAATTCTTAATTACACATTATTTTTTTAATTTAATCGATTACTCTGCAGTAATGTCAATGAGTATTGAATACAATAAATACACAACAAATAAATTACAATAATTGCACAAATAAAAAGGCAATTTCTTCAAGCAGAATACGAGTATTATTCGCGCAACAGCAATCAATATTCGAGACGTTCAGGATAAATTTGTACTGTAACACAGCAAACACTGCCGCATTTTAAAACTGCATGCGCCTTTGTTTATTGCGGAAATTGATGACCAAAAATACGGCCAGCAAAAAGCCAATTATCTGCGGAAAAAAAATAAATCAAATTTAAGTAAATACATATACATAAATATAAATTATGAGCCTCGCACCTCAATGGCCGCAATTATCCACGACGCCACAGCGATGCTCGTGGTCTCGCTATCATAGTAACGTTGCAACTTGGCGCTGCAGCCTTCGGTGAAAATATTATTTGCATCCGCATCATTTTGATTCTCATAGCAGCTGAGCGGTATTTGACGATTTAGCAAAATATAATCCTGTGAGCTGTCTTTGCCACAACACTCATATTCCTTCTGCAAAGCGTCAATTTTGTCGTGATCCCAGGCATCTTCCACAATAGCAATGCCGCTCTGCGTGTGACGATCGTTCAAAATGATGATCGTAACGGCGATTTGTAGAATTGCCAACAGCAGCAAGAAAACGGCGCACTATAAATAGAACTTTATGTAATAACTGTTTTGAATATTGTACTGGTATAACACTTACTGTGACAGTGAGGCAAATTGACTCACGCAGCGCAGCCACACAGCCTATTATGGCGAACACTATGACTAAGCCAAAGATGATGTATGCAGGTATGTCCCAGTCGTCTGGCACAGAACCCGGATTGATGGCAATCAGCACAATAGCGGCAATGCTAAAAAGCTGCAAGCGAGAAATAATCAAATTAGTTTTCAGTGTTTTAGTAATCAAATGGAATGGAATAATTTCAGCAAATTCTTTAAAGATACTGAGATTAAATATATTTAAATGTCGAATTTCTTGTTGGTTTGGAAACTATGTTGTTATTTTTAGTTACTAAATGGCATAACATCTCTCACTACATAACTTAAAGTACTGGGTAAACTTGTTTTCAAAACTTGGTATGCTTGCATATTTTAATAATTATTAATCAATTATTCAAGGTTTTTAGACTTTATAGTCTAAAAATCAGAATAGCAAATTCAATTTAAGGAAAAAAAAGTACAACTACAAAATATGTTTGTATTTATGGTTAAAGTCGCACTAGTCAAGTTATATCTCAACGAAATCCAAAAAACCCAGAGTGGAAGAAGCTGATCCAATTGGAGATTACAAGACAGTGAATTCAAATATCGCCAGATTAACACATAAAATTACAAAAGAGAGACAGTGCTTTTTTCCGTATTAACGATAGTGGCCTCTAGCAGAAGTTTTTCAAGTTACAAAACGACGGAGTGGTCTTCTAAGCAAGATATTAAAGAATATATTAATATTTTGAACATATTAATATGAAGTGGTAGAGAGTACAAGGAACATACTCGTATGTGTTATCATGACAGTAGCATAAAATATTATCCAAATTGTTTTTACGATTACTATTTTCAGTACTAATTCAGCCAAGCATTGTATATGAATTTGGATCCATTTGGTATGGACCTAATTTCCATGTAATGTAAGTATCCAAGCCTTGGCTTATTTTATCATGTAATGAAGTTTAAGTACTTATAGTTTTATAGAATTCTTAAAAATTTTAGAATTAGAAAATATTGAGTTTTTACCAAAAATTTTCAGTTAGCAAACCAGAATAGCTTTTTCGACTTTTAATATATGTATATTTGTTGCTAATTTATTTTTAATTATAGTTAGATAAGCTGAACAATTTACTGTCAACCTAGATATTGTATCTAGAGCGTAGAAATATGCTTAAATATAATAACTGAAAACTTCTGTACAAATACATTCAAAATATCCTTTTCACATGTATAATAATTAGTACATAACAAATTAGCTCAATTCACTGCTTAAAAACTAGTTCACCAGTTTATTGTATATACATGTACATATAAGGAAACTAACAACATGCAAGAACTGGAACAACAGTTGTTAACTTTTCCACGGCACGTAAATATATAATTGCCAAGTAATCGAAGGAGCGTTAATAATTTACCATACTATCTGTTAAAAATTATTCAAAAGTTGACAATCTACAAAAACTATTGGTATAATTTAATATAGTGGATCAAATGTTCCTAGAAATATTTTCCCATAGCCTGGGTTTTTTTTTATTTATATATATGCACCTGGCTGGTCAGAGATCGCACATGGACTACTATATAAAGTGCTTATAAAACCATAAAAATAGAACTCCTGTGTTCGATCTTATAAGTCAGCAAAGCGCCTAGTGGCCAAGGCAAATTTGCACAGGCGTTTAATTTTTGTTTCCAGAAGTTTGGTGGGATATCTGGAAGTATGAGCTTCTAAGTGTTGAAGGCTTTTCGTCCTCTTCCATACAGATTTTGCAGCTTGCGTCCGGTAAGTTTCCTATCCTTACAGCATGAACTCCGATAGAACAATGACCTGTTAGAACCCCCACAACTAGGTAGAGGCTAGCCTTACTGAGGGCAAATAGCTCACTAGATCTCTTACGATCGATCTTGAATAAAAAGGATCTTGCGACAGCGCATGAACCGATGCTAGCTTAGCGCTGCTGCTCAATCTCCTATTCATAATTCAATTCGTCAGTCTATAATAGAGTACAAGAAAGATAGTAGTCTCTTTATTTCTGTATTTCTTATTACACTACTTTACTTTTTATTACTCATACTACGACAATTTTGCTTCATTACTATTTTTGTTGGTTCGCATTTGATAAAAATAACGTCATAAAAGAAAGAATCCAAGCAAAAAACTAATATTAAAATTTTTTTTTTAAATTTACTAAAGTGTTTAGGTTTTTGCTTACATTTACATGGAAACTTGACAATTTTCCATATAGCCTCTTATCTTTCTTCTGTTTATGGCATTGCGTGTCGAAGTTTTGTCGCTACAACGCGCGAATGCAACATTTAATTCATTAAGTTTTCCAATTAAACGGGATTTCTTTAATCAAACGAAATGTGCAACTCAACGAATGTCATATAATTAATTTCACAACTAATGGAACAAAAAAGTACAGTATTGGAATTACTTAAAAAGACCATAAAACTGACAAATCAAAATTACACTAATTATTTAGCCGTTTGGCCAATTTAAAGAAATAAAGAATGGGTTCCAAAAATTAATTTGAAAGCAAATGGAAAATAAAAACAAGAAATGGCTCCATATTAGCTGTAATTAATTCGAAAAGCGTTAGAGAGTAGTGAATCGAGTAAGCGATACTAGTTTTCCAACCAAACGGACAACACTTGTTGTGGAACCATGCGCTGATATGTCATCTATCATTTAACCGCATAAATATTTTCTTTAAACAATAATTATATTATTTTAAGACTTATTTTTTTAGAAAGAAAAAAACTGCAAAAAAAGCAAATTAGGTAGCGTTAAAGAAAGCGGTTATACCACTTTAATGAAACAGCCTTTGTATCGAATTCAACAAGCTAACTTTGTTGTTGCTCAAATGTCGCGGGCAGAGAAATTGTGAATCGAAGACAGCTAATTTGTAAAGTTTTATAGCTAAAAAGGTCATACTCATAAACACTACAAGCATAAATAATGATATTATTAATATTTCATACGAAATTAGAAATGTTAATTAAAAGTGACACTCAAACAGTCAACGCCTAGTCTAAAGAAGACGCATACAACTGTGAAAAGCAGAAAAAGAAAATGTATAATAAAATAAGAAAAATACATCGGCTACACCGACGCTATAATACCCTTCACAGGTGCATTTTTATAGCATAAAAGGGTATAAACAGATATTAATTCTGATTTTGATCGGTCAGTTTGAATGGCAGCTATGCAATATAGTGCTCCGATATCGGCGGATCGGACATTGGCCAGCTTCTTGGAGAGAAAAGGACGTGTTCAATACTTCAGATCGATATTTCTAAAACTGAGAGACTAGTTCGTGTATTTACAAACAGAAAGACGAACAGACAGACGGACATGGCTAAATCGACTCAGCTCAACGCGCTCATCATTTATATATCCACACATACCATGCATATACAATACTTTATAGGGTCTCCGAAGTTTCCTTCTGGATGTTACAAACAGCGTGGCAAACTTAACATATGCTGTTCAGAGCATTAAAACTATAAATTAAAGCTGCTAAAAGGGGTTGCCACTATTGTATAAAATTCAAAGGAACGTGTAAAATGAATCATAAAGTACAGTTTTTCTTAACTATAGTGAAAATACAGTTTTCACTCAAGCTACAGTTTGAAATTTTTCACACACCCACACACACAAGCATATAACAATAAATATGCCACAATTACATGAATTGGGTTGAATTGGATTACTGCGCAATAAAGATACGTCTAGCGCGGAAAGAAGCGCGCCGATAGTGGCGCTAGAAAGTAAGACGCTTACAAGTTTGTTGTAAACTTAGTTTTTGCTGTGAAAATGGAGGCGCCGAAGTCAACTTTGTCATATTTGTCGCTGTGTGCATAGTATGTGTATTTGTGTGAGTATGTTTTGGTGGAAAATTCTGGTAAATAACGGTAAATAGGTCAATGGTGGTGCGGTTAACAAGCTGGCGTAAGGGGGCGAATATTCACAAGCAATATCGGTGGTGGTGGTGTTGCTGGTTTTTACGGGTTTGTACACGTAATCCCATGAATAGCGGTTTAGTTATGTAAGTATAGGCTAATGTTTTGTATATAAAGTTGATTTTTGTAGTTTTGCTATTTACTTTTAGCGCCTATATAAACTATTGGTAAACAAACTCAAACTAATGTGTATTTTTGAACTTCAACGAATGAGACAATGAACTTATTGTGAAAAAACACTAAAGATCACAGCGTATAACAATACTGCAATATTTGTTATACTCATGTAGATTTTCAATACAATTATACATAGCATGTATATATATATATTTATGCATGTGTGTATGTATGTGTATCTAGCTCGTATATCTGTGGTTAGCCATGCCTAAATACATTAAGTACTTTTGTGCACATTAATTAAAACACACATTAGAGTCAATCATATTAGCAGATATGTGTATGTATGTATATATGTATATATGTATTTTAATAAATTATTTTGAATGAGTTGATCAAACAAAAAACAAAAACGTGATTAACCTTTGTCTATGTTAATTTATATTAAATTTTTGTTATACGTGCAGCATTAAATTCAAACTTTATATCCATCTGTGCACAAAATTCACGAAGGGTGACCTTGATACTACATGCCTAATATTATATTGTTTTAAGCTTTGGATATATTTTTTGACAATTTACAAAAAAAAAAGAAAAGAAAAAACGTTCACCTCAGCTGCACCGAAGCTATAATCCCCTTTACAGATGTGTGATAAGGGTATAAAGAGAAATTTATCTTGATTTTACTCGGTCAGTTGGTTTGGCAAATTTATGATATAGTGGTATGATCTAAGAAATTTCTTTGGAGACTGTATAGATGCATTGAATAATAATCTATGTTAACTTTCGTGAAGATTTTTTGTCAAATAAAAAAATCCATACAAGGACTTGTGTTCGATTGGTTAGTTTGTATGACACATACTTATATGCTATGGTTGTCCAATGTGAACAATTTCTTCAGAGATTGAAATATATTATTGTCTTAGGCAATAACCCATGCCAAATTTCATTAAAATATAAAATGAACTTAATTCCGAACGTTCAGTTTGAATGGCAGCTATATACTACAGTGGTCCGATATCGATTCCGACAAATGAGTAGCTTCTGGAAGAGAAAAGGACGTGTGCAAAAATTCAGATCGATATCTCAAAAACTGAGGGACTAGTTCGTATATATACAAACGAAATCCGTTAAATCGACTTATCTCGTCACGCTGATTATTTATATACATACATATGTACTTTAAAGTGTCTACGACGTTTCTTTCTGAGTGTTACAAATCTCGTGGAATATTTAATATACCTAGTACAGGATATAATTATATTGGATTTTCCAACAGGGATGATATGATTTCTAAGTGCCGTTTCGACCATTTTTAATATGTCATGATCTGTAATTTTTTTTCATTGTATTCAGTAATTTCATCATGGAAAGATATAAGGAAGAACAAAGTTTACAGATTATTAAATTTTATTATCAAATTAATCGTTCTCCAATTGCAAATTTTCATATGCTTTCGAGTGGTTCGATAAATAAACAAAACCGGCGATTCTGGTGCAAAGGAAACCCACAAATTATTCACCGAAATTGACAGTTTGGTGTGGTTTTTGGTCTGGTGGAATCATCGGTCTGTACTTCTTTCGAAATGAAGCTGGTGACACCGTTACTGTCAATCGAGAGCGCTAGAGATCGATGATAACCAACTTTTTATGGCCGCAATTGGAAGAAGTTGATCTTGACAACAATTGGTGCCACACAGCACGTGCAACAACCGAATTATAGCGAGAAAAGTTTGGAGATTCGATAATTTCAAGAAATTGTGACATTGAATTATAACGTAAAATCTTTTATCTCTGAAATCCCTTGCATGGTAGTTGTAGTCTCATATAATGAATCATTCACTAAGTAATTTCGTTTGATGACAACAGAAATTTTCTTACATTTTTTGGAATAAATTTTGTTTCGTGCCTTATCGAAGATGGAAGATCGAAACTATCAAAAGGGTAAAAATGTAGTCAAGCAAGGCGAAAATTATGTGAAGTGTTTGGAGACTGTGTTGACCGAACGCCAATGCGAAAGCGGGCTTGCAAAACTTCCGGCAAATTCGATCTTGAGAATGTAGATGTAGATAAAATAAAGTCGTTGTTCGATGCAAATCGTCGAATAACAACTCGACAGATTACTGAGATTAAGTTTGTCTAACGCGATCGATAGCGTTGCACAATAAAAAAATCTTGTTTAAATGGCACTAAAAAACGAAATTACTTAGTGAACGAGCGGTTTCGTTATAAGAATCGCCTCTTTGCTGATATTGACCTGACATTTGCAATGTATTTGTGTCAAGAAAATAGCTTCCGATAAAAGTCGACTCATGAATCCAAACTAACCCGATTGACTTACCAAAATTTTTCAAATAGTTCCAGCTACTTAATTCTTCTTAAAGTTTTCAGTCGGTAGAGCGGGTGTATTATATAAAATAATTTGCCATAAATTTGAAAAGAAAGTAAAACCGATGGAAAGCTTGAGAACGATGCTAGCACCCAGCCGTTGATATAGGTGTATTCAATTCTTTAAGAGTGCGATTGCAACAAACAACTGGTATAATTCATATAAACTGGCATAATCATAGATATAAAATAACAACTATTATAATAATGTATTGAATTCAACCGAATGACCTTACATTTCAAATTGGACTTCAAACGATGAAACTTTCGTAGTGTATATCTATCAGACCTCGTCCCTTTACCTTGTTTAGTGGAATAACATTTTACGGCTTTAGAACACTTCATATGATCTATCAGGCAATTTAAAGTCTCTGCTAAACTTTAATTTAAAAACAATGCAATATATGGTACATGAGTATTAACTACCTACATTTGACTCATTACCATTGCATATTACGAGGATACCTAGCCTTGTTTCGATCATTGTCAGAAAAAAATTATTTTTTTAATAGTGATCACCCTCGAAAGGCAATAACAATCATTTTCCATCAATCATCACATCATTCTAACATCAAAAATATTTTTTTATTATAACCATTAGCCATTCATAGTAGGCTTAAAACTTGTAGCGTTGTAACTAATTTTTCAAAACTTGTTTTTTATGACACATACCTTCTAAATAATTATATATTAACCCAGCATACACTATTATAAACTGTATCAAAGTGGCCAGTCGGCACCGCTTAGCGACTCGGTTTTGAAACTAGCGCAAGCAAGTATGTGAAGGACTTGTTACACGGCTTAAGTTATGTCATTTTTAATATGGGTCATAAGGAACTATCATATAATTTTAAAACATATAATATATATCTCTACCATTTTTATATGCTTTTCTGATCACTTTTGCCGTTTCTTCGAGTTGTTTTTATGATCACTTGTTGCGTATCATTCGAATGATTATTCAGTGGTGTTCCTGAATGCTTTCGAAATTCTTCCAAGTCATTTCTGGAAGAATTTCTAATTATTTTCGTGTTGTTTTCCTATAATTTACTAGTCAAAAAACATATTTACGGTTATGCCAATTAATAATAACATTTTATGCCAAAAGTTAAAGTTTATAACAAAAAGTTATAAATGTGTATGAATACACAAAGCTTCATAAAAAAATGTTGCTTGTATCCCTAAATTGGTTAAGACAATATTACCCAGTAAAATTTTAATTTAATTTAGTATTTTTCATACCAATTGCCATTCGTTTTTTTATAGCTTTTTTACTTTTGAGGTGACGACCATGACATCATAACACAAACACCACCAACGCGCAACACCAAACACAGTCTCAACAGTAAAAGGAAAGAAAAAATACAAAAATAACACAAAGTCAACAAACTTACCGCCAAAAGTGTGTTTAAGAGAATCGAAGATATTTTTACGGTGGTCGTAGCGCAGCCCATTTTTCACCTTTAGTGACTTACTAGTGGATCGTTGTTTATTTATTTTACAATTTTATTAGGTTTGTGTGTTACCACCGTATATTTGTTTATATACTTGCGCTTTATTTATATTTTCAACACGATTTATTTTTGAAAAATCACCACAAGCAGTTAACAGCTCTTAAAAGCTCATAAATCAATTTTTTTTTTTAATTCCAAAAAATATCGGTGCAGTCAAATTCTTTGCAACGCCACTTGCTGTTCGAAAATTAAATATAAAATACAAACACACATATGGTTTGTATTAATAAAAGAGGCTCATAAAATTCATCGCACAATTTTCCAAAAATTTTTGGGCTCTAATTTTTTATTTTTCAAAATTAAGTTGTCTAAAATGCGGCGTCGATTGCGTGGGTGTCTTGGCGAGCTCTTCAGTGATGCTCAGGCGGTTCGCAAGTAATTCAAATGCACTTGTTTTAATTCAGATGCTGTTTATTTCTGCTTCTCTCAAAATGTTTTTAGTTCTTGAGAAATTTTTTTATACAAATTTTACTTTTTCCCACAGAACTTTTTTTAAATTAAATTAATAAAAATATTTTATGAGCATTTAATATAAATATATATAATACCAATTTTCACTTTCTTATTTCCGTTCTTCACCACTTTCACTTGGAGTAAAAAATATCTCGAAACTTTTCCGTTACACGTTCAAACGCAGACTGATATAAAAGCTCACGAATATGCTTCATTGAAGTCGGCATGGTCGCTGCCGCCACTACCACCACTGCTGTAGTTGTTACTGTGTTTGTTGCTGTTGTCATTGTGACTCGCCGTGGCATTGTTGTTTTTCCTATAACACTTGCCGCGTATTAAATTTTTCTTTAGCGACTATGCCGCCTGCTGTCGACGTCAACGTTGAAGTCATCATTAGCTTCGCTCGAACGCGTCCAATACACTCATACTATTCTATGCCATGCGTACCACGATGACGTCACTTTGACAATGTGACTCTAAACAGATGCCATTAATGCACATGTAGCTCTTGCTCACCAACTGGGCAATACCTTTGCTCTGTTCGTCAGGGCAAAGCGGAGGGGCGTTCGGCTAATTATGAAAACAGCAGCACTTCGATCTTACTCAGGGTTGAATACGTGCATATATACAAACAAGCCCGCACATAAATAAATAAATAGTATAGCATTGTGCGTATATATACATATGTATATGGATGTACATTTGTTGTCATTGCATAGGTGTGGACAAATATCTTCGAGTTTTTAAAATTTGTTGTTTTCGTTTTCAAAATATTATATTGTTATTGTTTTTTAGTACATCGTTGCCATGAGAAACGATCAAAATTTAATGTTTATATATATACCATATATATTTTGTAGAGACCCAACAGGAAATTTTCAGTATTTAAGAAAGAGATATGATGTTATGATGAGTTATGATTGATGTAGAGCGATGTGATATACGGTCATAAATATGATATAGGGTAGCCTCAGCATGACGTGATAATGAGAAGCATTTCTGATATAAATGATAGCAATTCATTATAATCCAATAAAAAAGTCTCAGGGGTAAAATCTGTAGAATGTGGTTGATGAGATAGCAGTTCGTATTATAATTGGACGAATTTGTGGCAACGGCGAAGATGTTAGCCGGTGTGTTGTGAGAGGAGAACCGCCAAATGCAGTCAGGACACCCTTTACCTTCTTCGGTGCATCCATGTTTCATCGACGATCAGTAGTCTCACAGTATCTAACGTAAAGTAGTCACACAGTACCATCGCGTCGACAGCTTTTCCCTACGTGGCAACCACAATGAAACTCATTAAATCGCGTTTTATTGATCGCCAAGAGTCACAGTTTTTAGCATAAAAGCGCTTTTCAATGAGAATTTCCTTCCAAAAACCAGAATCGATTTACCGGCCATTGCTTTTTTCTACTTCTCCATAATCCGCGGATACATACACTTCTGTGACCACACGTGTGGTCTAAACGAAATTACAATTCCGATTCGGCTCTAAATTTTGGCAGTAGTCGTCTACAAGTATGTCTATACCATAATAAAATTCTATTGCGCCATCAAATGGGGAGCCTAAGTGCTTCTTGAAGCGCATCGTAGGTACATTAGTAGAACGTTGGTCTTAAACCCCATTATTGTACAGTATAAAGTCAAGTAATATACAACTATATAATACACAATAGTATTCGTACTTTTTCGGATTCCGGTGATCCCATTAACTGAAAAATTATCCATTAGGATCTAGCTAAATATTGATTTCGCAACATTTTTTAAGTTTTAAAATTCCGCAAACACTTCGCTAATAATAAGGTAGGATAAATTAAGAACACTGAAGACGGGATCCCTACTAATAATGTCACAATCTTCATTTTTTAAAAAAATAATGTAGATTTACCATATACCTATATACTTTTGTATATAATAAAATGAAGGAAATTAAATTAAAACTTGCTCTGTCACTAAAACAACAATTCAAAAAATATTTAATACCTAACCAAGATTTGACATAAATTATCTAGACCCCATGTTTTATTTGAATAAAGTGCCTATAGTCAACAATCGTAAATTTAATTTTTTTACCACTACTCACTTGCAGACGGTCATTAAACAATTGCTATGAAAACCAATAATTTCATAAAAAACTTACACAACTGTTGACTGATGCCAGCACATTGTTGCGAGTACTTTAGAACAAAAATGTATAAGAATGGCCGGCGATTATTCTATATTGAGATAGAATCGAGGTGGACGTAAATATGCAGCTTGCAAGAATAATTTGAATTAAGAAACTACAGTTGCGACTTTCCACGCTTTGGATTCAGTCATCACGTGCTATTCACTCGAATGACTGTGCACCTTATATGCACTAAATGTTATCCAGTAGCCTAAAGCAATATCATGTTTTCTTAGAAAATTCTCAATTGAAGATACATTCTAGTAACGTCAATTGCACATGGGAAATTCCTGTGGTTACTATACGAATACAGCGTGATCTAATTGTTATAGAATTTTAACGAAGGTGAATGAGTTAACTGCTATATTCATTATATGAAGACAGTATACAAATATTTAAATTTATGTTCTATCTACAATATATGGGCTGAAAATCTTTGGCCTAGCAATGAATTTTTTTAATGAAAATATGTGAAGCTTTGAGGCGTTCAAAATAGGTGTTTGCCTTTATTTTGACCGTATAATTTATTGAGTCTGGAAAAGAGGAAATATTCACGAGGTCACAAATCTGACGGATACGGTCCTTCAATTCACGTAACTTCTTTATCAGACCAATTATTTCAAAACAATTGAATGAAACGCCATGAAGCTTTTACAGTATTCCAGTTAAGACTAGTGTTCTAAGGCAAGGGAAGAAATTTTTTAGTTTTGACGCGATCTCTCGGTCAGGCTTAGCAGCGCATATAGTATATACATATAATTTTGCATATAAATTTTCCATAAATAAATGAAATCTGCTTCTAATGGGCTTATGGAACACCAACTACAACGAAAAACAAGAAAAAAGTTAACTACGGTTGCAACGAAGCTGTAATACCCTTCACAAATACAAAATATTGTATTGATTTTGTTCGGTCAGTTTGATGGCAGTTATATACTTTTGTGAATCGATCTGAACAATATTTCGGAAATTGTGCCGTTGTCTAGGACAATAATACATGACTAACTTCGTGAAGAGATCGCGTCAAATTCCATACAGATTTTCCATACAAGCACTTAAATCCGATCGTTCTGTTTGTATGACAGCTATATGCTATAGTGGTCTGATATCGATTACGACAAAGGAGCAGCTTTTTGGAGATAAAAGGAAATTTTCAGTTCCTCAAAAAGTGAAATAATAGTTCGCGTATATACAGACAGACAGACAGACGGACATGGCTAAATCGACAAAGCTCGTCACGAAGATCATTTATGTACATATATATTTTTTAACGTTCCCCGACGTTTTATTCTATAAAACTTCATGGCGAACATAATATAATCTGTTAAGAGTATAATGGGTCGATAGGAACTTTTGCAGAAAAAAGTGAGACAAAAACCGATTGAAAATAGCAATTAAGCAAATTACGTTATAAATAAGTCAATAAATATATACTGATATATTAATGCATTTATGGATTTATGGCGCATAAATGTACATATGTATAAGGCATATTCGAACACTCAAAAATTAAATGGAAATCGAAAGTGAAACATACATTCACACAAACTTTAATTGGTTTATAAAAAAAAATTAATAAACTACAAGAAAACGCTTCCAATGTGCAACCACATGCAAATGAAGAAATGCAGCTGCAACCGAAGCATCAATGGCAAAGCAAAACACGTAACCCAATAACATAACAATAATAAACAAACACAACCAGATGTTAGAAGTCACATTTTGTCGCTACACCCACATACTTAAAAGTTATAACCGCACACACTAGACCGATTGAGAGTTTGCTATGAAATACTCATATAAAGTGAGAAAGCTCTAGAAATCACTCAATTGAGCTTTTCTAATTAATGACATGAAGCGGCGACTTTTTGCATATACTTGTATACGTACATATATGCATGTGTATATATGTATTTCCATTAACGAGCAATTTATGCGATATGAAATTGTTAAAGGTCGCGAATACTAATTAATAAAAGTTGAAAGGCTCATTAAAAGGCTTAATGTGGTGTGATTTGCAGATGGGTGGAAAAGTCAAACATATGTTACAAATTTATAACAATAATGCAGGTATTAATTGCATATTAATATATGCTTGTAGGTAAAATATTGAACTTCAGTTTCATATTATGAAATAGGGTTACCTTGTATAAAATTAAGCTATCACTGGAGCTTTTTCAATGAAATGATTATTGTGATAAACACGGTTTGAAGTTTAATAAAGCATTACCCTGTTCTAAATTTAAAAAACTATTTGATATTTTATTGGATATGGAAATTGGCTGCAGCTATTTCTTTAGAAGGCGTTTTAATATTTCTATTACAATCTTTATTAAAATTATTAGCTCTGCCCATTTATCCACAGTGCGTTCAAAAAATAACGTTTTCATTTTCCAAAGTGTAGGTAGCGTTTATTGGGAACATTTTTTGTTATAGCTGACATTTAGTCAATACTTGCTTCAATCTTTCGCATGGTATATTATAGAATGACATCTTTGATTGCAACTTGCAACTAAATTTTCCGCATATTCCACAGGAATTTTGGAGTAGCTGAATGAAATATTTTGTTGACGTTAAATCTTTTCTTGATATTTTGGCTTTGATTAAAGCCCAAAAATTTTGTATTGGACTGGAGTCTGGTTACTGCGATGGAAACTCTAAAGACACAATATGGTCTTTTTGTTTCCATTGAGTACACAGTCAGCTCTTATGTTTCGGATCATTGTCTTCTTGCGGTATGCAATCATGGTTAATTTTGCCGTAAAGCATTTCAGCTGACCTCAGTAAACCCTGTTTATACAAGTTTATCATTTTAACGGGGTTCAGATTTTTGTGAAGCACCTCAGAACCCCAAATCCAAAAGCAGAAAAGCTGCTATAAACATGCATGTAATTTTTGGAACGCACTGTATAAGGAATAATTTCAAGATCAGTTATGCAGATATAATATGATAAGAATACATCAATTTATGATATTTTTATTAGAGACCTCTATATTATAATAAGAAATTGATTTCCACGAACGATAGTACAATCGCTCAAACATTATTATAAATTCTTATATCTCAAAAAATTCCATTCTGAATGACAGACGGAATGTTTTTTCATTGAACAGTTTTTTAATAATTGGTGTGCTGATACACAAAATAATTATTTAATATACAAAAATGTATGCTTATGAATCTGAGTCATTTATTATCACTCTTGCTATTTTTTGATCATTTAAGACAATTACCGTAGTTATGATGTTTGATATATTTTTATTAATGGTGCGTTTTAATTAACTACTAATATTTGAGGTTCTGCAATAAAAATGCTAGGGTATCTAACTGTTATTGTATAATACTTATAACACCAAATAACGAAATATAAAAACTTATCTTCCTATTAGTATTGCGCTGCTTAAAATGGTCCAGCCTGGAACAAACGTTCGTGTAAACCTAAGTTTGACTTAGCAAGGAACTGTTTATATTTTTAGGAAATATAGAAAAAATAGCTTTAAATTGTTTGGAAAGTAACTAACGCTTAGAACGATTGATATTAGGTGCCAGTGATTACGAAGGTCTGTGTTCACTATATAAATGGTACCCATAAGTATGTGAGGTTGGAAGTGACTATTTAGATCTTCGGATATAGTAGTTTGGCTAATTTATTAATTAATTTTAAGCAATGTTTTGAAGGTACAGTTATGAGATCTAATGAAAAGGAAAATGTAATATTAGCGTTATATGACAAAAAGTGGGATTTAATAATGCAAAGATCTGGAAGAGTTGCTTTTGAGAATCACTTGGGTGCGGGAATAGATCTGAAATTATATTGAGAGCGTAGTTTTCATAATTTTACCAATAAAAGATCTTTGTATTGTACAGCTCTAGATCTGTGCTTTAAAAGCCCTGGACAGTTTGGATGTTATCTAATGCACCTTTTGCCAAATGTACTCTATCGCCTCGATTGAACCTTACTTCGCAAAACTTAAACCACTATTCAATATATCTAATTGGCAGGCTGAGTAGATATTAATTACACACTGCTGTGATTAAACAACCGTTAGGCGAATATAAAAATGACATATTTACCAGATTTTCTTTTTCTGCTTATTTTAACTTTAGCCTTCGTCTATTATGGCCTAAAAGTTAATCAAATGACCTTCATTAAATCATCAACCGGAATTATCACATTTTATCGCTGTGTGTCTAACGTTACAAAAATTAAATAAACCGTGAATGTTGAAATTGCCAACACAGAGATATTTTACAGCGTTGGTGTCTGTTATCTCTACAAAATGTGTAATTAGTCAACATGTTTAACGTTGTAACTGAAATTCCTAGACGGAAAGTTTTGTTCAGATTTCTTTCTTACAAAAGTTCATTTTACACACTTCTGATAATTTACAAGTATAACGGAATTATTCGCATTGAATACAGAGATGACTTTAATTTTCTTATCATTTTTGATGGATGTTGTTTACAGATTCTTTTTATTTTACAAATTTATCAGTGAATTCGTTTAATTGAAAACATCGTTAAATAATTGCTTAATACGACTATTTATTTTTCACGGAAGCAACTCTACAGTTTGTTTGACTGTTGATAACCCTCAGGAGGGCTAGGGTTTCTAGTTATAAAATCGCTCATAAAAAGCATAAATGTTTTTTTTTATTTTTATTAAAATTTAACTATTGTTTCTTAGTAATACATTTTTTAGCGCACTTTTCTGAAATTTTCTGATAATACTCAGAACATAGTTCCAAAAACGGTAATAGAATCACTGTTGAAATCATTGTTTCAACGAGAAATTTCTCAAAGTATTTATATTTCAAAGTCCGATAATGTTGTTGAGAAGTCTCGATACACGATTAGCGATTTCCAATAAAAAAAGCAGTAGGAAAGTCAAAAACAAGCATAAAATAAGCGAAAAGAGACTCTCGAAAGCCTTTTAAAAGGGAATTTCCCCAAAATGTAATTCAACAAATCTCGTCTAAATATGCAAGAACTTTCTAGCAGTAATACTTATCTCTTTGCAATTTTTACCTAACTAACTATATTAAGTTTGCCACGAAGTTTGTAACACCTACGACCTACGGAAACATCGGAAACCTAATAAAATTGCACACGACCTTTCCTCCTCAAGAAGCTGCTCATTTGTCGAAACCGCCGATATCGAATCACTATAACATATTGCTGTCATACCAACTGAACGATTCGATTTAAGTGCTTGTATGGAAAATTTTTTCATTTACTAGATTTCTTCAAGAAATCTGCAATGGGGTATTGTTTAAGGCAGCGGTGCAATATAGCTGCCATACAAACTGACCGGTCAAAATCAAGTTCTTTAAGGAATATTTGGTATTGTGAAGGGTAATATAGCTTCGGAACAGCCGAAGTAACGTTGTTTTTTTAAGGTTTTATATTGTTTTTTATTTTTCATTACTAAAATAACTATACAAATACATAAATTACAAACAAATTTTAAAATAAATGTACAATAAAATCCAATGGATTAGAAATAAATAAATATATTTTAAAATATATATGATATTATCTAACACTGTACATTAATATTATATATTAGAGTTGTTTATTCGATTGGCTTGGAGGTACACGTGACATTGCATAAAAGCATTCATTGAAAGCTAGACAATTCGTTATTAATATTAAATACAAATATCTAATATAAATTTAAATGTAATAAAAAGGTTACTTGTAATAAAATCGTTTCACATTTCAATAAAAGCTACAAAAGTGAGACTCAAATGCTTTTAAGCTTTCACAATAACTAAACAAAAGCTTAATAACTAAAACGGCGTTTCCGGTTCTGATAATGTATTGCCAGTATGACTGTTAAAAGTAGAATGAGGCACTGCAAATGAAATTTAATATGAAAACAAATTTATTTAAAACATACTTGACGTGAAAGCTTTGATATACTCACTTCAAAGGCTAACAAGCCATACTGCTGGTATGCCATAACAGTGGCCTCATCGGCGAAAGCTTCTTCTACCTTAAGCAGACAACCAGTGAGGTAGAGATTCAATGGATTTATGCAATTTGATTCTTTACAACAACTGGCGGGTGGGGCGCGTGCAATGCGTAAGTAATCCTCAGCAGAGTTGAGGCCACAGCAAGCGTACTTAAAGGAAAATAAGTATATAAAATATATATATATTCGATCTTTTATTATTTTTCATACCACCGACTGCACAGTGTCCATGGAGCCCGGCTGCTGAAGCTCCTTGTGCCATTGCTCCTCTACGCCTTCCATGGCGTAACGCTTGAAGACATCACGCGTACTTAGGCAAATGAACACAACTATTACAATGATCAGCACGAAGAGACAGGTGGCATACTATTGTAGATAAAATAATATTTGAATTTATTATATGTAAAAATTAATAAAAAATATAAAAATAACATTTTTTTACCGTCCACAAAAGCCGCGCCGATTCACGTATTGTACCGAAGCAGCCGAAGAATGATATGAATAAGATCACACCACCCATAGTAATAAAGCCGATAGCATAACTCTGTGGCATAGCGCCCCAGCCAAGTCCGCCGAAAACAACCACCAGGATACCCAAGATCTAAAAGAAATTAAAAATAGAAATGTATGTAGATTTTGGAGTTATAATGCAATGTATTGAGAAGGAATAAACTTTTAATTTTAAATTTTGTGAGATTGGACACTTTTTCATTTAAAACTACGATGTATGTGAAAATCTTAGCTATCTTAGGTGCATGGTATTCTTAATCAAGAAATTAACCGGATAGATTTAAAACATATAGAGGAACTGGCTTCCAAACGGACCCAAAATCGACAACTATAACAGTCAATCGTGATATCTTGCCTTCATAAACATTCTCAATGAATTGGTGAACATGATTATAATCGATAAATAGTCTAACTTGAACGCACCTTTATAGATATCGAGTAGGTTTCTATGTATTTACACAATTAAAATGTTAGAAAAGGTGTGGACCAGTTCGAGACCCCAAGGTTACCGTATCCGTGTAAACAGAATGAAAATGAACCGTAAATACTTGTAGTTTTCTAATTCTCTCCATTCCTTCAATTAAGTTTACATGTCATATAACTTAAATTTATAAAGATGTTTTAACAAAACTTAGATCCTATATTTTTTTGGGGTACGCCATCTAAGCTCCTGTGGGTTATATTGTAGAAAACATATTCAAGAGTAACCACCTGTTTTCATACACATATCATATCTTGGCGGCTGTAATCGAGTACGTTATGGTTCAAATCCCTGTCATGGTAAAATCCAAAATTATATACAAAGTAATTTCTAATGGTGTTAACACTTCCGTCAAAATTTCGGGACGAACTTCTGAATTTAAAAATGCATAAGAGAATTTGTAAGAAAAAGTAAAATAAAAAAGCACAAGACTAGCGATAGACAGTTTTAAGCTCTTCTATTCATCTAATCCATCTATCAATCTACCAATCTTATATTCCATCTGATTCATGGTTTTAGTACCTTTCTAAATTAGAAGGAATAGTTAAATTGTATGCAAATTTTGTCTACAATATCAGCTTTTGTTTACCAAGCAATTGGGTCTATTATTCATTTTGCTAATTAATTACACAATATATTCTAAGCTTTGTTTAAATCGCCAGCGTCAAAAGTTGCTTGCTAAGAATTAAACGACAATTAAAGTCGAGCAATAATAAAGCTGCCGTAACTCTTTTCATTACCATACCGCTTTGTCTCACTTCCCTTTTGAGAAAACAACTTTTACATAATTAAAGCTTGAAAACTTGAATGATGCCGACAGATTCTTGAGTCAATCACAGTATTTATAGTTTATAACGCAAATATTAGTGATTCTATGACTATCTCTATCATATATATGTAAGAGGCGTTGGGGAAAACATGGTATGCGAGCAAGTGAATGACAAGCGTGTGTGAATTAATTTTAAAAGCCACAGTGGGCAAATTCACTAAAACAATGGCATGTTGCATGACGAACATTGTTGATTGGAGACATTCGAGATGGGCAAGCAATCAAGCTTGCATGCGTTCCAGCGTATAGGCTGGACACAGCACTAACTAATGGCGCAACTAATATGATTGCGCACGACAATTACTCAACACGTATTAGTATAACAATTTCCAAATTAAAAACGAATAAGGGACTGTGATAAACGAGCGAAACCGATTTTTCGAAACCGTCGCGTCTTAAAGGATTATAGAGGTTACTAAATATTTGAAATTATACATTCATTTTAGTAGTTGCAGAAGTTCATATAGATGTTTGCTCGCCCTCCTTCTATCATCTTCTAAGAAACTTTTTCTGTCCAATAACAAAAAGCTTATTCTAATAACGGTCATCCCTCGGCAAGTAATGGTAAGATTACCGATCGTATTTCTGCCACGAAAAATCTACTCATAAAACTCACTAACTCTCTAAATGGTTGAAGAATCTCGATCATATGTCTAAAAGACCGACTGAAAATGTGAATACTGTTTATGATTCTGATACTACAAGTATAACATCCAATCACGCGCAAATTGATTTCGTCGATTCCGTTCCGGTAATTTTGAAGACAAAGCTGCACCACGCTCTTTAAAGTCTGAAATAGAAACAGCAGTTGAATTTGAAATACCATATATGAAATATGGCTGACATCGGCATTTCCATTCAAACTATTTTTCGCATGGACAAAGAGCAGGGAGTGCCTAGTAAAAAATTAATAGAATCAATATCTACCATATCTTAGTTCATATATAAATTTTAAGCATATCTCGTTCGCCTATGCCGTTACATACAACCGTTAAATGACCATTACCATAATAAACTTGTTTGCAACTCTGTTGCGCTTGGGTATAAAAAATGGCGGCATATCAACAAATTGACTTTTAAGTGCGCCAAAATGAATTGCTAATGGATTACTATGTAGGGGTGTAGAAGCGTACATAAAATTACAAATGTACTTATGTATATGTCGTCTAAGAGTGCATGTTTACCATTTATTGGGGGCGTATGATTGAAATTGCAGTAGTTGCAAACAGATAATGTGATAATTCCAAAGACTATGCTTAAACAAAGTATGAATAAATTAATATCAACGAGGCAAAAAAGTGGCCACAATTGACACGGAAATGTTCAACAAAAGAGAACACAAAAATGTATTACATAAGAATTATATTTAACAAAATATATAAATGTATATTTACATATTTATATATGTATAACATGCAAAGTTCAAGTATAATTTCTTTGCATGTCAACATAATGACTCTTTCGCATATTTTCAATTTTAATTAGACTTTGATTTTTAGAATTGGTTATTGATGCAAAAAAAAAAACAAAATCTCAATATATGGTAGCAGACAATTATACACTCATATATGAATCATGTCTACTTGAAGATTTAAGTTTATAGATACAGGTCACATCATCAGTTTTACTTGGAATTTTATTCAATTCCTGATGATGAATTCATGCATTGGCAGTTGGAGTATAAAAGACGAAACAACAAATACAAATTTTCGCTATTCAAACTAAGACATCATCTATTTTCTTAAATTTTAACAATGTTTCAAAATGCCACTTTAAACCAGCTCTATTACATGTACTATATACCATAGTCTCTTAAAACCAAAGACAGCACATCTTTTACTCTAGCATTAGGTGACCTTATTTGTCTATTATATTATTATTGTAATAGACAAATAAGGATTATATTATTGTATTATTGTAATATTATAATTCACAGAAAAACGCGACATCACCTATTATAGTGAGAGAGCAACACAATTTTATTCAATTCATTCTTTTTTTTTTAATTTCTAAGCCCGGGACATCCGAGACGCTTAACTCGGAATCCGGTCTGCCCCGGCCAACCTGGGACGAATGGTTAGCTAACTCTAGCATCAGCAACAAACACTGTTTCGAAAACTTTCAGCGGTGAAACTTGGCTCTACTGAAGGAACGAAATTACATTATCTAAACAACAACGAACTTGTTTCCACTGGACTTTGGCGGCAACGTTAACGCAGCTCATTTATATGTCATCTTCCTCACCGTTGACACATACTAATTCATAAACTTAAATACTCTACTCAAATCAAACTATTGGCGAGTTAAAGTAGACGAAAATGATAAAGTAAAGACCGTGTCTTCATGGCAGAAATACATTTTTTTATGACTGAGTTAGCTTGTATTGATGATCGAAATAGTTAATACCGTAAATAGGTATATGAGAAGAACGTTTTAGAGATATTGTTCATAAAAATTAGCGAATGCGAAAACCCCGTTTAAAGTGGCTGCCTCGCGATCTCACAATCAATTGGAGCAAAAGATAAATCGGAATGCAAATTTTTTTAAAAATGAAATCGAGATTTGCCAAAAAATATGTTTTTCCTTAAAACAGTACGAACTTTTCAGTCTACCTGTTATATCAAGCAGACAAATGAGGTCAGTCAGCATACCGTTTTATTTGGCCAAAAACGTCTCTTCATATTTAGCATTGTTTCGAATAGTAGTCTTCAAATAACTGCTAAAATCATTAAATTTAGATTCAAATTGCTGCCGCAGTCTGCGTATTCGCTGATCCTATTACTTAAAACTATAATATTTTTCAAAATCTAAATTAATTAATTTTTCAATAAATATTGTAATATCAGCACTCAGAAGGTATTTTGAGTAGTTTTATGGTTCCTACTATGAAGAAAATATTGATGTTAGATGCTGTAGAACATAGGCGCGAGAAATTACTCGAGTCAAAATGAGAAAGACAATAGTAAAATCTGTTTTAGCGACTTTTAATTACCACCACGTTGATTAATACCCACCACGTATGAAGTAATAACAAAGCTATGAGTTCTAAAAACCTTCGCAATAACTCCATCATCTCATTTTAAAGAAGATTTTATAAACTATTTTAGACTTTGATGTACATAGATATGACTGACGGACCCGAATTCATTCAAAGAAACTGCGCTCGTAACCTGAATAGCTTTTTTTCAAAACTCAAACCGTCGCGATACAAAACGTTGCATATGTAAGTCAATTAATGTCTTAAAAAGAAATCCACTGAAGGAGTTAAAGACCAAGAATCTAAGGCTTATTGGAAATGTATTGTTTGTATGTCTTTTCGAGAAAACCACAAAAATCAAACCGTGTTCCCACCCTAATGTGCATAAACAATATGATGTACTCATATTTTGAGGTGGGTAATATTTCACTGCTTAAGCCAAAATGACAGCAACAGCTAATGGTGTTAATCCAGTTAACGCCGTAGGTAACCGACACAATCTATGGACAATACTTTATGCGTGAGTTTGCTGGCAGTAACCGCGAGAATATGCTGGGACAAGCAAAGAAATTAAAACGTTGGAAATTAAAATAAAATATTGACAAGCAAAAAACATGACAAATGCGTGCACATATTCATAGATAAATAAAAACATGAACGCATCATAACCGAGCAAGCTCAAGTGAACCGCAGTGAACTTTACCGCTTTGAGGTTGAGTTGTGCGCGCCGCGAAGGAAGCCAAAAGACTTTTCCTAGCGCAGTGAATATGTAGAAGCATAGGTAAACTTGCTAGTTTAAATTAATACAGATGATATCATTTCTACTTCAGCTAAGTAAGTTAACACCACCACAACGGACTGTGATGGAACTCCACGTTTACGATAGGTGTGCGCACATTACGCACCAAGGTCTTCGTAGCCCTATCGTGCGAAGCGTTAATATGTACGGTAGGTCGTTAGTAAGTTAGATATAATCATATTTTTCAGTTAGGTAGGCATACTATATATAATAGATATGTGCAATATATTCAGCAACAGGGAAATTGTGCGTGTAAAAAATTATTCATTATATTTTTTTCAGCAGAAGATAATGAGCATGGGCTGGAATTACATTTAGATATGCTTAGCAATTTATATTTTTACGCTTCTATATATTATATTTAAAAAAAAAATTCTGGCTTGTAGTTTTAGTCAGATATAAAAAAGCGTAAACTGCTAACTGTAATTTATTGTACTCGTAATTTCTATAAACGTTCAAGAAGCTTTGATTCGTGAAGGTTTTTTGTAATACATTTCGAAATAAATAGTTGGTTCTTATCTCACTCCCAAGTCAAGTCAAAAGCTTAGAAACTCTACTTATGCCTCTCTTTTGATTATCCGTTTAAATTTGGTTAATAAAGTTACTCATCCTACCAGGCGATTTTTTTATTGCGTATGAAAGGAGTGATATAATTCTATAATGCAACATGTATTACAATTAAGTTGACTAGCCATTGAAACAAATGATTAATTGCAATTACTTCTACATCTTAATTGGTTAATCGAAATTTTCGAATATTAATCTTTCAACACTTTTAAAATTGCCTTAGTTATATCCTCAGAGTTGAATGATGATGAATAATTAATTTAGATAGCTTAACTATAACAACTATTAACAATAAATCGTTGTGTAAATATTAAAAAAGTGTTCAGATTTCGTAATAACTGACCTTATTTCTTCCCATGCTTCAGCAATATATAATACAATTTGAGTTTTTTTTTATCCGGGTCGAATAGTTTGAATTTATATTGCAATATTTATGACCAAGAGTCGAAAATAATAGATATTTTACTATTTTTTATGATGATCTCAAATTGAATATTGCTAATTAAAACTACTTGAATAAAGATTCCAAAAAACAGAACATGGATATCAAACTTGTTGCAAACGCATTTTATTTTTTTTTAATAACATCCATTTGAATAATATTTTTATCAATCAAAAGTTTACAAAATTCTGGCCCATTCAATAATGGTCTTGTTTTCATATTGGGCACTTGATGTCATTTGGCAAATGAAGAGCCATACTAGTATTGAGCTACCTACAAAGATTAACAAAGGTTAACAGAAACATTTGTGGTGAAAAAAACACCCAGGATGATCACTACTAAAATAAATGTATATTTATCGCAAACTGGGATCAGTCTCTGAGATCAAATTTTCAAGCAATGAGAAATGGTAATTATAGTTGACTCTAATGCAGATGAAACACTGATAATTCCGAAAAATATTCTCCATCCAGTAGGAAATCTTCAAACTAGCATATAGGATATACCCGAGCGACACTTTGATTCACATGTAGTGTCATAGTATGCTCACCTAACCTTTGTTAAAAAAATTATTTTATTAATGCCTTTCAGTTGAAGTTGAAATATATTTAATTAAAATGGCGATATCTAAATAAAAACAAGATTCCTATTTAGCATTCCTTTACATTTTATTATATTTACTAGGTCTTTTTCATTTTTTATTCTTCACCTCTTTTTATATTGATGATTCAGATCTGACAATTCTTAAAGAAATATCTGATCCTGGTGTTATATTCCAGTTGAGCTAGTTAGATGAATCAAATGTTTTCATTTATACATATTGAATTCGTATTTAAATTTTTAGGCGTTTGGTTTTTAAATCTCCAAAAAAACTGAGAATAAGGTTCATAATCTTGTCTATATCTAAATATTATATTATTTTCCGTCAGTCAATGATTAACGTAATTCAAGTAAATCTCTATTTTTATACCCTGAACAGAGCTAGATTTGCCACAAAGTTTGTAATACCTATAAAGAAACATATATGTATGTATATGGTATATGTATATAGGTATGCATTATCAGTGTGACGAGCTAAGTCGATTTACCCATGTGCGTCTGTCCGTCCGCCAGTCTATATATGCACGAACTAGTCCCTCAGTTTTTTAGTTATCGATCTGAAATTTTGCATATTATTTCCTACTCTCACCAAGAAGCTGTTCATTTGTCGGAACCGATATAGGACCACTATACCATATACATAGTTGCCAAACAAACTGAATGTTCAAAATCAAGTCCTTATATGGAAAACTCTTTTATTTGACAAGATATATTTACGAAATTCGCATGGGTTATTATCCAAAGCAATATTTGAATTTCAGAAGAAATTGTTCGGATCGGAGCACTGTAGCATATAGCTGGCCGATCAAAATTAAGATGAAAATCTTCATAAAAGAATTGTAAAAGTATTATAGTTTCGGCCCAGCTGCTTTTTGTCTCACAAAAATTACTGTGAATTCAGCAGTTTTTTTTTTAATTTAACACTTTTCAGATTCCGTTTAAGTTTAACTATGGGTTTACAGGCTTGGATCTAAGTGTAATGTACATTCGTAAATCATAAGCTTTCAAACATTTATTTTTCAACAAACGTTTTCAATGCCATTAAACGTGTCTCAAAAAATTCGTATTGTGATCACTGTAGGCTCTATGTCTAAATCTAAATCTATTTTAACCTCCCACAATTACAACAACTTACCGCCCACAGCATATTCAGCAAGAATAGCGCGTACTTGATAGTGCCCGTAACACAGCTCATTTTTACAATATTTCTTAGTTCCTTTCCGATACAACAACAGTAATTGCAATAATTTTAAAGGCACTTAAATTACACTCAGTTATCCGGTATTTAGAAAGCGCGCCTCAATTCATTTAAACCGCCAAATCACGACTACTTTTAAGCGTAACACATTAAATAAACACGCCACATACACGACAAGAATCATTAAGTAACACACTTGGAATAAAATCTCGCATAGAATACTGTCTGCTAACACTGAGCATGTTATTCCATTCTATATGAAGATTGAATAATAAAGCAATTTTTTTTACATTTCAGCTTCTATACACGAGTGGTGGCAAATAGCAAAAAATAGCGAAAATTTTTTTTTGAAAACAATCTTGAAAGTCCAGGCCAAGCATATGCTGGTAAAGGTTTAGACGCAAAAACGTGAAATCCCCCCGAAAAACAACACCAAAAAGTAGACACGCACAAAATATGTATAAGCCGATGAGGGTTTGCGCGTTAGCAGCAAGTTCACACACGCATATTCGTTTGTATATGTATATGTAAATAATAATTTAAAAGCAATAAATTTTCAGTTTTTTTCGCGTTCAAACTAAGCGACTCAATAGCGACGTCACTACTCGGCGATTCGACTCGATTATTAACTCGTAAAATCAAAGACGACGACGATGGTGGCTGCTGCGACACAACTCGACTCCGCTGCTACTCAAAGGCAAATGTGCTCAACAGGCGGCCAACTATCAAAGCATAGCTAAGCGAGCGGCCAAAGCGTTTTCCAAAGCAAAGCTCTTCACCAGCATTTGGCAAACCGGTGGAATGACGACGCAACGGCCACGGTCACGAACAAACTAAATAGCGTCACGCTACTTTATTTGCATTTATTCGAGAGCAGCAGCGACAAGAGCACAAAAACAACGCTATATACTCCGGTGTATGATCATAAATAGTGAATAGCCGCGGCAACCACCAAGCTCATTACCAACAGCAGTAACAACAAATATAATTAATAACAACAAATGGTAGGCACATCAACTGTTGACACTGTTGATTCGTACAGACGTATGTATGTATGTTCGTATGTGCGTATTTACTCGTAATATATACAAACATGCCCACAATGAATAGTTTTCGCTTTGATTTTTTGTTTGATTTGCTCTCATTCGTTGTTTTTTCTAACGTGGTGAGTGAGCATTTGAAGGCGTTCTGGTCGCCTTGCGGCAGGCGGCAGCTAATACATACACACATACCCACATATGAAAGCTCAACACTTTACCAGATGTTTATAGGCCCAGCAATCACTACACGACGCCATAACTTACATGTGTAGCATAGTTTTCTGCTTCCAGCGGTACCCCCATCGAATGGCAAATACAGTGGTACCAGTCAGTGTTTATACAGGTTTAATATAGAATTCGACTATTTCCTTTAACTATAAAGCTCTTTAATTTATAACCTTGCATTGAAGCTTCTCTAATGAGATATTTTTTGCCAAATCGCTCCGTTACCTTCATTTATAAAAAACGTATAACTGGATATGGGGCATTACGATGACATCAATATCATTGATCCGAACAGCTATACCGTTACTACCAAGTCTCCCCAAATTGAATAAAAATTAAGCGAATGAATCAAGAAATAACGAGGACATTATCAAATACATATATATATATAATATATATACTAACACTAAATACGCGCTGACACTCTTTCATATTCCTTAATGTCTCACTGTTGAAAGTTATAATTATGAAGTTAGAGACTATCTCCTTTATTTTAGCATTAACTCTGAAAATGACACCAGCTCTAAAATCCAACGTAGAGCCTCCTTTACCAACAAGTTTAAATTTGGGTTGAGTAGACAATTAGGAAGTCAGTTTTGTATCGACAAGCAAGACTTAGACTTTATGACTGAACCAATAGGTTCATATAAGTATCATCAAAAAAGAGATCCGTAAGTAAGAAAGAATTAACAGGAAACGCTACTGATGACAAATATCAGGACTTCGCTAAGCGAAGTCTGAAGGAATAATAATATGGTATATGGAGGACAATACTTTATAAATATAATGCTCATTGTTGTTGTTTGAGCCGCAGAAAACATTACAAAAAATTTTGAGTATTGCTACCGCGTTGATAGTTCTTGACCAGATACAAAACCGATTGTGATGGGGCGTCTAATTACAGTCTTAATTTATGGTACAAAGGCGGAAACACTTTCAACATTCGACGAGTTGGCTCTGAGACATTCGATAAAATATGTTGGGAAGGATTTGTGGACTTGTGTTTATGCAACCCTCCAGCTTTGAAAATATTGAATGCGGGGTCAGCTGATGCTAGCAGAGAAAAGGGCAGCTCTCCACCACCATGCTGTGTAAACAGTAAGAAGGAAAACTCGGCTTAATTTGAAACTTTGAATAAACCTATAGAAATAACTACGATGCGATTAAAGACACGTCTAAAGCGCTTAGAGTTTCTTACGAAGAACAATGGTTCTAGTATTAAATTGAATACAAGGTTCCAATAATTTTGTTTTGTCCATAACGATATTTCTCTCTTTTTCTTTCACTACTACAGGTGCTTTAAATAAAGAACTCGATAGCGTGAAAATTCTAGCACTGCTCTGAATCACAATTCAATTTCGAGGCTTTACACTTTTATTGTGATATTCATCGTGTTCACGTTACACCTGGGGTTAGTTTTTTGATGTTGGAAATCTCCAATAGTTTATGTATGAGTGGTATTCTTGTATATACATATCCAATTTTCCATATACTCGGCTGGGATGGACTTCAGTGCCTTTAGCGAATTTTGGGTTTTTCGGTTTTAGCTCATTTTGGAGCGCCATTCGCTAGATTATTGGACAGTTTCGACATCACCAATAATGATGCGTTTGATGAAAGCAGAGTTCTCAGCTACGTTGTCACGCATTTCAGATGCCCACTGTTTCATTAACTTTTTCGATGTTATCACCTTTAACGGACGATTCGCATGAGACATTTTCGATGACTTCACAGCCTTCACTTAGTGCTTTGTGCCACTGGTGTTCATGATAAAGTAAACTTTCGAAAACACTTCTGCAATATTTTTAAGGATTCCGTAATACGAATTCGCTGTTCAATTTTTTTTAATCAGTGACAGAAATACTATATCAAAGCATAGTTACAAAGCATAGTTTTTTTTTACCATTGAGGAAGGAAAATAACTTCGGATGTTCTCCAGGTTGAAATTTTAGTATGTTCATATCTTTTAAAGACACTGTGCTGTAGCAGCAGCTTGAGTTTCAAGCGAACCAACATTAGAAATACTCATAATAGCATGTTTAACTCAAGAGCATGTAGGTATATATGTAAAAGTACGAGGGTGGTCCAAATATGTCCGAATGATACAAGAATAATCACTGTATTTATTATATTTGATATCAATTCGTAAAGAGATCTCTCCAATGATTGTATTAAAGAAATACAAGAGAAGAACCGATCATCGGCAAAAGTTCAAATTATATTGAAGTCGAACCAAAAACTTGATTCATTTGTTTACTATCGTCAAATATTGGCTATCTAGAGTTATGTACGGTTGTAAGAACTGGAGAATTTCAGCCCGAAGACTGTAACGGACATATGGTAGAAGTGAGATCATTATCCTATACAATTGTAAGATATTTTAGATTATCATGGCCGACGACAGAAAGTGTATTAGAAGATAGTATTTCCCCTTAACAGATTTATCGAAAGACAAGTTCGAATAACTTTTTTCCCTTTTTAAAGTCTCGAAAAATTATTCGGTTGTAGGTTTATTGCAGTAAAGTTAAAAAAAAAAACATATTAATAATTTTTTCATTAGGATTTCGCGTACTTTAAGGGCCGGCCACGTACATATATAAGCCCCATGTTTAAACGCCTGTGTAATGCATTACCCATCAGATGGTCGCACGTAAATTGTGTGCACGCACACCTCAAATAAACGAAACAAACAACAATAACAACATTATATAAATAGGCAAACAATAAACTAGATTCCTAAGGCTCTTGAGACACCGGGCCATGTGGAGCGCAGTCATTACGATTTTGGTCATTGGGTTTGTCGTTGTAAGAAAGTTAAGCTTGCGCTTTTATTTGTTGTTGTTCAACGTTTTGTTTGCAGTGTGAGGCGCGTAGGCCAACACCGTTACGTTTACTCAATATCGCTCGCTCACTACACACACGACTTTGCCCTCAAACTTCGCATCAATGGATGGCCGGCAAAGCATTCTTGCATTCACCAAGCATGCGTGAGAGTACATGTATGTACATATATATATATATATGTATGTATGTATGTATGTAAGAAAAAGTGTGTGCGTAAAAATGTGTAGGATTTTCATTCATTCATTGATTCCAGAAATGGTTTGACACGCTACTTATGCGCATGCGTAACTGACCGGTTGGTGGCCTTGTTGATTGAGTAAAGAAGTTGGCACAAATGATCGTTGCACCTCGACTGCATATGGGAAAAAATAGATTTTTATCCACTTTTGTGAAAATTAGTTACTCACTTTAGCGCGACGAATCACGAAATCTCTCCGGCTTCGATCGCCAGTAAACTATTTTAGGAGAGCGGAACGGAAGTCATGGTTGGAGGTCGGCAATCTCAAGTTTATTTCTTATCTCTCTTCTGCAATCTGGATTTTTATTGAAATTTTTTCTCTCGTTCAACTCCATGAAAATTAAAAGCCTTACCTTGAAGATCAAATATTTATTTGAAAAGCTAAAGAGTGAAACATTTGAAGCGGTTTTCAAAGATGGGTCTTCAGCTATCGAAGCTGCAAAGACTTGCCTGCGTCTGCGCTTCTGGGGCAATGCGCACTTGCCCCACCGCAGCACTTGAGGTCATGCTAAAGCTCACACCGCTCCAGAGACAAATTCCAGCTCCTTGTCGCGCTCTACACTGGGCACTGCAGTCTCAAGAAACATCTATCTAACATGGGCAAAGATTAATGTGGAAACTGCCGGTTCTGTGACATAGAGCCGGAAACACCAGAACTAGATTGCACAGCAATTTGTAGACGCAGGCTCAAGGCCCTCGGTTTCATTTATGTGGACAGGGATTACATACCTCAATAGCACCCAGCAGGTTTATGGAGTTTGTCAGGGTGCTAGGGCTTTGTGAACGCATGTGATGGAGGGGAGGGAACAATAGACCCTAGGTTGCGGTGCAAACCTCATACTATTCTAAATCTCATCTAATCTAATCTAAAGAATAAAAGCTCATGTAGACAATATATCTTGGAACCAAATATCCAGGCAAATTTAATGAAGGTATTGATTGATTATCTCTCTGTGAATGATTTCAACTGGTTTTTTGGAGCACACCACCTTATTATATATATATATATATTATATTGTCAATTCTATAAGGTCTCAGCTCTCACTACTATATTTTAGAAAGCGCCCATTGATGTACGCGACAATTTTTTAGAGAATAATTTTCTATATTACTTAATTGGGATCTGGCAGACCTCCCTGAGAAAGTGTTTTTATCAAGTATCAAGAGAAATTGCATATCCTTACGCAATTCTATATTCGGCTAAGTCTGTGGTGTTTCTATTCAGTTTCTATGAGTCCTGGGTTGAACTACATATGCAGCGTAATTTATGGCCGACCTTCCGGTTGCTTTCATTGCAATTTCTCCAAGTGCTTCTTCATAGCGATGAATGGACTTTGTTGCATCTCTATAATTTAGTCATAATTACGGTCGTATTTTCAAAGAGTTGTCAAAGGAAATACCGAGTAGTTTCGGTATAATCGTATTTAACGCCTTCGACTTTAATCTCCATAACGACTCTGTTCTTTCGTGCAACTTATAATATATTTCACCGCCTTTTTTCAGTGGAGTAGTGAATATAAAATTAAGCCAAAGGGGAAACGGACATTACCTCATCCTGGAAAAGTAATTCATGATTCAAGTTTGTAATCCATGAGAAAGTTAGAATCACTCTATTTATATTATTATATAAAAATTTCACTGTGGTGCATAGGCAATAGTGTTTGCCTCATAATGGACCTATTAGACTTAAGTCCAGAATAAGCCTTATGATGGTCCTATCCCTTACCCTAACCGAAGTGAGGTTGTGTCGAAGCTTTATACTTACTTTTATTAAACAGCAGAAATAATCAGATCAACGACCACGTTGATAAAGTAGGAGTTATTCTTTTGATGAGCGACTTAATTTGATAATAATGAAAGTTTTTGATTGTGACAGTTATTTTATTATTTAGAAATCCATATACACAAAGGAATATAATTTTAATTGAAATGAATACCACCATTATTATTTGACAAAAAAAACTATTGTGAATGGTTTTTTTGCACGAAGAACTAACATATGAAAAAGCAAATTGACAGCTGACATTTGCCGACACAAACTCGTCATTCTGGCGAATTTTATTTAAAGTCGACATTAGAAATTATTTATTTGCATCGTGTAATTTAGCTAAGAAATTTGTATAATTAAAATGGGTGATGACTTTGAACCAATGGATCCAAGCTTGCGCAATATTGTCGAACAATCATCGTTGAAGTGGATATTTGTAGGCGGCAAAGGAGGTGTTGGCAAAACAACATGCAGGTAAACTATGCAATTAAGTGTTTTTTAGAATATTTTTTTGATTAAAATTACTACTTTCATATCTTTTTAATTACCCAATTACCTAACATACGATAAACAGTTGCAGTTTAGCAGTACAAATGGCCAAAGTGCGTGAGTCAGTCTTGATCATTTCGACAGATCCAGCTCATAATATTTCAGACGCTTTCGATCAGAAATTTACAAAAGTTCCAACAAAGGTATTCTAAATATATTATAATATGGTGAACTTTATTTCAACAATTAATTAAATGGAATGCAGGTGAATGGCTTCACAAATTTATATGCAATGGAAATTGATCCAAATGCGGGTCTTAACGAATTACCGGATGAATATTTCGAGGGCGAAAATGAAGGTCTGCATTTGAGCAAAGGTGTGCTGCATGAAGTAATTAACGCTCTGCCTGGTATAGATGAAGCTATGAGCTATGCAGAAGTAATGAAGTGAGTACATAAAATTACCTAAATTGCAATGGTCAACCCGAAATTATATGTATATGTGCATGTTCCTCAACATAAACGTATAAACCTCTACTTTATTTACTACAAATTATAGACTTGTCAAAGCAATGAACTTTTCAGTGGTCATCTTTGATACAGCGCCAACAGGGCACACATTACGTCTGCTTTCGTTCCCACAAGTCGTTGAGAAGGGATTAGGCAAACTGCTGCGTTTGAAAATGAAAATTGCCCCCTTTATCTCACAATTTGGTAGCATACTAGGTATGGCAGATTTTAATGCTGACTCGCTCACACAAAAGCTTGATGAAATGCTGAAAATCATAAGACAAGTAAATGAGCAGTTTAGAAACCCAGTAAGTATTTTTATTTCTATGCAGCATTTCATATTCTCTAACTAAGAGTTTTTGTTTATAGGATCAAGCTACGTTTGTTTGTGTCTGCATCGCTGAATTCCTTTCATTGTATGAAACCGAACGCCTTGTGCAAGAGCTGACTAAATGTGGCATAGATACACACAATATCATAGTCAATCAACTCTTATTCAAGAAACAAAACCAGGAGCCATGTGGAATGTGTGCCGCGAGATATAAAGTAATGTACTTTGAATTATATTCTATATTCTTTTTAACTCTTTAATATTATATTTTAGATACAAGAAAAATATCTGGATCAAATTGCTGATCTGTATGAAGATTTCCATGTGACAAAATTGCCTCTACTCGAAAAGGAAGTTCGAGGGGTGGAGAATATTAAGAATTTCTCAGAAAATCTGGTTAAACCTTATAGTCCTAATTAATTTCTAAATATACAAATATGTATATACTGGTATGGAAACAATGGTGTTATAATTTCAAACAAAATATAATAATAGCGTCTTTATTTCATATAAATGAAAAAAAAAACGTTTCTCAATCACAGCTGTATTCCAATTAATATACTTTAATAATAAACGATAAAAATTAACAATAAAATTAAATGAATGCAGATTTTATTCTCTTAAAAGAGGATACGCCTTTAACCATTTGAAAAGAAAAATTTTAATATAAAGATTATTTCAATTTTGCCATAAAAAAAAATAATATAATAATTAAAAAAAAGTACTTGTACTCGGCAATGGTACTCAAATACAAAATTCCGATTACTTATCGAAAACCGACAACCTCCCATCACAAGTGAGAGTGAAAATAAAAGTGACGTCTAGCTGTGACAAAACCTCTCCTTTATATAACAAGCAATGACATTTGTGTAAATTCACCGGTGGTAGACGAACTTACGAAATTATCGCATTTTCAACCACGAAATATTTTACTATCTCGTATCAGCCACTCAAACAACTTTAAATAAATTAATACGCAACAAGTATAACAGCAGCACAAAACAATGGCCAGCGAAGGAGCAAGTAACCAGAATGCAGTTTGCACACTGTGTGACACGATCGGACTTAAACCATTCACGAAGCAGAACGTATTCTACTATTACATACCATTGCATGGCGTAGTATCATACTCAGCCCTCGCCGTAAATGTAATGAATCCGGGACTAATTTCAAAAGTCCTTCCCAAAAAGGATTTGACTAATGTCCTATTGCTGAGCACGTTAACTGGTACAGCCTTTTACATATACGGACGACCACATCTACGTACTGTGCCGAATTCCCGACGCGGTCTGTATGCCGTGTTAGGCGGTTCACTCTTCAGCATGGGTTCAGTGCTCGCTTGGGCTTTAATGAGATCGATATTGCCAAGAGATAACGCAGCAGTTGCTACCATTGCAGGTTTGGCTTCGGGAGCAGTTTTGGTTAAGCTGAGTACTGACTATTTTACTGATTGTGACAAACTGGTTACAAAGAATTAAACAAGAATAGCAGTGATCGTGTGGTTTTGGTGTTCTTTCAATTAAAGGGACAAATCTAATTTTAGTCGATGACTTTCATCTCATTTTTTTATGCAGCAATTAAAAGTTCAATACACCGACGGGAATTTTCGATTGCAGTGGAATATGTATAATGCAGTGCCGCACCTAATGGCTGACAATCTGTGTTTATATTTGGAAAAGCCTTTGGTCGTGGAAATTGTATATTTAGTATGTTAAAAATATTTGTACTTTGAATCAGGTAAAAATAAAGTTTAAAGTTAAAACTGCTGCTAATGAATTTTTATATTATCTATAAATATGTAGTGTAAGCACCAACGGAAAAATGTACTAAAAAGTAGAAATCATAAATGGATTAAAATTCCAAAATTTAAGAAAAGAAAAAAATATATTTATATAGGTATTATATTATAATTAAATTTATTAGACCCACTGTTAAGCGTTGCGATTATTTTAATAATATTTTTGTTAAAAGCGTAGTTTAGGTCCCCGAACAAAGGAGGCCGCGAAAATTATAATTTTTTAAAATAGTCTTATTTTGACGCGGAGATTACAAATCTGAACGCGAAGCAGGAAATAAATTTTTTCAAAATATATACAAATAGCTATATATATATATACATACATTAATATATTTATACACTATCCAAATACCGATTTATAGTGTATTTTTTAAGAAAAAACGTGTATTTTAAAAATTACTTCGCACACTGGCGGACTTTGGCCGCTCTTCAAAAAAAAAACCCTGGTTGATCCAACACTGGGGTGTTCATAATTCTTTCGTGTCGTAATCTATTCTGCATTGGCCCTTCAAAAAAAATCTGATCGACGCGAAATAACATGTGCTAAATGTGTTATTTTTGAATTTTTTTGTGAAACTTAAAAAAAAAAGAATTATTAAAAAATTTGTTTCGTTTACGTATTCTGTTTCGCTTTGTCATTTTCGTGTCTAAATAAGACGATTTAAAAATTATAATTTTACGGCATCCTTCGTTGGAGGACCTAAACTATACATTCACTATTCTATTCTATTATTCTTATTATTTAAATTAACGACCTTTCTTTTATTTTGTTTTGTAAACTCTTTTATAAATATATGTAACCAAGAAGTTAAAACCAGTTTTTAGAAGCAGGTACCGATTACACAAATAAACAGCACTACACGTAATTGTCAAATTAATTATTCACAATAATAAATGTCAAATTGTCTATTCATTCATTGAACACACGTTCTCGCTATCGAACAAACGAATTTTGATCTGGAGAAGAAAAGGTTGGTGTGCGAAATTTTGCTTTTGTCTGGTTTATGTAATTATTTTACGGATGAAAACGCGATTTATTGCATGGTGTATTTGGATTATGTATCATTTGAATAATTATTAGATAGTAATGTAATGAATATTTTCATTTAATACTGCACCCATGTGACAACGAGTGATAAATACCGACTTGCAAAAATCAGCCTATACGGAAGTTAAAGCGAATGAAAAGTCGTCTGGTTGATGATGGTGGTTGTTTCTTGTGTGTTGTTATGTATGTGGTGCTAACCAGGAAAAGTAAACAGACAGGCGGCAAAAACTGCCTCCTGCGAAGAAGTATTCCTGTGATAAACAAAGTGACGCCAGAAATCTCTGTTTTTCTTTTTCGACAATAAAACTTCGTTGGGCCCCCTACAGTGCGCTAGCTAATGGATTACCGATAGTTAGAGATTTGAGTGACGTGCAAAAAATCACATATTTTTCGAAAAGTATTGCACAGAATTGCATATAATGTTATTGCTTTTATTGATTTTACCCAGTTTTTAAAAACACCTAACGTAACGAATGTGAAATGAATTTGCGCTCTATGTGAACATAAGAATAATCGAGTTTCTCCATTTTTTATAGCTTTTCGAGTCAGTGAACTTAAAACCTACAAAGGTGTGAAAAATCAAAACAAGAAACTAAAAGTTGAACACTTTAGTGTGTATGTACGAACCATTTAACATAATAAAAGGGGAAAATGTTATAATTAAACTATGTCAGGTTTCTGTGTTTTTTTTTCGTTGAATGATGTTTTGAAGTCGGTTATCGCTTTGATAAGAATGCCGTGTGATATGCATGCATTACTTACTTGCTACTTGATATTAATTACGTTGCGAATCTTCTATAGCAAATAAACTATTTATCATTAAAGACCATTATCACATTCATTACATTTATATATTCTTGTATTTTTTCCAGTGAGCATTGCTCAAGTTTCTTTCGGCATAGATGAAGAGTGTACAAAGTAACTTATGGTAGCATACGCATTAATAAAACAGATTTAAGAAACACTTTGCAATACAAAAAATAGACGTTATTTGAAAACACTTTCCTGCCAGTAAAAGCAACTTACCGAAATCGTAGTTATGGTACAATACAACGCCGCTCAGCGAAAAAATGTTCGCATATTGTTGGTCGGCGATCCCGGTGTGGGTAAAACATCGCTCATACTTTCGCTTGTAAGCGAAGAATTTCCTGAGGATGTACCTCCAAAAGCTGAGGAGATAACAATACCCGCTAATGTCACACCTGAACAGGTGCCTACAAATATTGTCGACTATTCAAGTAAGTGAACGCAACAAAAATATTAGCATTGTACGTATATTAATTTATTGAATTATATTTTTTTAAAGGCACCGAGCAAACCGATGAAACACTTAACGAGGAGATCGTCAAAGCACATGTTGTATGTATTGTATATAGTGTGGAAGATGAAGATTCGCTTGATCGCATAACATCACACTGGCTGCCTTTAATACGAAATGCGATTGGAGAGGACCAACAACGTAAGCCTGTGGTACTGGTGGGCAATAAAGTTGATCTGATAGAATACTCAACCATTGATGTAAGTCTATTAAATTGTGAATTTATAATTTTTTTTTATATAATATTTTCCTTCTTCTTTTTAGAGTGTATTGACAATAATGGAAGACTTTCCTGAAGTTGAAAGCTGTGTGGAATGCTCTGCCAAAACGCTTCACAATATTTCCGAAATGTTCTACTATGCACAAAAGGCTGTTCTACATCCAACATCGCCACTTTATATAATGGAAGAGCAAGATGTAAGTAAAATATAAAAAAATTATTTATCATTACTTTTATTAGATCATAAAGAATTTTTTAAATAAAAATAATTGTTTTAAATCCAATCATTCCGAAACTATATCAGGACATGGCTTATATTTCCCTTTGAACTAAAAAATGCAAATTTAAAACATTCGTTTCTTTTCCAGCTTACGCCGGCTTGCAAGAAATCACTTATTCGCATATTCAAAATATGTGATATCGATGGTGACAATCTGCTCAATGATTATGAATTGAACTTGTTTCAACGTCGTTGTTTTAACACACCTCTACAGCCACAAATACTAGACGAAGTCAAAGTTGTTATACAGAAGAATATTCCAGATGGCATCTTTCACGATGCGGTTACACTCAAGGGATTTCTTTTCCTGCACTGCTTGTTCATACAGCGTGGACGTAATGAAACCACATGGGCGGTGTTGCGTCGCTTTGGTTACAATGAGCAGTTAGAAATGTGTAAGGATTATTTGCGGCCAACTTTGAAAATACCTCCCGGCAGTAGCACTGAATTATCACATCGTGGCCAACAATTTCTTACAGCACTGTTCGAACGTTACGATAGAGACGGCGACGGCGCACTATCACCAGAAGAGCATAAAATGCTCTTCAGTACATGCCCATCAGCGCCTTGGTCCTACTCAACAGATATACGTAAGTCATGTCCGACCAACGATCAGGGTTGGGTAACGCTGCACGGCTGGATGTGCCGCTGGACGTTAATGACACTTATTGATGTCTTAAAGACACTAGAGTACTTAGCGTATTTGGGCTTTAATGTACATGAGAACGATAGTCAGCTGGCGGCAATACATGTGACACGGGAACGACGCATTGATTTAGCCAAACGCCAAAGTAGTCGATCCGTGTATATGTGCCATGTAATTGGTCCAAAAGGCGCTGGTAAGACGGGGTTGTGTCGTGGTTTCTTAGTAGAAGACATGAAAAGTCTGATTGGAAAAGAATTCAAGACTAATGTGGTGCATTGCGTCAACACTGTGCAGGTAAAAATTAAATATGATTTTAAAATAGTGCATAATATAATTATTTATGATTGTATTATTAACAGGTTTATGGTCAAGAAAAGCATCTTATACTACGTGATATAGACGTAAAGCATGCGTTAGACCCATTGCAGCCGCAAGAGGTGAATTGTGATGTCGCTTGCCTCGTATATGACTCATCCAATCCGCGTTCGTTCGAGTACATTGCACGCATCTACATTAAATATTATGCGGAGAGTAAAATCCCAGTCATGATTGTTGGCACTAAAGGTGACTTAGATGAGCGGCGGCAAGATTACTTACTGCAACCGTCGGAGTTTTGTAGCAAATATAAACTACTGCCCCCACACCTGTTCAGCTTGAAGAGTAATAAAAAGGAGGTTTACACGAAATTAGCAACCATGGCGGCATTCCCGTGAGTAGTACATACAAACTTGAACAATAACTACCATATGTGATTTTTTATGTGCAATATGTTTAACATTTAACACACATCCAAACGAATTGGCCATGGAGCATTGCTTACCGTTACATTCTGGTATTTGTTATACAAATATGTTAGGTTAGGGTGAATATGTTTGTTTGTGTTATTGTGGTTGTAAGCGGTAAATGTCCACTTTTCCACTCTTCTATTTGCCTCAAGTGTTTCCTGGTACACTCCACCAATAAGTGTTTAGTTACTACTAAAGTAGAATCATATATTGTATCTTAGTGTAATATTTTATATAGAATTTTTTTTATTTTTGTAACATAGAGTACAGAGATTTGATGAATTTAACAATTATTTGTTGTTGCAATCACAGCTTATTTTTAATTACTGCGCACATAACAGTTCAAGCAAATTTACTGCTTATTTTTTTAAAACAAAGCATTTCTAATTGCATAATTAATTCATAAAAATATATAATTAGAGCAACCGAATTAAATATTTTTCATTTCTCATTTTATTTTATTTAAATAGCCACAAAATCAAAATTTCGTTAAATACGTATATTTATCTAAACGCAAAAACACAAAAAATATATACATACAAGTTATGCACAAATTCTCGTTCAATTAATAAACATAAATTTAATATTATTCTTCCTTTATCTTCTAACTGCTGCATCAACTAAAAAATAATAATACACCAAATACAAAAATAAAACAAAAACAAATCGAATATTCTCCAATGTCTCGCGTACGCGCCACAAACATCCTCACCACTCCCCTGAATTTTGAATGTCTGCGCTTTGGCTGTGGTGATTATTGCACAAAAACAAATAAATAACGTATAAATTTTGCTATCGTTAATTTACAACAACAACAAATGACTATTTTCGCTCGATAAATCGCAGTCGCTTTCAAGCCGCATGGATACTCTTTTACAAGCACAGGTTGGTACAGCTGTGGGAATCAGCGTAAGTGTGAATCTTCTTAATGCCATTTAAACAGCCGAACGAGCAACTAATATCGTACTATCCATACATTGTGTTTATTTTTTCTCTTTTTCGAGCAAATATTTTTTGTACAATAAAAAGCAATACACCATAGTAAAATATGCATAGCCAGCAAAATACGAATAATAATAGCAACATAATTAGTTTTTTATAGTATATGTTTAAACGTAGATGTTATATCTATCACTATTTAAAACTAATTTTTTAGTGTCATTTTCTTTTCAACCAAAATTACTACTTTTTTCAATATTTGTTTATGTTATTTATGCGATTGGCAAGTTTTCAAAGCCATCATTTGCACATTTTATGTTTTCCGTCATATAGATAATGTACGTACATGATCGTATGTATGTATATTGAAACATTTATATTTGTGCACTGAATATTTATACTCTTTGGTAAAACATATGTACTTTCGTATTTTGTTATAACTTATTTGTTATTTGTGTATTTCACTCATCCATCCAAGTGCGCCCCTTATTTACTCATAGAAAGTTTTGTAATTAAATGCATTCAGGTGGTGGCAGGTTGTTCAATATTTAAGAAAATCCCATTCTATTATTTGTATACCCTGAACAGTCAACATATTAAGTTTGCCACGAAGTTTGTAACACCCAGAAGGAATTATCGGCGACCGTATAAAATATAAAAGATTAGCATAACGAGCTAAGTCGATTTAGCCATGTCCATTTGTCTAAACCTCTGTCTATATATACGCGAACTAGTCTCTTAATTTTCGAGATATTGATGTGAAATTATGCACACGTCTTTTTTTCGCCCAGAAGCTGCTTATTTGCTATTTATCAGCACCGCCAATACCAGACCACTATAGCATATACATAGATGCCATACAAACTGACCGATAAAAATCAAATCACCTGAGTTCTCCGCGTTAAACATGTCTTTATTTACTTCTTTGTATGCTTTCTGAAACCTTTGCCTCCAATATTTAAAGCCTAAAACTTACCGATTCAAACAGGATTAGTTCGCCGTAATAACAGCCCTTGGATAAAATCAGCGTCAATTCCGGTAGCGTAAAACCGACTATTGTGGGAATGGTAGCCAACAACCTTTTTCTATGGTCCGATCCCGTCGAAACAGCTCGCCTTGCATTTACCGTTAGATGACAACTCCTGATTTTTTAGCACTAAACAGGGCTTAGAATGGCTGCTATAACAACAAAAACAAATTAGAACACGACACGTTCGATAAATTTATTAATTAATTTTTTTTTCCAAAAATTCTTCCTGCCGAAACTTTAATGCATTTATAGTACTTTCACTTTGCACACTTAATTCCCTTGACACCTGCAACACCTTCTGTCCTACCCATTTTTCTACACACACTAAACACCACTCTTAATTATTGTGAATATTTTAGGTTTATTCGTAATTTTCATAAAATCCGCACATGATTTCGATTTTTTAACCCTTTAATATTTTTCGTAAACTCTTGAGATGCACCAGAAACTTACTAAGCCTTTTTACTTCAGTTGTAGTAGAGCTTGAAACTCGATTGCATGTTTATAAATACAACCATTTCTATGTCAATTTAATTAATATTTATCTTTTTGTGTTCTTGCTACGCGCGTCACAACCTACCGCCTACAAATAGACATCTACGTCAGTTTGGTTTGATGACAGAGGATCCGACACTTTGGTGGAAAGCTGGTTTGGGTGTTGCCGCCGCCACCGTACTCGGTTTTGTTGTGCTCAAAGCATTGCATAGCGCCGGCACGCATGTGCGTTACTAATCTTAACTATTATTGCAGTCTATAACGGCAATTCGGCGGGATAAGACGCAAGCATACAGGCATACAATGCAAGACATACACCGAAATGCCGTATAGAATCGGGCATCGTATCCATTTTGGAACTTTTGTAATATTCTACTATGATAAGATTCCACAACACTCGCGTTCCACACTCCATCGAATTAGAAAATTGTATAAAGCATTCTAATTTCTTAAGTTTCGTTGACAAACGCGCTTAATCCGGCGCCAGAAAAATTATTTTGTGAAAATAGTAAGCAGCTAAATTGTTTGTGTGTAAAAGATTGAAAAATATTTGGAATCACTATGGAAAATTTTTGTTGTAACGTGAAAAAACATTGAAAAATTAAAAGCAACCAAAATTTTTAAGAACTTTAGTTTAATGCTTTTTTAAAAAGAATATAAATAATTTATGCAAAAGAGCGTACATGCACATATGTATATCGTTTCATAAATACAATTGTTTTTGTTTGTAAATACATACTTACTAACCTTAAAAAAAAACTTATTTAATGCGCTTCGATAATATCAGCGTGTCGTTTAACGCATAAATCTCTAATTTAACGCTGTAATCAATGCATTACACACTTGTAATATTGTATCTACACACATACATACATACTATAAATAGTAATAAAAATTATTTTAACATTGAACTTAATGACGATGAGAATCATTTGAACATCAATCGGATAGCAATAACAATTAGCATATAGTAGTATATAAACCATTGCGTATATGCATACAAAAATATATACATACATACATACATATGTATGTTATGTTACATAGTGTAATCTACATATATTAACCACATGAATAAAAATATTTTTGTAAATCATAAGATAAGTAATACATCCATACATCGGAAGCACTGTTTGGCTGTTGCGCGCTTGGAAAAGCGTCAACTGAAATTCGGACGGTCGGGTGCGGCATATGCGGGCATTTTTTTTAAGTTAAGTACTCCTCATGTTTTGTATGTGTTGGTTTATTTATCTATTAAAGATTCACATACATATTTACACACATTTACTTATATACATATATATACGTATATTGTAATTAAATTTAAATGAACTTTATTATAAAAGAAAAACACAATAATCGGCTTCATGAGTTCAAGAAATTATCGACTCTTCCAATTAATAAATCGAAATGAGAAGCAAATAACAGTTTTTATTTAGTTTTTATTTAGCCATTAGAAGTTCAAGCTACTAAAATACATAGAAGTCAGAGTAATTGGACCAGGGGTACTCAACAAATTTAACTTACGCAGTCACTCAACAACAACTAATAAAAATTACAAATTCGTTTGCCGAACTATTTTTTAGCAGCTTTGTATCAATGGCAATCGATATGTATTTAATTTTGTCAACAAAAACAATGCCAGAGAGGCGAGTGCCAACGCAAGTCATGGTATTAAAGCTATCGCTCAAGCAATTTTAAAGCAGGGCGATGTTAGAATATTTCAGGCGCTTGAGTGAATTCAAACTCCTGTTATCTATTTTGTATCAAGATTGCGAGCACATCGATTTAAGCACGCGACGGCCAGTTACCCATTGTTTCGACAACCGTAAGTACAATTAGAGTCATCGTTAAGTATTCGGCTCATAAATTACTCTCTCTCATTGAATCCGTTATAACATTATTTATAATTTTATAAATTTTAAAATTCACAAATAATGTTTAGAAATGTTGATCGATTTGAAAATTCTTCCAGTACCAGTTACATATTTTAGATATTCTATTTTCTGTAGTAATCTTAGAAAATTCCGTTATGTCATAAGTGCGTGATTTTATCGGATATTAGCCATCATCAAAGGTTAGCATGAGTTTATAAGGATTTTTAACGTTTGTTTTTCAATTTTTTATTTCCTGAACAGGGTATATTAAGTTTGCTACGAAATTTGTAGCACCTAAAAGGAAACTTCGGAGATCCTATAAAATATATACATACAAGTATATTAGTGATCAGCTTGATGAGCTGAGTCGATTTAGCAATGTCTGTCACCGATCAACATGATAAAGATGATTTTTATACCCTAATATGCTATAAAAACGCATTGTAAAGGGTATTATAGCTTCGGTGCAGCCGAAGTAAATGTTTTTCCTGGTTTAAATATTTAAATATAAAAAATTGTGTTTTTTTCAAAATGCACACATATGTGCACTCGATTGCAGCAAATGGAGTTGGAGGCAAAAGTAATCAATCCTAAAATAAACCATTTATGTACTTACAGTTAGAATAGAATAGATAAAGATAGAGGTTTGCACCGCGACCTATGGTCTATTGTGCCCTCCCCTAGGTCACAGCGACTCATCTAGCCCCAGCATATTGATGAAATCCAATACACTGCTAGGTGATGTACTTACAGTTACCAAAAACATTTTATGCAAGTTTTCGTTCATTTACTTTTAGCATTTTATTCTTTGTTATCTTGTAGTTAAATTAAATAAAAACATTATCAACTTAGTAATACAAGTGTATATTCGGAAATTAATACAAGTTATTCTCATACAAGCGCGTACAAAAAAGTAATTTAACACGAATGAGGTATGTTAACTTAAATGAAGTATTTCAATTGACCATTGTAGTTAGACGTTGTTCTGTTATTACTACGTACGTATTATTCATTTTATTTGCCATACTTATATTTGATTACCATATGTATGTATGTTTAACATTGATAAGTCGAAAATTTGCAAGTATTTCACTTCTTCACTGCACTTGGCGAATTTGTATTTGGACCAGTTGTAACGGCGGCTGCTTGTGGTGACATACAATTTCCGTCGGGATATCTCTTTTGAAATTGTGTTATTAACTCGGGATCAACTAAGCGTATGCCATCCAATTGATTGCCTAATGTTATCCAATTTGGTTGCACATTGTGTGGACGACCGAAAAGCTCAATTTTGCGTGTGCCCGGACTCAGACGTTCTATTATGCCATAGATTTCATCGGGTTTATGTGAGGTGGCGCGTACTTCCGCTACAATGACATCACAATCAAGTCCACGATTAAGATTCTTCGGATTACCCTTCATGCCCACCAGACAATGCTCTTTTCCGTGATTTAACCAATGACCGGTGCGACCGGTGCGTATGATGCGCTGCAATTGGTTCGTTTTCACCCAAATGAGTTCGTCCACACGTTCGTAGCTATAAAAATACAAAACATCAATTTATTTTTTATAAAAGCAATTAAGTGCAACATTTCGAAATATACCCCCATAGCTTTAAGCATTCCCTTCCTAATTCCATCGCACGCCCTGTTACCCAAAGAAAGATAAGTCCATCATCCTGCAGTGCTGGCACGCCCAACTGACGCATCTCATCGTCCGACATTGTGCCTATTACATCATTAGTTCAATGAGTATTAAAAATATGATTTCAGGAATTTTTTATATGAAAATACGCACCGTACGGCAATTCCATGTGTATATCCCATGGTGGATCCGCCATTACCACAGCAAATTTGCCCAGTACCGTCATGTCGAGATAACGCAAATCACACTGTATCCATTGTGGAGGATATAATGTAACGCTGGGGTCAATGCTGCGTTTAATGCAAAGCTTAGTTTTAACATCAACTGGTTTATTAGTGTTAATATTGGGTAAAGTGTCAACCTCATAATGTACATATCTATAAATAAATAAAGATATATTTATATATTATTTAATATATTTATTTTCTCTCAAACATTACTCACTTGCATGTAGCCATGTGGAAGCATGTGTTGAGGAAACTGCAATCACCAAGTGATTCATCGGTATGTGATTGTATGATTTTCTTAAAATGCAATTTCGTACAAGTATCCAATGTCTCTATTGGTTCGTCTGTTGATTGTTGTGAATCGGCTTCGGCATCTTTCAAATTTTCAGAAACGATCTCACCATCTTCTGCGCCAGAATCGCTAGCCTTATTGTCGCTTTCCGTTTCTCTGATACTGTTATTACCGTTACTATCTGATGTTGAATTTGCATCAGCTATATTTGTTGTTTCTTCAGCATTGCTTTGCGGATTTGATTCATCAGCCTCTGAGCTGAGTTTGCTAGGAGAATCGTTTTCAAGTTTGCGATCACGTTTCTTTTTTGCTGCCATTTCTGCGGTAGCCTGCTGTGCTTTTAGGCACTCTACCTTGGTGCCATGTGGGCAAAATTCCATTACTTGTGCACCGCCATGTGATTTGAACTTTTCAGCAACGGACCTTTCTTTGGCAGTTGGTTTGGTTAGCAACTCGAGTATTTCTTCGCCAACTTGTTTACTTTGCTTCTCACGTGTAGAGGGCATGGAGAGCAGAGACTATGGAAAGAATTTATTAATTAAAAAATGCAAATAAATGTTGCATGCAGATACAAACCATTATATCATCAGAAGCATCCGCACCGCTGGCATCCGTTACTTTACGCGCATTTGGTCCAGTATTTGGATCAATTTTTGCCGATTTATTGAGATTACAATCCTTGTTCTCCGCATCGACTAAATAAACCGTTATTTGGTTAAACAAAATTTATTGTAGTTATTAAAGATACTTACACTTGCGCTTCAGTTCTTCTTTAATACCAATATATCCATCATTCACCATTTCCTTATACAAATCTAAAATAAGATTTGTTTCCACCGAAATAACTTCGCAGCCCACATCCTTTCCAATTGTAACACTCTTAATATTAACTGCACCTTGCTCTGCTAATTTGTTGAGTGTGTAATTGATTACATGCTGTGCAGGTGCTTTATCCAAAAATGTAGCTACTTTTTCCAGCAATTGTGTTGATATGATGGGAAGCACAAGTGTGTTGGAGGAGAGCGCCTGCAATACCGCTTTTTCAGCTTCAGCATCGTTTTCTGTGTTTATAAATATTAAACAAAATTAAATGGTTTGTTTAATTGTTATTGTAGTTGCAAACAAACCCAATTCCCCAGTTGGATTAGGTGAGTCCTTAACTGTGTCAACAGCACTATTTGGTGATGAAGATAGTAAACCGGCACGTTCTTTCTTTCGTTTCTCCAACTTTTCTCGCAGTGTATGTCGCTTACTTTTTACAGCTTTTATTTCATCCCAAGCATCTGCCATTATACAACCCAATCACAAAACGTTCTTATGTTTATTTAAAAAAGATATTTATTTTCACGGACGGTGACAATTTTACCAATTAACAAAACATAAACTGCAGAAGATGTAAAACGAAAACATTTGATACTACTTATACGCTTCTTCTGTCATATTCACCATTCACAATGGTTAAGAAATGAGCCGGGCAATGCATAGACAGCTATGAATAATAATAATAACAACAACGTGTTTTTGTTATTGCCTTTGCTCAATGAAAACAACAGTCCCAATATCAAGTGCAAAAGAGAATAACAACAACTATAAAGGGCAAGGAAATTACTTAATTGGCCAGTATTTTGTTAGTAAAAGGTCTTGAAAATTAATTTCACACAGAATGTTTGGGTGCAATCCTTTGGACTATGATTTGAAAGTGGAATTATCACGATGCTTTAATGGTATTGGAACTGTTTACTTAGCGCAATATTTACCCAATGGACAACATATCGCAGTAAAAAAATATCGTATGGATAAGGCAAGCAAAGAGGAGAGCATCTTAGCGCGTGATGAACTGCTTATCATGCGTCAGTTCAATCATCCCAACATACATACATTCCATACATCGTTTGTATATGGGAATGAGCTCTTTCAGATAGCACCGTTGATGTGCTTTGGTAGCTGCAAGGACACCATTGCTAACTGTTTTCGGGCGGGTAAGTGGCTAGCAATATGTACCAAAGAGAGACCATACTTGTTTAATTGTGTTATGAATTAGGTTTCCCTGAAATTTTTGTTGCTTTGATAATGCGTGATGTACTCTCCGGCCTGGAGTACCTACATCGTCGTGGTTATATACATCGCTCCATTCGTGCCAGCCATATACTACTCAATCAAACTAAAGCAATATTATCTGGTTTCCGTGAATGTACCAGCATTGTAGGCCATGGTGAACGCATTGCAGCTTTGCATCACTTAGCACCTTGCAGTGCACGTAGTTTAAACTGGTTAGCACCAGAAGTGCTGGAGCAAAACATAATTGGCTACTCAGAGAAATCGGATATTTACTCAATTGGTATAACATGCTGTGAACTAGCGAACGGCGTGGAACCCTTTGCTGATGCACAGCCAACCTTTATGTTTACTGAAAAAGTACGTGGCAATGTGCCAACATTATTAGATCGTTCTACATGTCCCGCCAGCGAAGAAATGATAGGTAAGAATGCTTTAAAATATAAAAGATGATTGCATATTGTATTCATTCTTTATTTTCTGCTTATATAAATTTTTTAGAAATTGTCGCAAGTACTGACTCAGACTCGATTAGGCAGGCACAGCAAATCTACAGTCAACGTGTATTCTCTGATGAGTTCCATCAATTTACAGAAATTTGTATGGAGAAAAAACCCTCAAGTCGTTGGTCAACATTACAGCTCCTTAGTCATTCCTTTTTCAAACAATGTCGACACACAAGTATACTAGATCAATTGCAACGTTTCGGTTTAGAGACAAAGGACTATTCACAGATAAGAGGTATATATGATTTACGGAATGCACTTTAGTAGAAAACAAGAAAAATCTTATTTATCACTATTCTATAAAACAATAATAATATAATTTATTACATCTATAGACCAAAGTTTGACACTATGCACCGACTTGAGTGAGATGAATGTGCACAGCAATGATTGGGACTGGGATTTTTAAACTCATTGTCAAGTCATACCAACACACAAGTTTATATATGTACATAAAAAAAAATATATATATACGATTTTATACATACAATTATATAGATATAGCTTTAGTGTGTATTTCTTAATTCCATGTTAAATTTAAAATTCAAGTGTTTGTACTTACGCAATGCCTCCAAGAGAGAATTTGAAAGACTACCACATCAAACAGTTTGTAAATTCATCACAAGAGATTTATACAAAAGAATTTTCATTTTGAAAAATTAGCTCTAGTTAATTGTCTAACAATGTGGATTTAGTATGGTAACGGTGATCACACGACTGTCGGGTCTACGTTATCGCAACGGAGTCGACCAAGAACTGCCAACTTAGCAGCAATCTTTAAATCATTTCAAGAATGTGTTTTCCCGCTACAACAACAACAGCAACATAAAACAAATTTGAATAACGAACTTGCAGTAATCGTTAGAAGTATAGTAGTTCCCACACACAATTATCTTTAAATAAATAAAACATAAAAAATTGTATTTAAAATGTTTCTTTTATTTAAATTAAATATTATGCACTTTTAATTCTTAATTGCTTATTCAATATTAATATTAATGTTTAACAATTTTTTTATTATTAATACAATTGTTGATTGTGTAAAACAAAATCATACAACTAGAGAAGCAGATTGTGGATTTAATTTTGAAAATTGCACTATTTGCATCACTTGCTTTTGTTCTATTTACAAATTCCAAATCCTATTATGGAATATTTCATTTCATCTTTTCGCTTAAGACATGTCTGCAGCTCAAATAATGTATGTATATACTTATATTTAATAAAATTGTAAATTAATGCATTTAATTTTATGAAAAAATTCAATTCAAACATTTCTCTTGGTTGATGTATTATAAAGATTATAAAAGCGAAGTAATTACCAATGTTTATTAAAAAAACCATACCGTTATACTCGTAATGGCGTAAATTTTGGAAAATAGATAACTTAAACTTAAGCTATTCAGATAGAAAAGAATTTAATTTTTAAGTGACAACAATGAAAGCAAAGATTATAATCTAAGGCCAACGATTTTGAGAAATAGTGGTAGTGCAGAGCGGCGTCATTTTATAAACTAAAACTTGAAATGTATGTCTATAAACCTAACAATTTAATTTATAAAAACAAAATTATTATATTGTGTTCACACGCCCAGCCAAATAGACAGTTATACAATTTTTAATTCAAATACAATTTCTGGATAGTGTTTTATTTCAATTTAGAAAAAAAAATCCGTTAATTTAATCGGCTTTCAATTTAAAGAAAATAAAACGCCAATTGGCTTTTAACGCTAACTAAATAATATTTGCGAAAATCATACCAATTAACTTTTGTTTAACATTTCGTTTATTGATTTCATTTGAGGTGATTTTTATATATATATTTCTTTTTATATTGCAAAGGTTCTCATATATAGAAAATATAATATAATTAAAATTATATGTGTGTATAGAGTAAAATTTAATCATAGAATAAATGTAGATAACTGACTGATTTCATAACGTTCGATAATTGATATCGAATAAATCGATACTTTAGCTTAATTTACACTTAATATTTTACATGCTATAACATAATTTTCTTTGCAATGTTTAAGCTTTTACATATTTTTTAAAGAAACACAAAATGTTGTAATTTAAATGAAAATTCGTAGCAATAATAACTGTAAACAAAACTTAATACGTTCTTTTCTTAAACTTTTTCAAATTATAACTAAAAAATTAACACTAGCAGGGATTCCAGCGACTATAGGTGTAAGTGTATATTGCAAATATATATATAATTGTATAAATGTGACCAAATTGATAATAAAAATATAAATCAATGAATAGGCGGTGACTTAAAGTCTTACTTAATTGTAGGTATACATATAAAAAAAATTAAGTTATAAAGTAGTGCCAAATGACATAATAGTTACAAAATTCCGTGTTCAATTTGGAAGCTACCAGTGTGAGTGTGATGCACAAAAAAAACACACACAATAAAAATTTGCACGCATTAATGCTAAAATACGAGAATTTAATGTCTCTTGCCACCAGCAGCAGAACATTTGCACACGCTTTCGTTCTTTAAAACGAATAAATCTAGACAATATAATGCTTACTCGCCAATTAACGCTTTTTTTGTGTGTGCTAATAATAAGAAAACTGAAAATGGTCATACACCATAATGAAATCTAATATTAATTGAAGTTATTCTTCGCGTTCATAGTTTTAGTTTAAGCTACAAATTTATATTCTTTGTGTTACAAATTGTTTCATACTAACGCACATTTTTTGCCTTTTTATTTTTGTGGTAATGTCTTTACTTCAATTGGATTGAGCATTACCACCACCACCATCACCTCCACCTCCGCTATCAGCATCGGTGGATGCACCACTTTGTTCGAAGCGCTTTTGTCGCTCCTCCTCCTCTTGCTCTTGCTTTATTTGAGCGGGCAATTTTACTTTCATCTGCACCTTAAGCACTTCACGCAATTCTTGTAATTCTTGTTGACCTTGCATGAGACGCTTGACACCGCGCGGCAGACCACGGCACGACGACAGATTTATCGAACTCATGTGCGCACAGTTTGCAAGTATTTCCTTAACTGCTTCATCTGAAACCGACGAACCACAGAGATTCAAATGCCTACAGATTGCATAAAAAACAAAAAAAAAAAAAAAATTTAATTATAAATTTATATTACACTCATGTAGTTTTAATAAGAAGGAATTGTACTTACGCTAAAGGCGATTCGCTGCCCTTTTCGGCTAATGCACGTAATGCATTGTCAAGTGGCTGCTGCACATTCGCCCAAGCCAAATCTAATTCTATAAGACTATGAGCCCATTTCGAAGCGATCAGCTCGAGGCCGGAGCTACATATAGACAGACAACAGTACAAATAACAACATATAGCGAAAGATAAATAGTGAATTGAACAATTACCTAACATCACGTGTCACTGAGCAAAATGACAAAAATAAATGCTTGATGTCCCACGCAGGTAGGCGTATAAGACTTTCGTGTGTAAGTCGTGCGCAACCGCGCACATCCAAGAGTTTTAGTTGCGAACTGGTTTTTAATATGCGCTGCAAATGGTCATCGCCGATAACACGACATTCATCAGTTAAAGCTGCCACCGAGAGTTCCTCGAGTTCTGGGAAACCAGGCGAGTCCATCTAAAAATTAATGTGACTTTCAATAAAACAATATATGTTTAATATTTATATATATTTTACACATACCGCTTCTTGCAGTGTTGCATTTCCCCATGTTATGTGTGAATTGGTGACACGTAGTACTTTCAATTTCGGGCAGCCATGCTGAAGCTTCTCAATGTGAAAGATGCCGTGTGAAGTCGCTTGTGTTGTAACATTTGAGAGATCTAAGTTCACCAAATTGGGGCAATGTGTCTGTGGAATGTAAAAAAAAAAAACAATGTGGTTAATTGTTGTGCCATTAAACACGTTAGAGGAGTTGAGAACTTTAAATACTTACAGCCAAAGTAGCGACTATTTGTGGGATTCCGGCCAGCCGATTATGTGCCAAATATAGATGCGTTAAACGTTTATTAATTATTTGTAGTGCATTGCACAGCGACTGTGGCCCCACGGCGCTCTTACTCGCATTCATTTCCACCTGTGTTAAAACAATAAAGTCACCTTTACAAATTTGGACGAGGAATAAAAGAGTTACAAAACCGATGAAACTTACATTAACCGAACTCAAATCAAGGCGTTCCAGTTTTTGCATATTTTCGGCTAAATAAGCCAAATGATCTGATGTGAAACCTTTCCAACCAGACAGTGTAATACTCGTTAAATTTGGACAACCGACCGCCAATTTGTTTAGAAAACAGTTTATGTCTGACATTTTCCAGTTGGCTAAAATAATTAAAGTGGTTAAAGATTCATTTTTCGAACATCATTTCGAATACATACCAACATTCAATTCTGTACACTCGCTGCATCGATTGTCTACGAACCATTTTAGCTTGAGTTCGGTGCGATATTTGTCCTTTATCCACGTAGATAGATCCATAGTTTTCCACAATGATGGCGTTAGCGCAACATTGCGCCACAGTGTACAAACGCGACCAAGTCGACAAAGTGTTGGCAAACAACCTTCACGATCAACTAGAATTTCGAAAATCTAAAAAATAATTTTATTTGAAGTTGTGTCTTTCTATTTTACAAGTTTTTCAATATCATACACACCTTAAACAGTATTTCCTGTGGGATGCGTGCACCCCAATCACCTTGTTCAATTGTGGCGCGATGTTTCTCACCTTGTTCTTCGATGCCACTAAAAGAGACTTTCTTCTGACGTTCTGCATTGCTGGCCTTATTCTTTCCACGCTTTCCCGTCGTTACCTCATGATCACTTTCGTCGTCATCCACGCGTGCCTTTGATTTCGTTTTACGTGAACGTTTTCGCGTCTGCTTAGGAGCAGTTGTTGTTGTAGTCTCAACCGATTTCGCGGTAATGGTTGGTACTAAAATGCCTGTTGAAGCAGCCAAATTGCCAGTAGAATCTGATTTCTTTATACATAATTTAATTCCCGTTTTATTATCGCTTATCTGTAATTAAATAAAACAAACGGGAATCAAGAACTATTTACAAATAATAAATTTTCTTTATTACCTCGCTTTCGTACATAGGCAAAGTAGATTTTGGTTTCCTTTGCCTTGGTGCTCGTGTTGTTTTTTCTTTCAACTTCTTATTCATGGCCGACATTAGCGGTTTCCCACTTGATTTGGGTATGGTGCCGTTTGCAACAAGATTAATCGGTTGTATAACGCGTTTGCCACCACCTTCATCACCTGTGTCAATAGTTGTGACACCCCTCTTGGTAGCTGTCTTAGATGGTGTTGACTCCGCACTATTATTAGCCGTATTAGAGATAGCAATTTCTGGTGCTTCTGGTGGTGTAGTTGGCGTAAGCGCTGCACTGCTCGTAATAGCGGCTTCGGTAATCATCGGTGAGAGCTGAGAATCCGATGCTGGTGATGAGGAGGATGTAGCGGTGTTAGCATCATCTGTTTGTGTTTCTGACTTGGGTGGCGATAAAATTGTATCTGGAATAGAAGCTCTTATACCGGCAGCTGCCACAACTACGGAAGCCGCTACGCCAATTGCCGAAGCAATGGATGCATTTGATGTCGCAATTGTTGTGTCTCTAAGTGGTGGTGATTGCGATTGTGTTGAAGGCGAAAGGCTGTTGTCATCGTCAGCCGTTGATGCTTCTTCCTTCTGACTTTCGTCATCCTCGACAGTATCTTGCGAATCTTCGAATTCATTTAAATCATTTGAGTTTTCTGCACTTTTAGACTCTTTAAAATCAGGACTGTTTTTATTCGCACTTTCAGCGCTTTCTTCCAGCTTTGGAGTTTTGGAGGGCTCATTGCTTTCAGTGACTTTTATTAATAAGCCTTCTTGTTCTTTTGCCGATATATCTGATATAGTCTCATTCTTATTTAAATCTTCTTCATTGGTTTTGATAACAGAACTAACAGAATTATTTATAGGTTTCATCGCTGTTTCGTCGCTTTTTTCATCTTTATTAATTTGGGTTCTATTATTTTGAGTTTTGTTCATATCTTCCTTAACTTCAATATCTGATTTGTCTACGGAATTGGTAGCCATTAGAGAAACATTCGTTATTCCACCATCTCCACTACAATTGCTCGATTCAAGCTGCCTTTTTTCTACTTCCATTTTTGGATTCTTTTGTAGAGCTAAAAAGAAAATTAACATTATATATAAATTATTTATAATTTAAATTAAAATAAAGTTAATTAACCATTTTATATGTTTTTTATACCACTTGCAATAAATTGTGCAATTAGGAGATTGTGCATATCTCTTCCATTGTTTACACTTAAGGGTGTGCAGACTTGTCGCTTCTCACCTGCTTATGTTTTGTTTTTCGGTGCCACTTTATTTTTTCGCTGTGGTATTATTTCTTATTTATTCACTGTTTACATCATCTCATTCGTAACAATTACGATACTTTCAACTCTTTCACAACAGTTTAGTCGTAAAACTGCATAAAGTTCTATGGCATTTGAGTCGGACCAGCTACAGGCAAAAACAAAACACAATTTTATAACTCTAATCTTAATGTTTACTGTACTATCAAGTATATTAATTATTATTTATTTTTATAATATAAAACTTGTTATTTTGGTTTATTTTTATTTTTTTGTTCTTAGTTTTGAGCTTTATTGGAGTTTTTCGCGCCTTCGCCCAGCAGAAATGTTCTCTTTCTCTTTTCAATTATTTATTTATTTATTCTTATTTGCATATAAAGCTTTCTCAGTCACACTTACGACCGCTTATTAGACACCATTTTACGCGAGATCCGTATAGGATAGATAACATTTGCACAAAAGAGATGGAAATATATAGTTACCCGCGTATGCGGTTCTCGCAGTTTGGAAAATTTTTCTATTGTTTTTTTTTATGATCACAAATTTTTCACTACATATTTTTCACATTTTAGCTATTTGCTATAAACTTTATTACAAAATCAACTTTAGAAAGCAGTTATATGTATTTTCACAATATAATTTTTCACATTTCCTAGGAATATTAGTGCAACCAAATTTTTCGCTGCAACGACGTAAAATTGTAGTGTAGTGGACGAAGTACGACATACAATAAAGTTTACGTGCTTTGTTTTCTCTTTGATTGTACGTAGGGTTGCATTTGTTAGCAGTGGTTCAGTTAAAATTAAAAACCGATATTAACGACTCATTTTCATAAACTGAATAGACTGAACCCACAAATTTTATTAACGAATAAATCTGAATTTAACTTAACCTTATTTGTTTTACCGACTTCGCTTATTGTAATTAAATTATTATTTTTGAAATCATTCACTATATTACAAGGTTTTTACATAAAAAGTTCTATAAAACATTTTCCAGCCTACATATAACTTTTAAACCATGTTTCTAATGCCATTTTGCACTTCTTTTATTCGATTCTGAGCTATATTTTAATATCCAGAATATCAGTTTGATAAACCTGGTAGATGATTATGTTAAACCGATATGTTTCCAAAGAATTAAGCAATAAAGATTTTAAAAGTGTTTTGAAAAAATTGCTGAGGTTGATAATCTTATCAGAATCCTTTAATTAAAAACTTAATCCGTATTTGCCTGCTTAATAATTTAAAATTGATTATGATTATTTAAAAAAGTAGAATCAAAATTGTTTGCTAAATCTTAAAAACTTTACACATTTAAATTATAAAAACAGTTTTTCGTTTAATTCTGATATATTTTAAGGCATATATTATTATCTCATTTCATACTATTATCAATGACACTATAGCAAACCTGTTATTCCAGTTGTAAATTATATATGACTTATTTATTGCCTTTCTTTGCATTCTGTTTCACGCATTTTAACGATTTTCAATTCAGGCAAATACAATCATTTATCTACTTCTTGCTGTCTTCCTTCTAATTTATTTATTTATACACTTCTCTCTCTACGCTGCATTCGTGAAGAGATTTTAACATTTTGCAATATCCAATGCCCATGCAAACGTAAACAAGTGCTCGCGCAAGCGAGACAACAAGTATATGCAACCGCTTGTTACACACAATTACACACTCCCATCCATACCCATTTGGATATTCAAGTGCTTAAAAGCGATTATAACTTAATTTTAACTTTTCTTGCAGATATATCAAAAGTAAAATTTATTTACCAATAATATACTGCACTTTTGTTAGCTATTTTCTGTAATTGTTATACAGATTATGCGACATTGTTTACCAATGATAATTTACCGCCGTTACGTCGCTACTTCACTTTCTTTGCATGTACATGTGTATATGCAACACTGGTACCTTCACTTTGGTTTGTATTACGCTTTTTCTTCATTTACTCCACCTACTTTGACCATTTGCAGCAGGTACAGATAAAAACGCACTTTGCTTAATTTCTCTACGTTTTGTACTTATGAAATTAAAGTTTTCATTTTATTATACCTCTGAGACACTAGTAAAATGCAAATAGTTCCTCTTTTAACTAATACATGAACCGCTCACCATTTTATTACCGAAATAAATTTATTTTAAAGCAGACGTACACAGATCAATTCAATTATTATTCTAACTGCATCGCTCTCGTATTCTTCAACACAAACTACTGTTGAAATTTCTATATTGGTCCACTTACATTCCAATTTTGTATTTGCTTTCGTTTTCTTTCGTCGTTTACTATTCCTTTTTACATATCTACATGTATCGAATTCTTAGTGGGGAACCTAATTTTTAGTGAGTACAGTACGAATTAGTGTTGTGTGCGTTTTAAATTGCTTGGTGCAATGGCAACACTTGCAATTTTAGACAACTGTTGTTATATACTTATATATGTGAATCATATATAATATATTCATATACAATTCATATACTGTACTTCATTTAGTTTCCGCTTCCGTTAGAAGAACAGTTGTTTGATAAAATTTATTCAAGTTTGCAATGAATTTCCCGAAATTTCCTTGCATTGAACTTGCTAAATATAATGCTGAAAGAATGGAAAACCCACTGGTTGAGAGTTTTCTTCAGAATTTTATTTCTCAGTTGGTAAACGGAATAGAATTCAAATTAATGATTACAAGTATTATTATGAATATTCATAGGACGATGAAATCTCACAGTTGGAAGCATCTTGCCACAAATTGACAAACGCAAAAAAAGATTCGCAGGCTGTAAAAGAAAAATATTTAAGAGACATATTTGCTTTTACACATGGCCAAAGCGGGGATGAAATTTTGCCCCAGGAATTGTCGAAACGAATGCAAAGCGAACTTGGGATGTTTCAATTGGGTGAACGAAGAGTTAAAGAATTGTTAGAGCGTTTTCATAAAGATAATAAAGATTGGCGTCTCACATTGGAGCAGCAACTGCAAAAATCGCTTGGACCAGATGAATCAATTTTTTTGGTAATACACTGTTTAATTAGATAAAGTCAATGAGTTTTTTAATATTTTATTTTTTTAGCCACAACAACAGTTAATGGATAAACTTAACACATTGGGAATAATTGCTAAAAATCTCGAAAATGAACTAAAAGCTCTTGAAGAAACTGCAGAGGATAAAAATGAAGTATTAGAAGACAAACTAAGAGCAATGCAAGAGGAAGTTACCATCCTTGAAGCACTAAAGGCGAAAATGAGGTAAGTGATTTATATAGTGTAGTAAATAAATTAAATTTCTGCTATGGTGAATATAATCGCTGTAAAGCCAAATGTTTTTGTTCATTAATAACATTTCAAATTTATTATTTGTACACACTATTTATTCAAAAGCTATTTACTTTTGAACAGCGCGGCACAGCAACGAATCATTGACGAATTAAAGGAAAAACAATTCAATTATCAACAAGATAGCAATAAGATGTTGAGAGAAATTGCTAGCTTACAAGAAAAGCTCAATCTCCACGAATAAAACTCGTAACTTGTATATATACTTAAAACTGTTAATTTTTTCTTATTTGATGTACATACCATTGTATACTAACTACTTAATTTACAACAAAAATAATATTTATAATATCACAAACCACAGAATGGACTATTTACAGAAATAAAAATTTTTTGTCATTGTTTTCATATGCACGAATCGCAGTTATTTGGTTAGTCCTTATGCAACGCTAGCCAATGCTTTGCATCTACAGTAGCATCCCCAAACGTACGTCCAAATGTAAAAGTTTCTCCTGGTACGTGACCTGCATATTTGGGCACCATTCCAATCGTACGATGGTAGATAACAAAGTGTCCAGTATTCGGACATGAACTTCCAATGCCGGCATTTTCTTGTGGACACCACTCAGCACTTCTTCTGTGATGGTAATTGTTGGTGAATTCACATAGTGCACTGTTAGTCAGTTGCTTGCTGGTTTCACCAAAACGTGTCAACGCCATCGGTATATGACCGCCGTAACCTAAAAATAATGTAAATAAAATATTGTGAAGGTTTAGAATAAAATTCAAATGATCGTAAATTGCAGTTACGCGTGGAATACGACATTTTAATGCATTCAGTTATTTAAAATTAATGTAAAAGTAAAACTTTACACGTTAAAAATTTATGGACTTAAATTTAAGTAAGCGAATTTCTTTTGAATTTGTTGGATCGATTATTGCTCAAATTAATATTGCAATAAGTTATCTAAAAAAAATTCAACATTTGTAGTATGTATATCAATTAAATTTTTGCTATGAAATGTGTCAGTTGTTTAAGGGTTGCGCATGGCAACCAAATTTATAAATAATGGCAAGTTGGATTTAAAACTAGAAAAAACGTTAACTTCGGTTGCATCGAAGCTAAAATACCCTTCACAAAATTTCATACAAGAATTTGATTTGGATCGGTCAGTTTGTATGGCTATGCATATACATATATGCTACAGTGGTCCGATTTGTACAATTTGTTGGGAGATTTTACCATTGCCTTGGACAATAGGTCATGCTAAATTTAATAAAGATATTTCGTCAAAAAAAAAAGATTTTTCAAAGTGGACAGACAGAGTACGCAACTTGGTGTTAGATACTGTAGCAGATTAAACTCCTACTTATCCAGAATCGACCCCGCATGATTCCAACTACCTCTTTGCATACCCAACACATCCCACTCCCTATGGTCCGACACCGTCGAAACAGCACGTTTCCTTGGCCTACCATGACCTACCTAGATGACTTCGATGACAACCAATTTGAACTATACCACCCAAGCGGAGATTAGCTAATAGCTACAACAATGGACATGCATACGGACATGGCTAAATAGACTCATCTCGTCGGGCTTATCATTTATATATATACTCCGACGTTTCTTTCTGGGTGGTTCTACAAACTTCGTGGCAAACTTAATATACCCTTTTCAGGGTATAAAAATTCACCATACACAGTATGTGTAATAGCTGAATATAATATACCATTAACAATATATTTCTCCTCATCATCGTTTTCCATGAAATGTGGTACAGTCGATTTGGAATATGGCTCCTTTTTCTCCACAAAGTTACAGTCCAATTTTTTAAATGCTTTCGCACGTGCATTCACCGTCATTAATGGCGAACGATAATGTGTATAAGGTAGCTGAAATGTATATTATAATTTCACACATATTTTTTTTTTTTCATATTTTCCAATTAGCAAATATCTTACCATGCGTTCGTTCATTTTATTTTCAAACACACCAAATCCACTACCCAGAAGATCTCGATGCATTAAGTTTCTTCGTTGGCAACGTAACTGATCCATTAGTAATTCATGTTCAGCCATACCAGCTGTGGCGGCAGCAATGTATCGCTTGCCAACTTTCGATGCCAGATTTGGTACGAAACCATCATAACCGGGAATTATGGGATTGCGATAAACGGGATCCACATATTTTTCACGTCTATTCAGGAGCTCTGTTTCAAGTGTAGTCGGGTAAACCAATGAAATTGGTGCGCGATTTGAAGGTGTCACAATTAACTCGGGTGCATGTATGACACAGGGATCAATAAGTAACTTATGCGTTAATTTTCCATAAGTTTTACCCGCACGAAAACGAAATTGTGGACAGTGACCAGTATAGCTGATAATATAAAAGAAAATAAAATACGTTATTTCCGAAGTGACTTGGGGCGTTAAGGATAACTCACCCAGGAATGTAATGCGGTTCGGGAGTAATAACCAAATCCATTTTATCTGCTTTATTTATTTAAATTTATAATTTTTCTTAAAATCACAGTGAATTTTATTTTGCCGAATATTTGTCTATGCAATTTTTTACAAATTTTCTACACCACTTATAATTTGTACGGTTTAATTTTCATACATTTGTTCTTTTTTCATAAAATATTTTACAAATTATTTATTGACTTAAACGAATTCATCATTTTCTTAACAATTATTAATTGATAAATGTCGTGAAATGGAAAAATATAAATTGTTTCTATACTTTCTACTTATATTCTAAGCTATTTTCTATAATTTAAAGTCCTGCCACCTTAAGCATTTCTTCTACATTCACAAACTTTTCGCGTGGTTTACCTAACACTTTACCAGCTTGAGTTTCAGCTTCATCGATGCGTTGCCAATGTGTCCATGTTACAACACGTTGCAATTGCTTCCTATCCAAACCCGCTTTGGCCATGCTTGTATCCAACTTATTCGACAAAATGTCATCACATATTGTTTTCGCAACGCTAAAAGCACCATTCATGGTTGTTAGAATAACCCCTGTGGGGCCCGTACCCAACCAACCCGCTACATATATGCCTTGATCTACCGTTTTACTAACAGCATCTCGCAGCACTCGACCTATACCGAAATTATATAATAGTAAATAATAAATATTTGTATATGAGAGCCTTTAAGTGTATTCACCATTCTCATTGTACACACGCCCACTCCGTTCATCGAAACATATGCCACCATCGACGCAAGTAGATTTGTAGCCTATGCTACGCAACACCAAATCAGTTTGCAGATGTTCGATTTGATCAGTTGCAACGGCCGTGTCATTTTGCAGTTTCGTAACAGTCAATTCTACTTCATTTTCACCAATTGCTTTTGGCGCACGCAAGAATATTGGCAAGAATCGCTTATTTTTACCACTACTGCTGCTACCAGTCTGTTCTGACAAACTTTTCAACATCAATTCAGTGAGACGTTTACGTGGTCGTGGCAAGTTGGGTAATTGTGCAGGTATATCTATAAATAACTTATTGATTATAAAGTTATGGTTCAACAATTTAAATTCGATTGCCTGTAAAATCATCCGGTTTCCATAAGGTTTGCACATTTGGTAATTTTAGCATCTCGCGCAATTCTTTTATGGTAAAAGCGGCCTGCAGTGGACCACGTCGTCCGACCAAATAAACCTGTTCTACTTTACTACGTGAAAGCGCTTCCAGCGCATACTCGGTAGTATCTGTTTTCTAAATGTATTGAATATGTTAAATATGGAATATTATGATATTAACTTTATTACCAACCCGCAATGCATCCAATGAGCTGAGCAGCATACGGGCCGCATCCACCGCTACGTTGCCTTGCCCTAAAATAGCCACAGTATTTCCGTTCAAATTAGGATTCAGGTGTTGAGCGCCGGGTAGACCATTATACCACGCCACAAATTTACGTGCAGACAGCACATTCGTTTGCTCCTCATTAGGTATATTCAACTGCCGATCTTGATCAGCTCCGTATGTGAGTAGAACGGCATGGTAACGCTTACGCAAGTCATCTAAACTTATATCCTTGCCTAATGCTAAGTTGCCGTAAAAATTGAAGCATTTATGTTCTGCTGTTTTATTAAAAGTATTAATTACGTTTTTCACCTCAGGATGATCAGGCGCAACGCCGTAACTGTAAGAGAAATATTTTTAAGTAGTGTAACATAACTTACTGATTGACTTTAGTATAAAAGTGTATATGTTTCTTACACGACTAATGTAATACACAAGAAAATACGTTATTGCACCGAAGCAGTAATACCCTTCACAAATGCAAAAGATTCCATACAAGAACTTGATTTTGATCGGTAGTTTTGTATGGCAACTATACGCTATAGTGGTTCGATCTCAACAATTTCTGCGAATATTGTACCGCTGCCTTGGATAATAGTCCATGCCGAATTGATGCGTGAAGATATCTCGTCAAATACAAAAGTTTTCTATACAAGGACACGCATTTGATCGTTCAGTTTGTATGACAGATATATGCTAAAGTGGTCCGATATCGGTAGGTGAGCAGCTTCTTTATGGGAAAAATACTTGTGCAAAATTTCAGATTTATATCTCGAAAACTGAGGTTTCGCGACGTTTCCTTCTGGGTGTTACAAACTCCGTTCTTTACTTAATATACCTTATTTAGGGTATAATATATATATTTATCTACAAACAATTGCGACTTTATCCACAGTGTTTGCGCATCTAATTTATTGTTTTTTTTTTTGTTTAATATATAAATATTGTAAATCTAATAAAATATCTGGTTTTTCGGATGCATTTTTTATTGCCAATTCTTTATTAGCATAAATAATGACTTGTTTTTACCGCACGGCTTACTTCACCGGGTACACTTACCGAACCAGGCCGAATGGAACTGGTAATTTTTCAATTATATCCACGGCACAGTCACTAAGATGTTTCAATATATATTGTGCGGCATAAAAACCTGCCGGTCCAGCACCGACTATACAAATTCGTTTTGTTGCGCCACTACCATTGACTTCTGTGCTAAGTCCTTTCTTGTAGGTATTAACGTATAATTGTTTTGTAATTACTGATAGCGACAAACTTTTTGATGACAACATTTTTTTACCACAATTTCACAAAATGAAACTTTACAACCGAAGCTACTTTTTATCAATGAAGATAATAAACAAAACAAAACGAATTTGATTTAATGGATTCTGGTATCATTTATCAGTAACAGCTGATTGCCGAAAGCTTTTGTTTTTGTCTGGGTCTCGTTTCAGCTAGTTCAAAATGTAGTATTTTAATTACTCCTTTTTATGCAGTTTCGCTACCCTACTTTTTAGAGTGTATTTGACAGATAAATGTTTGTGACGTCATACATCGATGATTTAAAATTATTCTCCAATCTCTTATGATAGAAGTCTTAGACAGTTATTCACAAGAAAACGCCAATAGAAATACAGCATCGAAAAATAGCAAAAAAGCCTTAAAAAGTTCGTTTTCAGGTGGGTGACTTGGAATATTATCCAAGCAGCTTGGAAGGTTCTGTTCATCCAAAAGCTCAATAACCGAGTTCAAAATTAATAACGAAATATTTCGATCTTTTTAAACAAACCTGTGGGACGAAGTGAGCGAAAAAGCATTTTTTAAAGATGAAAGTATTCATCCATGCAGACTTCGAGCTCATATAAATCATATCGAGTTCATTTTTTGAATTTAGCAATTTGTTTTTGATAGATCTCGGATTCTGAGATTTTCCAACTACTACAAGTGGTAATTTCTTTTTTTCCGAAGCATTGGCGCATGCTAAAAATGTTAACTTTTCATTGGTGTTCTTTCTTCTTGGTGCAGATGCTTTTTCAGAAAGACATATGTTATTTCAGGAAGCAATTTCCAATAAATA